GGTGGGCCGCTGAACCTGGATAAAGAGCTTAGACTGTCTGACCCACGACTGCACTCCCACACACATAAAGCATCCCACAGAATATATTTTTCAAAGCCAAATTGAGTCTTTCTAATGCTCTTAGTATTCCTGCTTGGCGTTGTGATATGACCCCTGGTGTCCTTGTATTAGATACATGCTGAGTCTGATTATTTTTGGTGTTTGAAATTGTGGTTTTCCAGCTGATTGCATTCCTTTTGACAAAGAAGAAAATATCTTTAGCTCTCTAATAACAGATTTTGTTTTGCACGCCTTACAGGAATCCATCAAGTGAATTGTTCATATTCCTGTGGTTTTTCCCAAATTCTACAGCAGGTTGGATTTAATTGGGTTGAATGTCTCATAAAAGCTTCAGCTCAACCTTTTAGTTTTCACTACAAATTAACATTTGTGTACAAATGCTCACATACGTTCATTTGTATGGTCATGTGCTTCATGGCTTCATAGTGTGTGAGTTTCATTGTGCGTCAGTGCTGCAGGTGTTAAAATTGCTGAAAATTACTGTATCAGTGGTCTGACTTTAATGAGCACTATGATATTTGGACATTTTTGTCAATGACAAAGTGCCTTCTCCGCACATCTGGTCCTGAAAAGGGAGTGATGGTGCTTGAAAAAGGAAAGGGGTTGTTTTGATAATCACTTTGACTTGTTCCCCCCTTCTTACTCTCTTTAATGTGGTGTCATTATTACTGAAATGCAATTAGCTATGCTAATGGGCTGACATTTGGACTTCCGTTCCGGCACTTACATTGAGACTGGTAAAAAATGTGTTGCAAATGAAGTGGGATGGCGAATGGAGAGGGTGAATGGACATGTGAGGGTTGAGTGGAGGTGCTGGGATTCTCATGGAGGGTGCTATTGAAAGCTGGGGCTAAAGTACTCCTGCGGAAGTGTGGAGAGGCTTTTTCTTTTTTCCATTAAATTAGGAATTGTTTAGTTGAAAGAGCTTGGATCAGGAAGTGGATAACTCAGGGATTGAAGCAGAAAAATGGTAAGCCTCCATAACCTGTAAAATGCTTTTTGGTACACAGTGGTGGGTTGCGAATACATGCTTGTGTGTGTACGTGTGTGTGTGGGTTGAATGAGTACTTGAGTAATCAGTTATATGTGTGTGAATATGGAGCAATGACATGATGTCTCTGTAGCACACATTAAAGCTCTCCATTTAGTGCATGATAGCTGTAACAGGCTTTTCCATTAATGGTATACTGCAGATGAAGATGCATTATTTTATATATATATATATATATATATATGTATCTACCAAACCTTCTACCAAACCTTCCTCTGTGACTCTACTTTTCCTTCCCATAAATGTAAATGTTTATTAGCACATGATTTGTTGAATTATTAGTTTCATCAGCAATTGATCGTAATAGCTGTCTGACATTGCTCGGTGAGTATTTTGATGGCTGTTCCTGTTTGACTGTTCATGCTTCCCAATATGTTCTTTTGATAGATGAATAGAGGTCAGATATGAGAGACCAGCTTTAAAGCTGAGCTTGTGTCTGGGCTGTACATTTGCCCTGGTCCTTTGCATTCTCATCTTGCTTAATCTTTTGGCCAAGGTTTTTTGCTGCCTCGAACAACCCTTTGAGAGTACTTCACGCTTTGCATATCCACTAGATGGCATTGTGTCCCTTTCCACTTATTTCAGGATGAAATAAGAAGTCTTGGTTGCTCAGAGAGCAAACCCAAACATCCGGAGGGTGAATATATTACAGTATGAGCAGAAGCACGGTTATTCCACTCTCTAGGAGGCTGTTTGTTTTTCCTTTAATGGTTGAAAATACGCTATTCCTCCTCTCCTCTTGAACCATCACACCCTGCAGATACACCTGTGCGAGTGACCCACATCCAACCTCCACAACCTCAGTGAGGGATCTGGTGCTTGTAGGGCTGCCAGGGGCTCCAGTTGGATCCAAACCAGCTGAGGCTCAGTCTGTTTTTAACCCCTCAACCCCCCTCTTTTTTCCCTCCCAGAAAAAAAAAAAAGAATTAGCACTCCTGAGATCTGCAGCCTAAAGGATCTGTTGGTTTACTCTTGCTCGTACAGTCTTGAAAATGTCTCTGCCTCCATTCAGCTTATTCCATCCTATGAGTTAGTTTGAACGAGTATGTCTGTATGCACCTGCTTGCTCCCTGTTTCCCTTAACTCCTAAGGTGAATCTTAATAAATCCCTCAAATCCCACTATCTGGCTTTGATTTAGTCCTGGGGTTATTATTGGAAAATGTTTAACACACTGGAGTTCAGCTTCTTCACTTTTTGTTGTATGTTTACTGAATGAAGAGCACAACAAAATAGGAACAGTGTTCCTTAACAGTATTTGAAGTGCTCAAATGGTTTTAATTTATATGTTTTCCGTTGTCCACCCACAGAGTAATGGTGCTTAAATAAGTGCCACAATGACAGGTTATTTATGGACAGGTTCAGAACCTCGGACAGTTCCCTCATGCGTATGAATTCAAGAGTAACTCCTTGGCAATAATTCATTGGTTGTTCAGACATGTTTGTTTGTCGTAGAGGCATTGCAGGCAGTAGAAGCAAACTATGCATCCGTCAATATCGCCTGATTCATTCTTTACATCAATGATACTGTGTGGGCAGACCAGTTCTGTGCAAACAGCATTATGTAAAAAAACAATAGATTTTTGTTTGGTTCAAGAACAACCCAGGCGAGGAATTTTATTGCAATGATGTTATTGATTGAGAGTATGAAAGGCCCACTAGATTCTCCTCTCCTATGGCATGGAAACATGGATTTATCGGTTAAAGTGGAAATGTAAAAGCAATGTAAAGTTGAACACAGAAACAGGGTTGCATAAATATTTCTAGGAGCTCTCAGTTTATCCATCACCTGTACACCCATGGAAATATCTTCAAGCACATACACAGGATGTGTTATTCACAGATATATAAAACAGACAAATTTTTTAAAACAGGTCCATAGAATAAGCTCATAATTGCATTGGGAAGGCCAATTTCAGAGCCGTTAGAGAGAGGACTGTCAGCAGTGTGATTATCAGCAGATAGATAGCGGATGACGGCTGCCATTGGTTATTGATGACTTTCATAATTAAAATACGTTATGGGGGGAAACCAATGAACAAAAGGTGGGGTGGGGGGATCACACGAATGATGAATAGTCCTTTCATTTTTAAGGCTGATATAGGACCCACCAGGCTCTTCTGAATGGATATCGCTTCCCTGGAAAGCCTCTAAGTATGGTTTTAAAGAGGAGTCTTATGCTTTTGATGTGCCCAGACCTCACATCACCTCCCTCTTTGTATGTAGTTCACATGTTGATTTGGTAAAGGGGTCAAGAAATAAATAGAGGGGAAAAACAGGCCAACTAAGAAAAGATAAAGTTCAGATTGAAATAATGATACAAATGGGCAGCAAAAAAAAGGAGTCAAAGTATGGCATGTTTTTTATTACGTCTGTGCAAACTTGTGTTTGACTGTGTATGCTCAACAAAAATTGTACTACAAAATCATACTGCATTTTTTCTTCAAGGATGATCAATTTCCAGTCTTTTAGGAACAAAGGACGCCTGTGTATGAACGGATGGTGGCACTTTGGGGTCTGATGTTAAATAGCTTCTGGCCAGCTCCCAGTGTCTATCTATTTTAAATGACAACATATAATATAATAAGAATTTAACTGAAGTCAGCTGAACTGGACTAAAAGTTATCCCTTTTCAACAATTTTTTTAGCCACATTGAGGTTGAATGCTTAAAAAAGTTTATTCAATTTGTGACTTTGGCTTCTAAATATACTTTTTACAAGTTGTAGTTTGAGGATGGTGTTTTATTTATTTCTCACTTTGTCAAGGGAATACAACATCAGGACTTTTTTTCACTAGCAAATTGCCTTTCAATTTCATCTCCTTTTGCCATCTGATTTCTATAAGTCACATTATTGACAAGTTAAACCTCCATTCTTAAAGTCTGTGAGTAATGTATAATGTATTATCTAAAAAAAAGGGATTTTTATCCATTCTATTTTTTTCTCTACCAGAGACAACAACTAGGCAGATGCACAGTTTTTGATTGTGGTTTAGATGAAAGCAGATACTTTTTGATTTGACTACAATCGCAGATCAGACAGGATAACAGTCAGTGATAGTCTGCTCCCCTGCCGTTTCCTTAAAGTGGAAAGCTGAACACCGCATGGTATCTAAAGGGATGAGAGGCAGCATGGGTATTAGTGCCAGCAGCATGTAGGGAATTCCTGCTTGTCTGTTGCAGCATTGTTGTGTGTTTGTGTGTGTGGTGCCGTCAGAGTGGAGCTCCCCCTACACCAACCTGCTAAACAGTCCCCCTTATCCCACCCACGATCGCTCAGTTCTTCCCCTCTGCATCAGGACCGGGCTGCTGTGACATCACTCATTCCCACGCACTCTGATTGGCTGGCCAGTGGAGGGAAGTGGATTGTTTCTGCAGCCTGTAGTGAAAAAATGAGGACCGAGGTAGAGAGCGCATGAGAGGAAGGGGAGGGAGACAGAGAGAGGGACTACGCAAGAAAGATTGATGCTGAAGCGAGCCGGCAATGCGCAGCACTCATGCACACGCACACACACACACACACTCACTCTCAGTAGCACGAGTACTCTGGCATCACATTCCCAAGCTGCTTAACAGGCAGGAAAAACACTGAGTCTGACCGAGTCTGCAGCCTGTTACTGCGGGACAGGACGGAGGACAGCAGGACGAGGCGAAGAGGAGAACCAGCAGCGTGATTCCTCCCTCACAGCAACAGTTCGACTGCTGTCATCCAAGGAGGTGTGGGGCTCCAGGGCTTTTTCTAGAGACACTTCGCCAAAATTTTGAATAAATGGTGGGAGGGCAGCAAGGGCAGGACCAAGGGCAGATGTAGAGTCTGCCGTGGTTGTCGTGGAAGTCCTCTAAAAGTCCACATGAAAAGAGGTAGAATTCAAGGTGTAGTCTGGGGAACAAGATGGCACAACGAGTAGGAGGCGATGCCTCGCCGAAAAGGAACACGTCCCTCAACCTGGTGGCTGGGTTCTACCACTACCTCCGAGGTAAGTGGGGCACAGAGTCTGAGAACGAGAAGACGTGTTACATTATGTGTGTTCTGCATGTGTGACCTAGTGAGGGACTGCAGTGAGGAATTGGTACGTGTGTGAGACATGAGTGTGTGAATCTTACACTGCAAATCCCTACGGGGCAGTTTTATTTTAGGGGCCACGTGCTTGTTAAGTGAAATTGGAAAACATTTGAAGGGGGCGTCATTGCCTTGAAAGAGTGAGTTCCTGCCGCTGAGATTTTGGCTAAAGAAGCTATATCAGCTGAGAGGTTTTTTTTAGCAGATGGGTACGTCAGACCATGATGTCACTGTTTGCAGAAGTTATATTGAGCCAGTCCTACCACAGTTCCAACAGATTGCAGAATCAGGTTTTCAGATAACAAAACTAGATTTGAATGATATCTCATGAATGTCATTCTCACTCTCTTTGTGTGTGGAGTGCTTGTCTAGTCAGGAGAGTAATTTCTCTTTTTGACACAGAGAGATTCTTTCTGAGTGTGTGTGTGTGTGTGCCTATAGAATGTGGGATTGTGTGTGCGCAGAGTTCAAAGTCACCTCGTCCCTGAGACTGAGAGGCTGGCACATGCAGACATGTTCTCTGCCACACACATTCCTGCTCAAAGACGCCTGGGCTAAATCTTTCCCATTCTCATCCAATATATCCACCCATCAATATTTGATTATTCCTGAACCCAATCAAAAGATTAATTCATAGGACAGAGGCTTGCTCAGTGGCACGTATGACTGTGTGAGAATGTATCTGCATTATGTATGAAAGGAAGCCCCCCCCCACCCAAAATCTCACTCCCTCCAGCAGGCGCTCCCCCTCCTGTTCACATCTGCTCATTGTACCCAGTGACACACTAACCAACTTGAGTATAATCAATCCGTCAGCATATTTCATTAAGGAGGAGAGCCCTACCTATCAGTCGATCTCTTTCAGAGATAACATGCTTGTCTCGAGGATATTGCTCTGTGGTGCAGACGTTACAGGAAGTGCTTGGTGTGAGGCAATCCACATCATGCGATTGTTTAAAAAGTGTACATAGAGTGTGGTATACACAAGGTTGGTTGAACAAATGTGAGAGGCAGGCTTGATTTATTGTCTTGTCCTCATTTGAGTTAAGTGGCTTTTTAAGGGACATTGTCAACAGACATCTATGCTATTGATTTTGCCTTCGCTAAATGGCCTTTATCGTTGGAGCCACCACAAATGACCTCATGTGTGAGTAAATCTGTAATTTTGGGAATAGCTTGGCTTCATGTGCTGCCCTTCAAATACTTGAAGGGCCAATTTGAGAGCCGAGATTTTTGTCCTCTCCAAGAAGAGCGGAGCTTGTGAATATGTCATTAGTGAATGTCAAATTCTGTCACCTAGTTTAAGATAAGATTTTGGTGTGACTGTGTTTGGATATTAGAAGTTAATTAAAGCCACAATTCTGCCTTGCAAACCCAATCAACTCTCAGAAAGATAAACAAAGAGACGATTGCACTTTAATCCCTGATTTGTTTATCATGGCATAGTACTAATAGTGTTGCTTTGGGCTCTGATTTACAGATGAGCAGGAGGCTGTGCAGAAAAGGACATTCACAAAATGGATCAATTCCCACTTGGCAAAGGTATGTGAGTCTGGTTCGTTCTCATTACATGTGCCAGCATTGTGTTGTCAGTTTAAACAGACATGGTGCTGGTCTTTGTGGACAAAAAAACTTCACATTCTCTGTGAATGACTTTACTTTACTCCATCTTTGTGTGTGCTGTGACATTTGCTCCATTTCCAAACCACACAGTGTTTTGCTGGTCATATGACTGACTTTTCTAGATAAGACCACACACACACAGTCATTATTCCTTCTTATTCTTCAAGTCCTATTCAGCTTGTGGGAAAGATTTACTCTCTAATTATCACTTTCACATAAGAGTACAGTAAACACCTTTTTTCCCTGCAAGCTAAAATCAGTCAATTATCTCTTACTAATGTCTCTATCGCAACACTAGCCAATTAAGATAGTTCACGATAAGAGCTTTTAGTTAAAGCTTGTCCTTCATTTGTTTCCCCAAGGTGCTTTGACAACAATCAAACTTAGGTTAAGTAATCACACTTTTCCATGCAGCTGCTTTCTGAGGTGGTGTTCATTTGCCTGCAATTATCACATCATGCTCCTCACTTTCTCTCATTACTGCTTAAATACTGTGTCTGCAGTGGGTTGACAAGGTAAATATGGCACTGTGGATCACAATTAAAGGGCATTTCAATCAGTGACGCTCCTTTCAAGGCTTACTATTAGATGAGGACAGCTGTAGAATCCTTGAACGGCAGTGACGTGGAGCAGAAAATTCATTCGAAAAGCATTCTGAAGGGGATAAACCTTGGCATAATATTTAATATCAGGTCTCAGGACTGTGCCAGCAGAAAATTAGACACAGCCACATATTAAAATGGCTAGGATTTGTATTAACATTTAATATAAACACATTGTTTATTTATTTGATTATTCTTCTGAAGCAAGCTGTGCTTTTTTGGATAAAATGGTCATGGAGCAAAAGGTTTGGGTGATGGAGGAATGGTGAAGAGGGTTCACAAAGGGGTTGATCACAATGCTTGAATACATATTAAAGTATTTATGGAACTGTTGTATCGACAGTTGCACTGGCAGACTCACATAGGCTTTGTTTCTACAGTATATACAGCAAACAGCCTAACTTAATTTGAAGTCTGGAATTGACTTAATAGATATGCGAGTGACATCTTCTTACTAACTCTCAGTAAGAAGTCAACTTAAATTAAATACATATTTTTAATGTGACGTGATGTGCTTTCCCATAATGTCTGTCGGCCATAAATTCCTGAAATCAAAGCTTAATTCATCCAGTAAAAAAGAAAAGGAACAAAGCTCATTTCAATTTGATTTTTGTTTAATTTGAATTGGAAATAATCAAGAAATTGAGCTAATTGTCATGCCTTTGTCCTCCATGGCTTTATATCTACTTGGTTAATCAAATTATGTAGTTGCTGCCCTCCTCCTTACCCATGATGAAACCGCTTACCCTTTCACCTGATGCCTGACGTTGCCATAGTGACACTGGTTGGCCTATATTTGTCTTTAAAAATGTCTCCATAGTCACGGTGGCTTGCTAAATGTGAGGAGAGCCTTGTGATTAAAACGGTAGGAGTTATGTGCTCATAGGGCTAGTGCAAATAATAAAGACGTGCATTCCTCCAACATGTCAAATTTTCATGTTAGAAAAACTATCACATGCAAAGGTTTAAAATGAGGGTGTAAAATCCCAGCCTGAATAACAAAAATGTGTAAAGATGATACTACAGACAGACAGGCACAAAGAGATGGAAGACAGAAAAAGCTTAACAGTTGGTTTAGCTTGGCTCTCAGAGGGATAGCTCTTGCTCCTGGCTACGCAGATGATTAGGCCACTTCAGTTATCACAGGTCTTTAATTCAGTGCCTAAAGGTGTGTGATTAATCGTTAGGTGAGTTGAGACCTAGCATAAGGGCATCCGCTCACTATCGTTCCCTCCCCCCTTACTTTTTCACTCCACAGGTATAACAAAAGAAGTCTTATGAGCTCCAACAAAGAGTTTTCTAGGAGAGGGGATGTATTGGAGCTGGTAATTTATACAGAAGATTAATGGGTTCTATTACTTGGAGTAGTTTGACAGATTAACTCTGCAAAGATATCAACTGTCAGAGAACAGCAAGATTGTGTGTGTTTGTGAAGGCCACAGTCACTCAAGCTCCATTTCAGCTTTGCTTGCATCAATTTGTTGCCTGGAAAGGCACATTTTCACTTTTCAAGTGCATCAGGCTTTCAAGTTGTGCAAGTTAGCAGTGGAGTCACAAAAAGGAGGGGGTGGGGATTCAGTGAGCGGACCCCAAGTTTCCATTTGACAAATCCGTTCTGAGAAGGTTAAAGCTTAATTATGGAGTGGCCAGTGTGAACGGCAGAGGTTTCATCGTCACTCAGGCGTCTTCCAGGAAAACCGCTTTAGCGCCATAATCAGTGAACCAAGTGTTCTTAGAGATTACAGCAGCAGTAAGTGAAGCTCCCAGGCGTGTTTATTTCTCTGCTCCTCCTGCCTCCTCTTTTTTCTTTCTTTCTTTCTTTTTTTTGGCATATGCCTCAACCAGCTGAGCTCCCAGAATGCTTTCATGATTATTTTCAATTTTAAACAGCCAGCTATTCTTGTTACTTTTTCCTTCTTCCCATCAATATTTTGTGGGCACAATCAGTAACAGAGCCATCCCAATTTCTGTCTTGGTTTGTCAGTTGATATCAGTTTGTATGACTAAATAAAAGAATAACTTAACTTTTTGAATGAATTATTAACCTCTTCATGTAAATGAACACCTATTAGGATAATTAAAGTTTCAAAAGATTTTGACAGTGTACACCCCTAGAATAATTTCCTTTGTCAGATTCGATGTGTTTCCGTTCATATCACACCATGCAGTGTCCTTTTTGTTTCCGCCCCTTGGTGTGTCTTTCATTGCTGTTGATCTTATGATATCCAAAGAGTCAAGTGCAGGGGAACAGCATGAGAGCACAGACAAAACGTTCATCCTTAAACTCCTCTGCTCACAATCAATTATGACCCAGACCGTCATATGTAATTAGCTCATTAAATCTGGGATTCATTTTATACTTCATGTTGCTGAGCAGAGGAAATGAATATTACTTTCTTATTTTGTAATTAGTCATAAATTTCCTCATTAGCTTTGGGATTATGATGAACAAATAGGTGAATTTAACTCCAATTAGCTCTTGGTGTAATTTATCCGTTTGAGTGAGGCCTGTGTAAGCGCCTTTTCTTTCATGTCATGATATGGGGAAGAGTGCTGTCTGAATATTCTCTCATCCTCAGCCATGAAATGACATTAGAAGACGAATTAGTGGAAAGAGCTGCTGTATTTTCTAATTAATTTTTGAAAGGCGTGAGGTTAGTGTCCTCTCTCGTCTGTCTTTAGCAGTCTGTTTTGCTGCCAATTTTTATTCTCAGTTATCCCCCTGTCAATATTCCCCATGAGTGGGGTTGTGTGTATTTTTCTCTTGTTCATCACAGACACAGCCATTTCTCTTGGAAAAAAGACACTTTCATTCGCACCACTCTTGCCTCCCCTCTCTTCTCTCAGTCACTTTGTTGCTAATCTCCCTGTGAATGGCGCACTCGTCTGAATGCCCCCACCCCTCTAAACCTCGCTTCAGCCCCAGCATGTGACTGTGCTTTAAGAGAAATCCTTGATGTGGCGTCAGCGAGGAACAGAGATATGTGGATTTCCTCAAGTCTGGAAGTCTGTGTCAGGTCATGGAGGAAGCAAGTGGGAAGAATACAGTTTGAAATCATCAGCATATTTTAGGATTTGAGGCCCCTCGTTCAGAGTCTGCTGAGCCTTTGCTTAGGGGTGAATCCAGCTGTCAGTAATGCATGGCACTGCCAAACCCTGCCTGCGCTCCGCTACATTTTTATGAGGATTTACTTTATCCGTGTTTCACAAGTTTAAATTAATGTCTTACAGAGTACCATGTGCATTGTGGTCTGGTTTATGTTGGCGATTTGCCACTAAGAGTGGGATAAGGTGCAGAAAAAACACATTCTCCACCTCATAGTTTGCTGTACATTGCAAAAGTTATTAAGATGAAAATCCCTGTTATTTGCATTCCTGGGAAACTGTGAAAGCTTTGTTTTGTCGTGAAATATTTATGTAAACTCTCAGTTCACATAACTTGTGCAAAAATAACTTGTTTACGCCACATACACATTTTTTAAAAGACAAACTGCTCCACGAAATGTAACTAACTCTAACTTCCATTCATTTTCTAGCGTGTCCCACCTCTGGAGGTGATAGACCTGTTTGAGGACATCAAGGACGGTGTTATGCTGCTGGCCCTACTGGAAATCCTGTCGGGACAAAAACTGGTGAGGCTCATGGTCATTTCAGTCGCTCGTGACTTGGCTAAACACTTCAAGCAATTCACGCCCTTCAAGATTCCTTGATAACATGTTTTCACAATAACACCACAAGATTCAATAGCTACCTCAAACTGATGAGATAGCAGAATATTTAATTTTTTTCATTTTTCCCCCCTGCCTTTTTAATGCGGCTTCTGTCAGCCTCAGAAGAGCTGCACACTGACTGCAGTGAATGTGAAACAAGCCATGGTTAACATGGACAGGCTTATTGATTGCCTTGTATTAAGATGTTTGAGTTGAGAGGAAAAGCCCAGATTAACAAAGACAGATCAGAGTTCACACGCATAACAAACAAAGACACGCATCTTGAGGATTTTACTTGGCCAATATTGCCTGAGGTCAGAGCTGTCCTATTGATTTGATTGTTTATAGTTACACAAAGCTCTGGTTGGACGCCGGTGTCTTTCAGAAGTTTTTTTTCCTATATCATATGCTTCAACATGATATTTTTGTTGCATTTTTAGAACTACATTAATGTCTGTGAGTTGCATTCCAATACATATGGTAAGGTGTTTCTCTCTCCATATCTGTTGTTCTTTTTTTTTTCTTCCAGCCCTGTGAGCAGGGTAAGAAGCTAAAAAGGATCCACTGGGTCGCCAACATTGGTACAGCTCTTAAGTTCCTTGAAGGTAGAAAGGTAAATGTTAAACATTTTCTTTTTGTGTGGATTTTTCTAATCTTCTGTTGGCTGCTGTTCCTACTCATCTAGTGCCCGTTAGGCTTCCATATTGAATTCTGACCTTCAGTGACCTGTTTCTTCCTTGCCTTTGAGTCTTTTCCTTTCCCCATATTTCATTTAGTACCTTCTCCTTTGTATTCATGGGGGAAAAAATGTATAGGCTGTTAAATACTTTATGTATCTGTTCATTGATATATTTATTCTTTTTTTTCTGTCGACGGAAAATGAATTGAAAATGTCACTATTGGATTGAAAGATCCACTGTCTTTAGTCAGCACGTGTCGGTTGATGACATCAGTCCCCCTTTTCGTTTCTTCTTTTGTTTACTACCATTTCAGTTTCCAAGCTTCGTAATTTGAATTATATGAAAAACCACTCAATATGGTTTTGGATAAAGTCATTGAAATGCATCAACTAGCCCTCCATGAGATTAGTAGATCATACCCAAAGCTTTGCTGGGGCTCATCTTTGGCTATACACAAATAAAGCCGTATGAGCAGCCGTCTGCAGGGACATTGATTTGTCTTCCCAAAGTGTGACAGGGTTAGAACTTTAAATCCTTTGGCAATAATCTCCTATCTGGAGATGAGACGTCGGTGGGCACTCTGATGTATGTCTATGTGTGTGCTTAAATTAAATGTAAATATGCTCTGGGAATAAATCTGACTTACCCAAACTGTAATTACATTTGTGCCCAATACATGCTTCACTCATGAGTTTGTATGACACAAATTGAATGTACCTTAGCTTACAAATAAGGACCATAATTCTTATATTTAACCACTTTTAGCCCCACAGTGCCTATCTAGGAACTGAAGCAGAACATGTTCTGTAGCTAATAGTCATTCATTTTTTCTTAAGGCTATAGAATGATATAAACATTTCCATAATAATATTTTCCCAGAGCTGAGAGTGATGTTTTCAGACACACTAATGTCTATGATTGACCGATCCCAAAGAGTTACAAAATAATACAAAAAATCCTCACATTTTTGGAGGCAAAGGCAAGTGAACGTGTGGAACCTTAATTGTGTTTTTTTAACTGAAATATTGCAATAGCTCATTCTGAATCAAATTTGAATTCAAGCTATCTTTGAAATCAACATTTTTAACATAATAAAATGATTAAACATAATGACAAAGTTATTTCCGCTGTTGTTTTCTCTAGAAGAAAATGTTGTTGAAGTTGTGAGAATAAAGCAAATTTGAATGGTTGAAGTAAAAATGTGATAAGTTAAAAATACTTTTGGGACTTCTTTTTCATGAAAAACCCTTTGTCAGCCTCAGACAATAATTCTAGCTGATGTGTTTGGTCACCAAAATTTCCACCTACCATTCCAGCCACACACTGCTAGTTTAAATGGTCCTGCTGTGTTTTCTAATATGAAATTGTGTATTGCAGATGTTTTTATCAGCAACCATCCCACCCTTTCCCTCAGTGCCCTCTCCTGTTTTCAATCTCCTCTTCCATGCATGTTCACTTGCGTTAACTGACTGTTATCCCTGAGTGATAACCTGTTATGCTGCAGCAGCCCAGTAATATGACCCTCTGTTTGATAACACTGAAAACTTCATCATATCACTTCTAACAGCCTTCTGTTTACCCCTGTTTTCTCCTGCTTCTCTCTACCCATCACAGCCTTTCTTTCCGACCACCTCTGCTGGATATAATCCCTGTTGCCTGTGTAGTGGTGATACATCTCCTCTCAGCCATCCACTCATGTTATCTCACCTCAGTGATGCTGCTGTATCTGCCATCTCACAGTCAATGAGGCATTTGCTTTCAATCAAATGTATCTAGAGCACTTCCAAATGCTCTTTCCCTCCCCTCCTTCTTCCTACTCTACAGCTTATACTTTAATTCTTCTTTTCTTATCTGCCCACAGTCTGCCTACAGAGGATCTCCGGTCAGTATTCATAATATTTCTGCACTGGTTTAGGTCAGGACCAGAATGATCCACATCCTGCAGCATTAAGGATTATATCCAAATCAAATATTGTATACTTTTTGAAAATATATATGGGGTATTACTCTTACTTACCAAATAAAGGTGAAATATGTGTTAACTAAGCCTATATGGAAGAGATAAATGGATAGTTTTACTTTACTAGATATTTTATTTTGTTATAGATCAAGTTGGTGAACATCAACTCCACAGACATTGTGGATGGACGGCCATCAATTGTACTCGGGCTGGTGTGGACGATCATCCTTTATTTCCAGGTGGGTGCAAAAAAACTGAAAATCAAGTTGTGCTCATCAAGATGTGTGTTGAGAACATCGGCAACAGTGAACATAAAAAACTGTAATTCGACAACAAACACACCCTGCAGGGTTCGCATCAAGCGAACAGGAGGGCTAAAGCAATCAAAAAACTAACCAGTCTGACCTAAACAGATGTTTAAAAATGGATGGATGGATGGATGGATACCTCGGGCATTTCCGACATGCACAGATCAACAAGAATTTAATCACAAGACTACAGTCTCTTAGCAACATCAGCAAGTAAATGCCCCAAATTCCAGCAAACAAGAGAATAATAAGTAAAAGAATTGTACAATACTGGAAAACATGTTTATTCACCTCCTGACATATTGATGGATTTCATTTATGATTTTTCTGAGTAGCTCACAGTTTGCTGGAAACTATGTTTGCATGACAATTAATCTTCCATAACTGCAAGCAATGGCTCCGATCTGGTTATTCGCTGTTGGTCTTATTTACACATACTCGGTTCATAACATGAGTGCCCAAATGAATGAATTAGCCTTTATTTATTTTTCAATGCAAATCTAACTCCATTTTCAATGATATGGGAGCGCACTATTTTCTGACTGATTAATGGCCTGTTCACACAAACTAAATAAAACTGGATTTCTTAACACTGGGTGGCAACAAGAAAAGGAGATAAAAAACAAGATAAGTCGGAGCAGACACAGAATACAATGGAGGTCAAGCGTGATAATAAAAAAAGATTAAGATTATTAAGAAAATGGATAATACAACAGTGAGTTTCATAGGGGAGCAGTTTTTACACCATTTAATGTTTTATGGACCAAAGGAAGCATTTTGAAATCAATTCTTTGCTGGACTGTGATAAAGCGCAACATTTCCTGTTCTCCTTTTCCCCACAGATTGAAGAGTTAACCAGTAGTCTGCCAGCACTACATGCCTTTTCTAGCAGCACCTCATCACTGGACAGCTCCACCAGCAGCACTGACACCACCAGCCCACCTGTTAAGAGGAAACCTCTGCCTCCTCTGCAGGGTGGAGCCAGAAAGGCCTTGCTGCGATGGGTTCAGCAGACAGCCACCAAGTATGACGCCATATCAGATAGTCAAAATGTCACCGAAAAACTAATGTGTTGAATGAAAAGACTGTCTGCTGACCCTATGACCTTTTGTCCTTTCAAGATCACTTGAGCTCGAGGTGAAGGACTTCGGCCCAAGCTGGCGTACAGGTTTAGCATTCTTTGCAGTCATCAATGCCCTCCGACCTAATCTAGTTGACATGGAGCGTGTATGGAGGAGGCCCAATCGAGAAAACCTGCAGGAAGCATTCTCACTGGCAGAGACTGAGTTAGGCATTCCACAGCTTCTTGATCCAGAAGGTAAATGGCATTTCCTACTGCATCGTCGTGAGACTATGTTATTGTAGACTGTACAGAACAGTCCTTTGTTTCAAGTCAACAGCCATCCACATACTAACAAAGTCATGTGATCAAATTATCTTTATGATTATTTACACACACAGTCCTTTTGTTTATCCCCCTGAATTATCCTTAACAGAAAGCAGTAGGGATTAAATGGCACTTACTCAAATTACATGAATGAATTACGGTAGTCTTAAATCAGCACAAAAATGTGTCAGAATACAAAAATAGAGAAGTGCAACTGTCACAGCATCAGATGTGTACCTCAGTGTCCCCGCCAAGCACCATCTGTGCCCCTTTACGCCTGCCCTTCAGAGTGATCTCTTACAAATCGAGCTTGACATCAGTATAATTAAGGTCCATTAGGCCGTGAGATTCAGCATGACGGAACCTTCTAACTAAACTTGGACAGTGATCTAAAATGCAAAGGATTGTTTGTTTGTTTTTGTTTAAATGCCACTTCAGTAAGACCAGTTCTTATTGTTGTTTGATATTTTTCTCTTTTGGGAAAACTGTGGAATATTTTAAGACTAACTTAAGTAATCTGGAAGTGACATTAGTTTATATTAATTCATTATTTACTATATCCATTATATTCAATCCCTTCCAGATGTCGACGTAGACAAGCCAGATGAAAAATCTGTCATGACGTATGTAGCCCAGTTCTTGAAACATCTCCCTGACAGAAAGCAGAGTGACTTGGAAGGACAACCAGAAGAAGAGGTAAACAGCTGTCACACTTGTTTCAGTTTTTATGTGTCTATTTCTAGCACTGTCATCTCCTTTTCTGAATTTTACACATTTAAGCATTTTTTAAGCATTTGTCTTAAAAGCTCCGCATTAATGCCTTTAGTCAGAGCTGTTACAGTAGAACCTCCACATACGAATTTAATTCGTTCCGGGACCTACTTTGTATGTTAAAATATTCGTGTGTTGGTTCAAATATTCCCATAAGAATACACTGTAATTCGTATAATTTGTTCCACAGCCCCAAAACTGCTTAATAAATACTGCAGATAATTACAAATAGCAATAAAACAAATGCATCAAAGAAATAAAAACGTGTTTTTATTGGCACTTCACCTTAGAGGCTGGCGAATGGGGGTGTAGGCTTAATGATGCATGAAACGGAAGTAGAGGTGGTGACTGAGATACAGGGCGTGCCGTAACTTAATCTAACTTTCATTAGGTGAACTTTAAACTAATTTAGCTTATTTATTTGTATTAAATTGTTATGTTTGATATTTGTTTTCTATGACTTCGATGTCATGTTGGAAATTTACTTTGGGCGTCGAGTCGAATATTTGATCGAATTTCACTTCGTATGTTTGAAAATTCGTATGTTTAGGCAGAGGTACTACTGTATTTAAGTTTTTTAACTCAGTTAGTGTTAAATAAAAGTTATACAAATAGCCCAGTATTGTTTGCTACTTGTTTAGAACTGTTAGAATATAATGTTCAGTACAAGTTTCTAGAAATGTCTCGAATGCAATGAGTGGCAGCTACACGCCTCATAATTATGCTAACAACCATTGTGATTTCATTCAGCTCTGGCACTGCGTCTATGTTTTGTCTTTAGGTTTTTGTGTACCCGTCTTCTGTCTTTGTTTTTTGCTGGGGTGTTTCTGTTTGGTGACTGCTTTCCTGTCATTGTTGTGTTGGCCTTTGTTTTACAGCATGATCTTGCTCCTCGAGATATAGAGGAAATGTTGGAGGTAGGTAGTGGAGGGTGATCTCAGAGGGTCCCCAGGTGCAGGTCATTTGCTGCAATTTGATGTGATTGCCAGGCATGCACATGCATTTAATATTTCTTTGAATAAAGTTTTACTTTTGTGGCTTTTGTTCTGATTATTTAAAGTATCACTGCCTACTGTACATTAATGATGATATTAAACATGCTTTTTTCATGTCAACATTGGCTTACCTGATGTGACATTCCTGCCTCGGGGTGTCTAAGCCTTGATAACGAGAGGAAGTCCTGTATAATAGGATGTGATATTGCCATTTATGAACGCTGCCAACTTGTGTCTTGGCTGCTGGTTCCATTAGCATGACAATGAAAGCCTCTGGCATCAGCAGTTTGCATTGAGACAGCATATTTGATGGAAGCTTGTGAATAGAGGATTTCTTTTTTTAAGGTTAGCAGTGTTTGGAGCAGTGATGTGTTGAAAGGCTGCAGTAACCACTTACTTTGTGAATCACATTCTTTTTCTTTTTGTTGTTCTGACTGGTCTTGTTGTGGCTTTTTTGCTTCATGGACGCTTTGTTTTCAGCTGATGGCTCACAAGCTCTCAAAGGTTGCAGAAGTTCATCAGCTATTATGCTTTGACATGACGGAAACAAAGAGTGTTTTTATGGAAATGGATAAAACAGTAACTTGAGCACAGATTATGATGCATTTGCAGAAAATTTAAGTAGCAAAGAAGGAAAGATAGAATTAACTCTATTTTAATTATTTCAATGACTTAAGCTGTCAGAAAGAATGTTGATTACTGTTTACTTGAAACATTAAGCACGGAACCAAACACTTCCTAAACTGAAAAGGTATCACAGGGCTTTTGAGCACCTTAACATTATTTCCATAGTTACTTAAAATCTAATGTAACTCTAATGGGATTTCAGTACGCTTATTCAGCTGCGTGTTGTTTTTTGCAGCATGGCTTTGGATATTTTCCTTTAAAGGGAGGCAGTAAAGATAAGAAAAATGCATCTCATTTTGTTTTACTTGCTTCTTTCTTTCATCTTTCCATTGGTTTCTCTATGCATACCTATGATCAAACTCTTTTCTCTTTTTATTGTACTTTTCCTCCTTTTTTATCTCTACCTCCTAACCTTCATATCTGTCATTCACCCTTCCTCTCCTCAACCATCCCTGCCTCCCAGAGAGAGCAGCGAAAGAGCCTGAGGGAGCTCAAAATGTGGCTCGACCAGCTGGAGACAGACGCATTACAGGCGCAGGAGACTGAGGGCAATCTTGCTCAACAGTACCAGGTTAGTGTGTATGTGGGGGATAGTCTCCTTGTGTCTGTGTGCAGTTTAAACTGGGCAGACGAGGCACAGACGCTCCTATTATTAGCTTAATCAGTGGCATTACACAGTGGGGATCAAGCAGCAGCCGTCATATTTTCAGTCTGGCTTATTGCGCCAAGCCTCAGGATACATTCAGCAGCATGTGGGGTATCCTTATTTCCTTTACATGGGTCTGAGAATCTGAAGATAGAGAAAGAGAGTTTCTGATCCAGCCAGCCTCTCATTATGTGAGGATTTGGCAAAATGCCTGTACTAAGAGAGTGTGAGCCATCTCGTTTTACTTTTCAGTTGTTTAAGGGTCTTCATGTTCAGCTGGAGATGAGGCGGAAGCAGGTGGAAGGAGCTTTGCAGTCTACTCAGCGGGATGGGATTCTGACTGTAGATCAAGCTCTGGTCAAACAGGCCTGGGACAGGGTTTGTAACAGGGTGAGAAACACCAGCCCCATCTAACTTAGCCATACAAATAACCATAAGAGAGTATATTGTAGCTATATGTTGATCTCATTTGGGCAAAATCGCAATAAAGACCTTATTTAATCATTTTTGATGGAAAATGTATTGACAGAGAGAACTTCAAAATCCACCAATTTAGTTTTACTTTTGCTTGATTCTATCAATCACTAGCAAAAGCACAAATCAGTGACTGTGAGAAAAAAAAAGAGATTTTCTCTTTCATTTTACATAGCTTACCGTAATTTTCAAAGATGTAAAAAATAAAATTGCATTAAAAGAATAAGGAAATTTTTTATTCATACAACAGATTGAAAAAAAAAGGTTTCTGACAAATCAATAAAGCATATACAGTCTTTTAAACATGATGGATTGTGTTAATCAATTGAATTTCCTCTATATCTTTATACCTTGTCCATACTAATCATTTGAAAGCATAACTACAAATATTTTTTTGTCCTGCACCTTTATTAAATACCTTAACTGTTGTCTGCATCTCAGCTCCTGGACTGGCATCTTCATCTGGACCGGTCACTGCCCGCTCCCCTGAACACAGTCGGTGCATGGCTGCATGAAGCTGAAGGAGCCCTGCGACAAGAGATTATTGCCCATCAGGCACATGATGTCACAGCAAACACTGTGCACAGAGCTCTGGAGCAACACAAGGTAAGAATGGGGCCATATACACAGAAGAAAAACTGTGAGAGAATGACAGCGAACAGGGGAACTCTTACTGAACTGATTCCTGAAAATGTGTTGTTTATGGTCGCACATTGAGCAGGATGTGTTGAAGAGCCTTGAGAGACACCAGCAAGTCTTTCAGAGAATCCACAAAGACAGAAGTGTTGATGGCGTCCCGATTCCCCCTGACCAGCTTCAAGACATGGCTGAACGGTGAGTCCTGACGATACAGTGTATTATAAAAATGTACTGACACAAATCCATAACTATATCACATTCTGTATGAACTTTTGTATTTTCTAGGATGAACTTTATTTCAACATCCTCTAGCATCCATCTAGCTAGAATGGAATTTTTGGAGAACAAACACCACATGCAGGCCTTCCTCACACTTGCTGAGTCAAAGCTAAAATCGTGGATCATTAAATATGGCCAGCGGGAATCTGTGAAACTGATGCTCCACAACTACATTGTAAGAGCTTTGTTTTTGTTTCTTTGCGAAGAGCTTCAATAGAACAACTTTTCTTATGCAAATATATACTGTATTAAAATTAATTTAAAACCTGTTTACTAATTAGTTCCATTACTGTCATATTACTGTTGAAACACCCGTGACAACAATCTTGTTTCCCGATTCTGTTTTCATCAGTCGTTTGTGGAGAAGCAACGTTTCTTTGAGAACTATGAGGCATTGTTCCAGTCCCTGAAACAGGCTGCAGAGGCCTACGTCAATGCTGAGAGCTCAGGTGAAAAATTCAAATCTCTACTCAAGTTTTTATATTTGCCATTTAGAAGAATTTAGAAAGAAAAGAGTTGCCTTTCTTTAAAAAGTAGATTTAAAACACGGTTAGTGATATTCTATAAGCAACTTAATTAATGGAGAAATCCGTTATCTACATCAATTTGATGGGAAAACCTAGTAAATAACACAAACAACTACAACAATACAGAAAAGACCAATTACTAACTGATGAGCAATGTTGCTCTCATGAGCTGAATTAAGCCAAAGATAAAAATAATCAAAGATCTCATCATTGGTCAATGCCAAATGTATGTCGATCATTTAGTTTTTACAACTCCAAATACATTTAACTTAAGACTAAACTAAAACAAATACACATTATTGCGAATTTAGTTTTTCAACAACTCTGTATTCAGTGAGGCGTTCTCCTGCAGCAGCTCAGTGAGCCCCTGACTGCTCTCACAATTTGAGTAGAGTCTGCAGGCTACAGCTAAATGAGGTTTCTTCACTCCCAGCTCTCAGTGGGGAATACGACCCCATTTGCCAGTTAAGGTCTGCTCCACTTCTGCAGATCTCTGGGCGCAGCTTGTTGGTGTCATTAGGTTTTGGGGTTGTGACGCTTTAGGGTATGCAGAGCGGGGAAGCGAGGTGTGGCGAGAAATCAGGACGCCAGAGGTTTGATTTGTCGCTCTCACAAATGTAATGCGCCACAGAGCTCTGCAGGTCCTTGTTAGGTCTGTGGTCTCTGATTGGCTGGATAAGGGGTTATACTGATATCTCAACATGTCACTAAACTGAAAAAAGACACGGGAACGAGGACTAGATATGTTATTCTGCTTTGCTGATATATTTATTTATTTCACAGCTTTATGTTAGATGGACTTAGATTTTGTTGCTATTCTATGTTGTGAGACCAAGGATAGAGATCCAAAGCACAAACTAGAAGATATGTGATAGTGATAGGGAGTTTTTTGGGTCAGATATGTGTCTGCCGAGACATATGGCTCCATCAGCCTCAATGTCCTCTTTATCTGGTGTTGCAGTGAAAATGTGTCATCTGCTTTTAAAACCTCAAATTAAGACTATGCTATTGTTGTGAAACAGCAGACTCAAGAGGCAGCTAAAACACCGTGTCACGGGTTGATTTGAGTCCATGTCATCAATTAGGGTTAAAAACAACATTTAGCCACGGTTAACTCAGTTCTAATAAGGACTGAGGCTTTAATTTTCATATCAGTCTATCTTAACTCCAGAGAAAATACATTTGTTAGCAGATAGGAAAATTTGTTCTGTTTAAGATTATTACAACCATCTTGTGTCTTGGGTGAAAATGACATTATGGCTGATAATATGCAAGAATAGGAGTAAAGTTCATCATTCCCCAACAGGGACTGTGGCCATTGAAGCTGCCTCAGTGCAAATTTGATTTACCTTGCAGTGGATGAGGGAGAAATGGGAGTGCGCAGGTTCATGCGGGAAGTTGTGACCCAATGGAGGAGTCTGTCCATGGAGGTACGGAGTGTGAGGAGCATGCTGGAGGAGGTGCTGACCAACTGGGAAAGGTACACCTCCACCGTGGCCTCCTTACAGGCCTGGCTGGAAGATGCAGAGGAAGCTTTGAGTCAGCCAGAAAACACTAAGCGGGTATGACTTTTACTAAACCTCAAACCTTTTACTTTACTTTGCTGTGAACCAATAAAAAGTCCTCTCATATGCCTTTAATTGACTCACTGGGAATTGCCTCAGAGTTAAGTGGTAACAATCAAATTTCCATCGGTTTTGTTAGAACCACATATCTTCAAGTGGAATCCAATTAGCTGCCTTCTCTTAAGTATCCTGCAATCTCGTTTTGACTTACAACAAACCACTGAGGATGTTCCTGTTGTCCCTTTGCCATGGTTACCACGGCTTCATGTCCCCATTAAGGATTAGACAGCTAATTACCCCAGTTTTTTTTTTTTACTGTCCTTCCTTTGTTTCTTTGGTTGAATCCTGTTCTTTGTTTCTTTCTTGATTATCTTTTTTCAGTTCTGTCTTTGACAGACGCTCTTTGTTTCCCCTAAATTCTCTGTGCCTTTGTCTGTTTTTTATGAGGTTCTTCTCTCTCCACCAGGAATTTTTCAGGAATCTAAGCCACTGGATGGATCAGCACACAGCAATGAATGATGCAGGGAATTTTCTTATTGAAACATGTGATGAGACTGTGTCACTTGATCTCAAGCAGCAGCTTCTTCTTTTGAATGGACGATGGAGAGACCTCTTCCTCAAAGTCAAACAAGTAACGTCTCCATACCATACCAGTTAAAACACCACATCGGACTACTATGTGAAAGAGATTGTGATGGATTTATATTTCGTTTGTTTTTATGTTTCTTTAATTGCAATAGTATGCTCATTCAGATGAGCTGGAAAAGTGGAGAAAAGACCATCTGAAGGCTGTGTGGGCGCTGAAAGAGCTGCTGGACTCAGCAGAAGCTAAACTACATGCTCCTGTTCACGTGTCTTTCCTCAGTGTGAGAGCCTTCCTCCAGGATGTGGAGGTGAAGTTTGCCAGATTTTTAAAACTTTTTAAGCATGACCAGCTTTATTTGAAAAGGAATTTTTCTAATTGAGTCAAAATTATTCTGTTAGTTTGCAGCCTTGGACTTAACCAATTTTTTAAACTTTGTAAATTCAGACAATGTTTTTCTCCTGAGAAAGGTCAGATTGTTAACATAACCATGACTGTGGTCACATGTTTTTCCGATCAATCCAGCAGATGGTGAATCACAAGATGAAAATTAAACTACTGATTAGATCACAGTTGTCTTACCCTTTGCACAGTAAAAGTAACATCCAAGGTCTAAGATGACCCTTTACCTTCTGTATCTCTTCTCAGAATATTAAGCAAAAGGTTGTCACCATGGAAACACAATACAAATTGGCTGCCCGCAGTGCTCAGCTCCTTGCCAAAGATGCACCACAGGATGAGGCCACCAGGGTCATGGCAACAATGGCAACTACGAAAAGTCAGCTGAGCAAGGTGGGATTCATAAAGGTCAAACATTATCTATATGAATTTTCTCTTTGATGACTATTCGAAAGCTTTTTGTTTAATCCCATAACTTTGTCATTCATTTGTAGGTTAGAGAGCGGTGTCCGTCCCTTACAAGGGAGTGCCATGTTCTTCTGCCACTGTTGGAAGAGTTGGAGAAACACGTCAGCACTTTTTATCAGGCTCTGGAGCGGGCAGGTCGCATCACCTCTGCTGCAAGGGATTCAGACTCTAAGGCTTCAGGCCAGCATAAACACAAGTGGCAGGTTAGATAGGAATGAACTGAGCATTTTTGGTTTATTTATTCCTGAGAGCCCTATGTTTAAGTTATAATCTATCACTTGTGGATTTCTACAACTTTCTGCATGTTCTACAGTTACAATATTTTGAGTGCATGTGTCATATCTTACACTTGCATTTTTCTGTGATGTTTCTTCCTGTGTATCAGTATTGTGGGACTTGAAGATTTGTGATATGCTCAAACATATTTTCTCTGTGTTTCACCAACTGTATCAGGATTTGTTAAACCAGCAGCAAAGTTGTAAGCGGTGTCTGTCAGTGATTGAGAGGAACCACCAGACTGTGCAGAGAGCCCTCAGCAATAGTAAGGTGCTGCGAAACTTTGACCTGTCCTTGCTGCAAAAGAGGGTTGTAGAAATGCAAGGCTCGGCACAGGTGAGGATGGCAACACAAAGATTGCTAAGAAGCATTTAAATATAGCTAAATCCATCCATCCATCCATCCATCCATCCATAACCACCACGCCACCGTGCCTCCCCTAGCTAAAGACAGATAGATACTAAAATATTGACCGAATTATTGAAGATGGAAAGTAGATATGAAAACACTGTTTATGTACCTACTTAATCTTTCATTAAACATTTGATGCATGCACTGCTTATTTGACCCATAATAACCACGGCTTCCATTCTCACAGGCTTTGCTGAAGGAGGTGGGAGAGTGGAGAAGACGGGAAGAAGCCAACAACTGCCTGAGGAGAAGGTTTGAGGAATCAAGGCATGAGCTGGAGAAAGTGCTGAAAAAGGCTCAGGGCTGTTTGAGAGAGATTGGAGACGCTGAGGAATTACTTAAAAAACACACTGTAAGACCACATCTGTACCCCTCTGCTAAAAATAATGCACACAGTAAATGTAGGCTACAGCTACTTTGCTGAAACATGGCTTTTCACTTCAGTGCGTACTGTAGCTGAGGCACGCACACTATTAGCATTTATCTACTTTTTCTGCTCAGCTTGGTCTTGTTTAAATTGAATGACCTTTTAGAGTTTTCTTCCGTCTCCTTGTGACACAGGACTTCTTTGGCCAACTGGACCAGCGGGTGCTGAGCGTGTTCTTGAAAGCATGTGACGAGCTGACGGACATTCTACCTCAGGAGGAGCAACATGCGCTTCAAGAAACTGTCCGTAGGCTGCACAAACACTGGAAGGTCAGAGGTCACCGTGCTTAAACACTCTCACTAATTACTGTATATTTCCTGAGGCGTATTTGTCAGTTATACATCAACTTAACTAGCTTGATCGCTTCAATAGAGTTCCGAAAGCACCAGTCACGTTTAGATCCCCATATTTACTTTCACTGTTTCACTCTTTTGTTACTGACTAAGATATGTGGCACTGACACAACAATGTCTATAAAGCTCTGTATATTCTCTTTTTTTATACAGGATCTCCAGACTGAGGTCCCATCTCATCTGCTTCGCTTGAAGGTGGAAGCGGAGAGAAATCGAGTGGCCACAGTTCTTCGAGAATGCAGAGTAGAGCTGGACAGAGAAATACAAGCCCTGTCAGGCACCTGCACTAGTGAGCGGGTGATCAAAGAGCACAGAGTGAGCCTCAGATTTAGAAGGAGAGATTAAACTGATGTCGAAAGAAAGACAAGACAAAATCACTAAATGTTTCGATGTGTCCTGTTTCATTCGTCAGACTTTCTTCAAGGAGCGTAAACCTCTAACATCATGTGAGAAGAGGATAAGAAACATGGAGGATCTGTGTCATAAATTGCCTGACAACGACCCCGCTAATCGGACGCTTGACTCTACTAGACAGGCTGTCAAAGAGGTCACAGAGCAAATAAAGAGCATCCACCTCAAACTAGAGCAACACCCTGACAAATGGAAAGAATGGAATGAGAGGTACTAAACGCAGGAGAAAATGTTTAATTATTTACAGAACATCGGGTGGCATCAAATTCAAACCGTCTTTAATCTGTTTTCAAGGTTCTGTGACCTCTCTGATTGGCTCTCCTCTCAGAGAAGGCATGTGAGGCTCTTGAGAGAGACAGCAATGAATTCCTGTCACCAGGAGCAGGTTGAGGCTGCTGTTCAGGTTGGAGAATGCTTATTGGTACATGCAGTCACAGACATTAAGTAATCTTGTTATGCCTTTAATGCCATTAATTAATCAATTCCAGGCACTGCAGCAAGCAGTAGAGACAAGAGAAGAGACCCTAGTGTGGCTAAAAAGCCGGCTTGCTCAGCTATCTGATGTTAGCTCTGACCTGGAAGTCCAGAGACAGAGAGTAGCCCTGGCCAAACTTTCAACTGACCTGCGGGCAGTCTTATCTTCACTCTGTCAGGTATTCAAAAATGTTCCACGGGTTTAGCTATTTCTTTTCTGCTGTGAGTTTTTAACATTTTTAACATGATCTGATTCTTTCCTTCACCCCCTAAGTTGGGCGAAGAGGGTTCTGCGATGTTTCAGTATGAGGAGTTGAGAGATGAAGTGCATGGCGCTCTGGAGGAGATTCTGAGGGCTCGTAAAGAGGCTGAGGAGCAGACCAGCAGGGTTCTGAATGCTCAGGGTCTGGAGGAGGCCAAACAACTCTACCTCATTCACCAGGTGTGTGTACCGCCGTCATCTTTGACAGCTCAGCATCAATTAAAATGTCTTTCAGTCCAATCTTTATATAGGGTGGCTCTGATTAAAGAGTTACAATAAAAGTTATTAAAGAAAAAAAATGTTCAGGATGTTCCAGACGTTGTTGCAAATGGATCATGTGAAATGTTTTCATGTTTTCTTATTATAGCAACACCTAAAACGGCTGCATGCTAACAGGAGAGAGGCAGAGCTCTTGGTGTCCCACTGCCGGCAGCTGCAGACCGGTGAAGTGCTCAATCAGCCTCTGCGTGAGCTGGAGGGAGCGTTCAGTGAAGCTGACCACAAATTGGGGGCAAAAGAGCACGACCTGCAGGTACTCATTATTTATCTGCACAAACACTCAGCAGCTATGGTTTTTTTTCTTTGTTTGCATGCTGTCCTGGGATATTTTTCTCATGTTTATCATTTTTTTTACATACATTTGTTGGATCCTGCATTAAATACAATTAACAAATGCTAGAGTTACAAGTTTTTAAATCTCTTTGTGAGTTTGCTCATATGTTGCTTTCGAACATTTTTTTTTACCATCATTATTCTTTTGATTGTGCACCACCTCAAGGCAACTCTGAGCTCTTGGCAAAACTTCGAGACCGAAAGAGAAATCATTTGGAGGTTTATAAGCAATGCTAACATGGAACTGAACAGAGAGCTTATTTTCAATAACTTGGACAGCATGAGGAGTGTACTGGAGTCTAACAAGGTCTGTATACGTGTGATGTGCAGATTATTTTTTTAATGACATTTTACACATAATTGAAACTTTTTGGGTTATATTTGCTTTTTAAATTGGCTGCATTTTCTCAACAGGAGCTTTTTTCAGAGTTTGAGGAGTATTCTGTTCGAGCAGATCTCTTGTTGGAGAGGGCAGCAGATATTCAACTCGGTGCAAAAAATCAAGATCTCCTTCTACAGCAGGCTCTGTCCACCAGGGAAGCAGTTTCACAGCTTCAACAACACCTCAAAGAGAAGTACGTCCTGCCATTTATGCCTCTTTAATGGCGTTTTTTTTTGTGTGTTTAATTTTCTACCAACAGATAACATGGAAACAAAGACAGGCACATTTAAAAAAAGACTCAGCTAGCTGTGCATTACCAGTTAGGCCAGTAAACATGAATGATTTATTTAAGAGAGTGTCATTTTCCGTCTGTGTGAATAGTAAAAAAAAACTGTCAGTATTTGTTTCTGGTGTTTTTTATTCGTGTGTTGTTATTCTTAAAGTATGACCTTGAGCTGCTGTTGAATTTTGTGTCTTTCAGTTCTTCCCAGCTAGAGAGGATGTGTGCACGATGGGAGCACCTCACCAGTGAATCAGAGGCCTTGTCTCTGTGGATCAATGAGAAAGAGAAGGAGCTGGAGGCTGTCAGCTGCATCCCCTCTTTAGATCCTTTAGACAAGCACATCAGCACTGTAGAGGTATGTATTGTCTGTATCCACTTCGCTTAACATTGATGTGTTTTTTTCACATCTGATTTAAGTATCCTCTTAAAATGGCTGATTGATACACATCATCCACCCATTAAGTTTCAGATTAATTTAAATGAAATTTTAATCAAACAGAACAGCAGAAATGGCTAACAAAAACAGACTTTCCTAGAGATCCTCATGTTACTGTTTGACAGATTGAGCACACATCAGATGAAAGAGCACTATAGTTTTTTTTTTTAAATCTTCACATCACAGCCTGTACTGTTGCATTTTTGTCTGACAATTTCCTTGACATGGTTTCCCATAATCTTTCCGCTGCTGTTGCCCCTTTCTTCAGATCATTGGTGAAGAGCTAGAGGAGAAAAGCTTGGTTCTAGGAAACATGGAGGCTGACTGCGAAGCCTTTTCAAAGTTTGTGACCCCCGGAGAGGCCGGACGTATCCGGGCTCAATTCGCCCACACAAGGCGATGCTATGATGAACTCAAAGAGAGAATAGAGCAGCTTGGCATTCAGCTAAATCAGAGCGCCTTGTACAGACAGAGATGCAATGAGAACCTTAAACAGGTTTCCAACATTTTATATATAATCAACACATTAATAATAATGAAGAATTGATTTTTAAACATTTTATTCACTGAATGTTTATATTTTCAGGTCAAGAAAACAGTGAGTGATCTCAAAGATAAACTCGAGTGTCAAACCACTTATTGTGCATCATCATCAGAAACCTATAAACTCCTCCAGGATCATACGGTGAGTGTGTAAAATTACTTCTGAAGTCTTGATGGTAAATGCTAAGTGTATAGGTGTGTTCTGATTTCTTTCAATTTCATGTGTTAACTTGGTAGCTTTTTAATGAAAGTATATTTTCCTTCAATCCAGGAGGTTTGCCAGGATGTTGAGCAGCTGAAGCCCAGACTGATGGCTCTGTTTTCGGCTATGAAGAGGCTTGGAGGGGGCAGCCAGTTGGAAGAGGAGGTGGATGACCTCCAGAAACAACAAAGGCAGTTGATGGCAAAGGCTTCCGAAAAGCAGTCGACTTTGGAGAGCCTTCTTGCTCTGTGGCAAAGGTACAATTAAAACTGAAACATGCTTTTCTGCGCATGTTACCAGGAAATTGGTCATTTTTACAGGCATGAGTCATCATCCATTGTTCTCCCTTGCCCTGGAGGAGAATCTATTCAGTCATCATGAGTACCTTTGATCCAGAGTAACAGTTCATGTGTAGCTCATCACTTGAAAAGCAATGTTTCTATATTGTAAGCAGTTGTCACCTTTCACAAACACAGGGAATTTGAAAAGGTTTCCAACAAACCCTTTACCATGTTGGTCTTCAGGATTTCATGTATAATACTGTGCTCCTTCCTTTGCTGACTGTTTCCCAGTCAACGTCAGTTGCTGCTCGCACATATTGCTAATTTTTAGTATATGGATACTGTACATTATAGTATATAAATATTGGCCTTTCCATCATATTCATGTCCTTCGTGTTCTCTACCCGCTAAATCCTCATCTCCATGCCAATTTCCTCTTTTGTTCTCCAAATCATTCTCTCATCTTTGTGAGATGTAGAGACCTAGTCTTTGACTCATTCTGTCTCTCCCTGTCTGCTGCTGCAGTTGTATTCTAATTATATGCTTTTCTTAATACACAATAGACTTTTACTGGAGTGATTGTTTCCATTTGTGCGGAGAAAATTATGATGGCACCGTTTAGCTGTTTAAAGTGCTAACACTTTGGTGCACCTCTTTCCTTTATCCTTTTTTAAATGAACTTGGCTGTATCTTTGCTGCTCTTCCAGCTGGGCCCTTAAGTGTCTGTTTGTGTACGAGTGGATGTGTGTTTCTTTGTAGTCATCCTCATACTCTCCCCTGCAGACACATATATGGGGGATTGCTTACAGCAGTGGGTGCTCTGGTGAGATATGGTTGTCCCGTCATGACCCTGTCACTGATACTAAGCTGTGGTCAGATAAAAAATAAATAACATGACATTCACATTATTACACTGTGTGCTTGTGAGTGTGTATCGTTAACACAAAGGCTGCTACTTGTATCCATATCTTCTACAAGGAATATTTCCTGGCATTCAACAATGGTGCATCTTTCTTCAGTTTAATTGGAAACAACATTTGTTTCAACAGATATGAGAAGGAGCATTTCTCCTTGAAAGTATGGCTGGACAGGTGCGAATCTGTGTGCTGCACAGACACCGATCTGCTTTCTGTAGATAAAGTCAGGCTTAGGAATGAACTACAAAATGTACAGGTAAAGTCATTTTACTATTCCTTTGATATCTCCAAAAATAACATAAATAAATAACTTATGCTGCTTGGTGTGATTCAGTCTTGAGTTGGATAATTTCCATATTTTCACTCACCATTCCAGGAAATGCAGCAGGAGACACCATCTTACGAGGCTCTCCTTCAGGGACTTGTGAATCTCAGGTTTTGTCTGAACCCCACAGCCCCTGAGGCTTATATCAAAGAGCTCAATGATGATCTCATTCAACTTCAGCAACGATGCAATTCTGTGAAATCCAGCATATCACATAGGTCTGTATCATTTTACTCAAGTGTATTTCAGAATGGGTCGGCATTCAGTATGTTGCATGTCAATTTGTTTTTATTTGGTTAATTATCCAACAAAATTTTTTTTTTTTTATGATGATTATATTTTGTTATTGTTATCAAGTGGTAAAGAAAAATATTTCAGTGTAATTATATATATGTATTTATATATGTATATATTGATATAATAAACCACTCTGTTGAGGTGTGTAATTGTAAGCATAAAATGCACAACTACTTTTTCTAATTTTCATGCCCTTACTGTAAAGTATCACCTGAAAATTTGTGATAAAAATATTATTTTTATTCTTACCAGACTAATTGTTAATCTACAAAATGAAATTGTACCTAAGAATACGAAATCTACACAGTTTCAGAGATTCACAGTTTCTGAGCAAAGTCAATGCAAAGCCAGATAAATAATGGTCAATGCCATTCATTGATCTTATTGTATTGTAAATAGGTCCGCTGCAATCAAGTATTGGTCAACATATTAAGCATAATTTCTAATGACCACATGAAACAAACTGCTCTCCACCCTTTTAGATGTAAGCTGCTGGAGTTCCACTTGGAGCAGTTGGAGCAGTTTGATCAGGCTCTGCTGACTGTGACACAAAGGAGTGAAAACTTCCTTTCTAGCCTGAGAAGCTCTTCTCAGGTTGATATTTCAGATCTTGATGCTGCAATCACTAAGTTAAAGGTGAGGAGTCATTCATTTATAAGACAATGATTTCCTTAATGGACTGTTTTTATTAAAAGAGTGTCAGTGTCCTCTTAGAAATGGTATATATGTTTCTAACTGCACAATCTTGCTGCAGGAGCATAATACACTACAGGAAAACGAATCTCTGAGAGAGGCTCTCCATCAAAGCGAGTCTTTGCTGCTTTGCCGTTGCACTTTTGAGGCCCAACAGCAGCTCCAGGGCTGGAGGGAGGACTGTTTGCAACCCCTTAGTGAATCTCAGCGTCTCCTGTTTGTCCGTGAAGACTGTCTGACTGAGTTAAAGGCTTTTCTTGAGAAGCACAAAGCAGCAGCTAAGACCGTGCGCCGCCTTCGTGAAGCAGTGGAGGGCAGGGGAAGCTGGGACCACTCCAAAGCTGAAGAACTGCATTGTGGGATTGTGGAAGTAGCCAAAGATGTTGCTCGACTTGAGGCCGAGGCGGTTGGGTTAGATGGGCAGCTAAGCAAGGCACACCTGCATCTGATGGGAGCAGAGTGGAGGGGCTCAGCAGACGTCAGTCACACTCAGGGAAGAACATCTTGCAGAGGACAAGCCGTGGCCCTCACAATGGCTCTGGAGGAGGTACAGAGGGGTGTTGGGTGGAGACAAAGTGAAGCGGATGCTCTTGCGGCGCTGTGGTGCTCATTCAGGGAGAGAAAGGAGGAGGTTATGAAGAACTTGAAGAAACTCGAGGATGATGCGAAGCAGGAGGAATCTCAAGAGTGCTCTGTGCAGGCATTCCAAAACAGGTATGCACATTTAAAGGAAGAAAGAATAGCTGATATTGTGACAGGCAAATTGAGTAAATGGTCACTTATATTCACTTGTACATTTATTTTTAAGTTTTGTAGTTGAGCCTCTTCACAGTTCCACTGGAAAGGCAATTGCTTCATCTTTTCCAATCCAGCATCTTTCTAATTTGTGTTAAAATTAGTGAACAGATTTGGAAACACAAGAATTCATCATTGTTTCTGTGCAGCTGTAGTGTTTTGCTCTTGAAACACATTGTCTTGCAGAATTTAAAATTCCTAACGCATCATTTAAGTTTTTGATCATTTGAGATCATGTCAAACTCCTTAAGAACAAACTGTTTATTACTGAAGCCAGACTCCATATGGACAAGTCCCTTTGGACCTGATTTCCTTAAGAATGAGATATAATGTGTTGGAATCAGGCTAATATTGTTCTCTTCTGGATCTTTTCCTCCCAGACTCCGTTTCTTTGTCCAGCTGGAGGATGAGCTCCAATCCCTGCATCACTCTCAGCAATGGTTGGAAGAGAAGGGAAACCAGCTGGCCCAGAGAGATGGTGAGCTGGCAGGAGAAGCTCTCAGGGAGGTCACACTGGTGAAGACAGCCTGGGAAAATGTGAAAATGATAATAACCAACAGGTAAAGCCTTGGCGATGAGCATTTATTTTGAGCTATTCAGGTCGTTTATATATTTGAAAGACTGATTTTATAGGTGTCACATTAAAAGTTACAGCTTTGACCTTTTGTCATCTCTCTTCTCTTGCAGTCAGGAACAGAGTGGAGTTGTGGTGGATCTTCTCCGCTTGTTTCTCCACCTGAAGTCAATCCTAAACACTGTTTTGGAGAATGCTCAAGCTGTTGCTCACAACCTGCCAGACCATAACCATAATGCTCAGGAGGCAAAATTGACTTTCACAAGAGTAAGTAGATTTTAGTTTTTCATTAAAATATTTATTTATTCATGTTTATTCCACAAATAAAAAATGAGTTTGGGTGTTTGTTTGTTTTTGGTGGTCAATATAATATATATATAATACCTTATATTAAAAAGAATCCAGATTCTCTAAATGTTTCCATTTGTATTTATCTGTCCCTCCAGTGGTCATTCCTTCTGCTCTTTTTGTCTCCTTTTAGCACGAGACCATCCAAACAGAGCTTAGAGAAAAACAGGAGGACATGGACCAGCTCATCTGCACAGTTGAGGATTTGCAGAGAGAACTGGAAAAGGTTCCTAACTGTGATAGCTGTTGCATCCAAAAAGACATGGAGACTCTCAGAGACCAGTGGCTGGTGGTAAGTGTTTTGTACTACACGCCATGTCATGTACCTGCTTGACAAGTCAAGATATTAAATTAAACAATTTTCCCTCAAACTGTCAGGTTTGCATTTGGAATTTAGTCGCCATCAAAATTAAGAAATAATCTGTTGTGTTGTTTGCTGCGATAGTGGAAACAATGATCTAATGTCCATACCTTACCTCAACCACGCGCTTGTTCCATCAGTCTTTTAATGATGTATATATTTCTGCTTTTAAAAAGATTCATTTTCATCTCCTTTAGAATCCAGTTGGCAGCTCAGCTGTCACAGATGAGACAGAAAAACAAACATGTCTAGACAGGTTATCTGCCTTTCTGTGTATCCCTCATTTCTCACTCCCACATCTGTCAAACTAATTATGCCTTGATTTGCCTCCACCTCCCAGTATACCATTTCTGTTAAAGCAAGAGATGGCTTAACACAAAGGAGACAGACTCCTCCTATCCTGGTGATCGAGATATTTTCTATTCTGTACTCAGATAGACTGTGATTCTGTGTTTTCCAGGTCTCAGAAAAAATACAAACAAACGCAGAGAGACTTGGCTACTGTGTTGCATTGTGGGATGACCTCAAGGCCATGGAGCAGGATATCAACCATTGGACGGCAACCTCAATCTCTGACCTCACTGACGCTGTCGCCATTCTTGACGAGAAGGAGCCGGCGGAGGCCCATCTTGCTGCCTTTCAGGTCAGGACTGTCTGGGTGGTCTGCATATAAGAGATGATGAATGATGGGGATGCTGTAATGCTGTGTGAGCTGGATGCGATTCAACTGTCTTGGACTTTGATCTTCAGGCTGAGGTGGAAAAGAGAGAGCAGATGCTAGATGCTGTGCAGGAGAGAGTGGGAGAACTGAAGGAGCGAGCCAAACTGCAGGAAACGCCGATACAAATGCAGGTAAAATGACTGTAAAGAACGAATGAATAAATGTAGAAGTTCTCATAAACTTTCCAGTAGCATGCAGCTGAGTTTTTCATTGAAATATTTATTCATTCATGTTTATTCCACTAAGTATAAAGATGGGTTGGGGCTCACTTATTGGCTTACAATGAGGCAAACAATCTAATATTTTCACAATGCCGTCTTTATCTGAGTAAATATGTGCGATTTGTTTATGTTTTGCAAAATAAAAATTGGTCAAATATAATTATTGTCAATGTAATCTAGTTAAATTTACGGGCTCCATGATTCAATTAAAAACTGTGAAATTGAAATTGTCCATTGTGGCAGATGTGCTTCTCTTGTGGTTATAACAGTGTAATTTGTGAGGCTTAAAAACTAGTAAATGGGAGATAAGAAGTAAATATAGTAGTTGTTTCTTTTTTCTTTCTGGACAAGAATTCCTTTGTAGTAATCCTCAAGCTTTTATCAGTTAGTACTTAAATCCTTAAAAAGCATTAAAAATTCAGAGGGGGAATGAAAAAATCGCTTTCTTTAATAGGATGATAACTGTGCTTTGACTTATATTTCTATAAAGGAATACAAAGGGCATATGTTGTGCTGTTGATATGACCCAACTTTGTTTGGCTTCTGCTGTTAAATTGCTGCCCAAAATGACTAAAAGAGTTTTAAAGTATGCGTTTTCAGTTTTTAGCTCTAGCACAGTTCTGTAAAACAGTGCAATGTGAAGCATTAGGTATTATACTGAATAAAACATTAAATACAACCTTTGCCGCTCTCATTTGGACTGAATCTGCCTTTTGCTAAATGCTGATAACAGACTTTTCTCAACCAGGTCCTCGAGTCCGATCTGAGGAAGAAAATGTTCCATGCGCAGGAGGTGTACAATCAGGCCAAACACACTTTGACCTACTTCAACTTCCAGAAACAGCGACTGGAGGACCTCATGTCTCAGATGACAGAGCGGCTGGAGACAGTTGAGGGTTCTTTATCAGACCTCACAGAAGCAACATCCCTTGATGACATTTTTACAGTAAAGGTATTACTGAGACTTTCTATGGTTATCTTACTTAGTGGCACAAGGCTCTTTGTTAGGAAAATATTAAATATCTTTGCAATATAATATATGTATATACTGCACCTATCTAGTTCCACTTCCCCGTAGCATCAACTGTGAGCATATTGAAGAATTAGCTTTTAATATTTGACTGTTTTTCATGGAAGGGTCTGCAGAGTGTTGTGCAGAAACAGAGGGCAGACATGGACTCGGCTAGGGAGGCCCTGACTTCCCTTTGCAGATCGCATCCCTCTCAGGAGTTGTCCCGGCTCTCGTCTGATCTCACCTCCATTGCTAAGCGAACAGAGTCTGTTGCTCAACGCTGTGCAAAGACCAGGGGCACCCTCCAGGAAGGGTTACAGTTACATTTCAACGGTAAGAGACATGTTTATTTTAGTGTAATTGAGATTGAGGTTTGTCTTGATGAAGTGGCTTTCTAAAGAGTAAATAAACATCATGTCTGAACTTCTGTTGAAAAAAAATCAGTTCTTACCGGAACTTAGAATGTCGCTATCATCCCATCAAACAATGTCCAGTCACATAAAGCGATGTCATTTAATTATGTTTGCGGTGCAACAGATTTGCTGTCGATTATCTTCCATTTTTCCCCAGAGGACATTTAATCCGCCCACTCATATCCACACTGCCTCAACACACGCTATCAGGTACACTGCTGCACTCTCACTGCTTCAACACACACCTGTGCCTCCGAGAGTAATGTTGCTCTCGTCACATCTGCTCTCGAGGGAGTCGTTTTGGGCTTGTTGCCAGGGCAACCTAGCACTGGATAGTGAGGACACACCCACACTTCCTATCTGCCACAACACATAACCTCTACTCTCCCTTCTTCTGGCTCTTTTCCTTTTAAATCTTAACTGTGATTACTTGTCACAGGTCAGGTTTTCTTCAGCATGTTACCTGGTAATTGTTTTGCTTTTAGCTTTTTTGTTCTTTCTGTTTCCCAACGCAGTGCTTTACCAAGACTTCAAATCCTGGCTGACGGATCTAAAGTTGAGGCTGAAAGACTGTTTTAACCAATCAGGAGATGTTACTGTCCTTGGAGCCAAGTTGCAAAGACTTAAGGTATTGACAACTCTCACTTTACCTGTGTATTTCACAATCTTAAGTATATCTTTCTTTTATTTTTTTCAGTCATCTCACAATGCAAAAGGAAAGACGTGTTATTGCTTTAAAAAATTCCTTTAAAATATCTAAAATCCTATCTAAGAGTAGGTTTCAATCTCTGCATAATTAACCAACTGTTAGTCTTGTTTGGGAGAAATAATGATGTAGTAGAGTACGCATTACTAGTGTGGAATATTATCCAACCCTGAAGGATGCAAATCTATTTGTTTTTGGTGTAACAAAGACATGTCACTTTTAATTTAAAACACATCTCTTTTGTCCTACTCAGTTGTCACTTGAGCAGACGTCAGAGGGTGAAAAGCGTCTCTCCCAGGTTTGCAAGGAGGCTGAGAGGCTCCAGCTGCACCTAAGCAAATCTGGAGCAGCACAGGTCCAAGAAAATCTATCCTCCTGTCAGAGAGAGTGGAAAAACTACCTTGACATCTGTGCTCAAAACCAACAGGACTTGCAAGATAGCATTAACCTCTTGAAAAAGTAAATTGTGACTCCCATAATGTGTTATATTGATCAATTTCAAGAGAAATACACTGATTTTCTTCCCCTTCCTTTCTTATCTACTAGTTTTGATGACTGTGTGGAGGGCATAAGAGACTGGCTGAGGCAGATGGATGTCAGACTCAAAAGCGAGCCTTGTCTTGGTACAGATAGCCAACAAGAATCACCAGACACCACAGAGGAGCTGGAAAAAATGAAAAACCTCAATAAAGATCTGATCTCAAGAAGGTTTGTATTTGTGGGATGCTGATTTTGTAGGCTGTTTGCACTGTAGCATCAGCCCGGAAACCGTCAGAGCAATTTGATATTGTCTTTTTCTTTTCTCAGGGAGTCTGTTGAGCGTCTCTGTCAGGAGGCCCAGGCTCTCTCTGAATCTGGTCGGGGGTCAGGAGGGGAGGTCAGAGTAACAGGCCAACTACAGATGGAGTATCAGGCCTTACTGAAGGCTGCCAGGGAGAGGCTGCGAGGTTGCCAGGAGACCCAAGCCTTTGGAGACACCCTCCAGGGAGTTTGGGCTTGGCTGGAGGAGATCCAGGAGAGACTGGGCACAGTTGACAGCACGATGGGAACCAAAGAGCAGTTAGAGCAGAGACTGGAGACTGTGCAGGTGAGACGGAGGGTGGCTAGAACATTTCTATTTGAAATTATGTTTAATTAAACTTGAATTAATTAAATTATAGTCTAGATTACACAAAATGCTATTTATTCAATTATATTACTTCGGCTGTTAGTATGTGCTGTGGTTTCCATAAACACCAGAGGGAGCTCTTTCCTTTGGAAACTTTTTTTGTGCTAAACTCCTTTGTCTAAAGCCAATTCTCAGAGACCCAACTCTGTTTGCACAGGACATCCTGCTTTTGAAGGGAGAAGGGGAGGTCAAACTGAATATGGCGATGGGTAAGGGTGAACTGGCCCTACGTAGCTATGGAGCTGCTGGACAGGAAGTGGTCCGCTCTCAGCTCCAGGAAGTCGAGGATGCATGGGCCACACTACTTGTTACTGCCATGAGCTGTCACAGGTACCTCAATGGTTTAATCCCCACATATTAAGTCTTACTGGTTGGTACAGTCAGCATCCTCATTTTAGAATATATAGACATTAGCTTCAGCCATTTTTGATTCAGACTTTTTTTGTGATCCATTAAGATGTTTGCCTGGGGAGATTTTGGAGCCCATTTCTCCTTGTGCCAGAAATCCTTTCGCCAGGGAGCGTTTTATTCTCACCATGATAGATTATCTGTCAGTGCTATTAATTACCATTAAGCTTAATTCATAATGAGAGGTATTTGTCTAATTTTTCTGAATCTGATTGATGCAGCTTTGTTTGCTCTTTGCTGCGTGTGAGCGAGCATGTCAGTATGCACACGCACTGGTTGGTGTGTGTGTTTAACTGAGCATTTATGGTCCTTCTAGAAAAAGAAAATTGATCTCATTAGGGACTAAATGGTAGATGGCAAACAGTGGGTCACACATGTGGTGTGTTTGTGTTTTAAGGGGTAAACTAAAACAGGGGGTAAAGGGATAGCATGCAAAGAGGAGTAACATGTGAGTGTGTGGATATTGGCGTCATTTGTGCATGCGGAGATGACAGATGGCAAGGAAAATGATGGGAGTGTATCTTTGTCTGTGTCTTTGAACCTCCTGATGAAAGAGGATAAAGACACTTGGCCCGTGTTACTGATCATGTATATTTCTGGACACTGTCATGAGTCTGAAATATACACTCAATCTTTATCGCAGATTGTCTGCTCAGGTAAATGTGTTTGTCCTTTATTAAATACTTTGCATACATTTGTAATATTCAAAGTGTATTATCTCTACAGTCGATTAGAGTGGACGGTGTCTCAGTGGGGAGGATATCTGGAGACAGCTACACAGCTTCAGGGTTGGATGGAGACTGTCAAGCGGGAGGTATGTGCTCCCCTTACACCACAGCCAGGACCCAGAGAAAAGGCCTCCCAACTGGAAAGACTTAGAGCCTTGCTGACTGACATGGAAGATCACCAGATGGCACTTTCCAGCCTGGAAGAAAAAGCAAGAGAACTATTCAAGAAGACTGGTGATGTGAGCTTTAACCATGGCGCTCGCACTCAGTTACAATTGCAGTTCGATGACCTTACAGCTTTGGTGGAGGTAAAATAATGTTGTCGTAGATCTTAAAAATATACCACCCACCTCTTTCAGATGATTACCAATTTTATACAAATACTCTGTAGGAGAGAGTGCGTCTGGCACAGGCGGTGGTGTTGGCGCATCAGAACTACCTGGAGTCTGTTCGAGAGCTCACTGACTGGCTGATGACTGCCGGAGAGGAGCTACAGCATTGGTCCGACACGTCAGGAGACTCTACATCCATCAAAAAGAAACTGTCAGACGTGAGGGTGAGGACTTGGTTGCAGCACCTATTATACCATGTTCCTAAACTAAAGCACGTCACCAAAACATTATAAACTAAGCTAGCAGATCTAACACAGAACGTAAATCAAAATTGTCCTACGATGATTCTGAAGGGCAGCATTTTGTGGCATGATGTTTGAGTTACAGCAGATGCTACAGTAAAACATACCCCTGTATCTGTCTCCAATTATCCTTCTTTTTTTACAACTGATTTAATCATATTGATGAGCTGCAAATGTTTTATTCATGCAGGGAAACCTCCAAACCTGTGTGTATTTTCAAGTGCAACATAGAAGGTACCTTAAATATTGCAAGTATTGATATACTGACTAGCCATATGCTAATTACATTGAACAATGGTGGATTGCTAAAACAGTGAATGACACGTTGAGGTTCCCAGTGATCCTGAAAATGATAAGGACATCTCCACTTTTTATACCCTGCTTTTTGCTAAGAATAAAACACAAGGTAAAATCAGGGTAACTCTGGGAATGGATAAATGCTATCTGGCAGGTGACAGGGCTATGGAAGGGTAGCATATGATTAAAGCTTGATTCTCACAGAGTTCCCAAGATTACAATCAGAAGAATGCCTCTTTGTCCTGGTAGCTCTAAATCATGCCTCTGAAGCCGGTCCTTCGCATTTGTTAGGTTTCCATTTTGTTATAGTTTGCTTTGAAAACTGCTGCAAGATTATTTTGAACCTCACACATATAATTAGGCAAGTATTACCGAAAAACAGGCATTTGAGTACCTCTGAACAATAAAAAAAACCCTAAAATGCACTGACACAGGGCAGTGCCATTGACGTCTATGTTAACCTTTGTTTGAGTGTGTGTTGTTCCGAGACCAAGTGTGGAAGTGTTATACCTGTCATCTTTTGTGAGGATAACTGAGCCTACTTAATCTAAATGGATTCTCACTATGAAGAAGAGTACATCATGTAGGGAATTGAAATTGGTTCTCAGCTTGTTTCACATATCAGAGTCAAACATCTATATCTCTCCCGATATAATTTACTGACAGTCTAATAGAATATTGTTATGTAGTAAAATGTTGCAGCGATGCTTTAGCTCTTCCCTGTTCAATAATTCTGCAATAGCAGCAGTGAGAAAATATGTGAGAAGAAATTCATTTGCATTTAAATTGTACACATGGGTCCTAATCATCACAATATAAATGTGTGTTCGCATAACTATGGTGTCAAACATTTCAGGCGAATGTATAATTTCTTGTTTGTACAAGGTTAATTACCACTACTTACACACAGTGTAAGTAGTGGCATCCAACCAAAGAAATGGTCAGATGCTCCTTTACTGACCTTCTGTATGTCATCATAGTCAAGTGTTTAATGTTCACGGCATCTGCCTTGTAAGTGCTGCCTTCCCATAAAAAAAGGGAATTGGTGGTCGAGGGGGATGGAGAGAAACTGAAATGACAAAAGAAATTACATGACATCAGTATCATGCTAATGGTGCACCGAGGAAATCAAAGAAATTAGTGTAAAGATAAGAAGATAGAGCAGGAGACGCTGGAGAAAAGTCCGGCATGAGCAGCTTTGAATAGATTAGATTGCACATCCAGAGATTAAAGTTACCTTAGCCACAGTTTCCTTAGCAACTTTGTTTCCTGTCTACTCTTTCCCTCTCTCCAGGAGCGCGTGGAGTGTCGTCTCCTGGAAGGCCGAGACCGCCTGAGCCGGGTTCGTCGCAGCGCTGCCCTCACAGCGGAGCACACAGCAGCAGGCGGCTGTGAGGCCATGGACCGACAATTGGGGGCACTGTCACATGCTCTGGAGCAATGGGAGGGGGCGGCTCTGCGGGCCCGCGACGGCCTGGAGGGGGCCCTTGCTGCTGCTGCAGCTTCAGAGGAGGAATACGGCCGTCTGACAGCCCGTCTGGAGGATGAGCTAAAGGAGTTCGATGCACTTCTCAGAGGGTGGAATCAGGAGTTGATTAAAGCTGAAGGACGCAGCAACGGCGAGGAGGCAGTGGAAGGATGGCAGCTGGCTAAGGTAAAATAAGACTAAAACACACATAATGACAACATGAATGGGTTATTGTTCGACTTCTCACAACAGCTTATTAAAAAAATTTTTTTTATAAAAATTAACACAGTTGCCGGGCTGTGCTTTCAAAGAAAGCGATAAGCATTGTTTAATGGAAAATGCTCACATAGACACAACATAGACACACAGTGTGTAGACATGCTCTGCATGCAGACACTCTGTCAGTAATTATCCATTCTATTAGTAAATCCTAAAAACAGATTAGTTTGTAAATCAGCTTTACAGGAATGATGGAATGACAGCGACAATCCCATCAGTTTCCCCAGCTCCCTGCTTATTTAGTCTTCCCTGCTGTCTCCTCTCAACCCCCCCTTTCTGTTTTTTGCAGACATTATTTTCCACTATCTCGCGCTTCCAAGCATTCCCTCATTATTTTCTTTGTTTTTCTATAAACTGTTCTTTCTATGAACTGTGCAGATTCGTCTTTCTTGGCTGCTGGGGTTATGTCTTAATGATGTCACCCCCCATTGCACTGCCTCCAACCTTCACAGGATGTTTACAGTGTGGCAATTTTTTTTCATTGTCAAGGCCAAAACAACACGTTTAACCTCACACTTCTCCCCTAGCTTCTCCGACCATGCCTTTTCCCGGCTTTCCTCAATTTGAGGCTGTCTAAGAACAGAACAGAGGAGGAGTTCTCCCCCTCCTCCGCTCCTCCCTCTCCTCCTCCTGCCTGTTTCCTGTGTCCGGCTGTGTTTTCGTTGCGCGCTTGTTTGCGTGCATTTGAACCAATCCTGCATCTGTGAGGGCTGACAGCTGAATTCCACCGGGAGAGAGCATGAGAGGAGGAGAGGGAGAAAAAAATGTGTGAGTGGGAATAAGTGGAAGGAGTGGGAGGAGGGAGAGAGGAGGGGAGAGAAAGTAGTAGAAGCACAGGAGGAGAGAGAAAAAGAGAAGAGAGCAACGGGTCCATAAGCGAAGGGAGGGAGGGGTTGTTTAATCGCTGTACGTCAGATGGGGAGCAAATGAGTGAGAGTCAGAGCTTGTTCATATTTCATGGGAGAGGATTTCATGACCGCGTGAGTGCAAAATGTGAGGCATGCTGAGGAGAGCGGGAGAACGTTGTCCATAGCTCCTTCCTGCTCCACTCTGCGAAGAACAGAAATGCTATTGAGCAGGCAGCACTGTGAGTATGTGTTAGAGTGTGTGTGTAAGTGTGAATGTGAGCTGAGTGAAAACGACTGAGCTGGGATGTGAATAGGAATGCGCTGATTGAAGGGTGTCATGCAAATCCATTGGGTGCTTGTCTCTTCTTGACACTCTGGCTCACACTGAGCCAGCTGCTGTGTGTTTTGTCTTGTTTAGGATATTTTAGAGGGCTTGCAGAGCGCTGAGCCGATGGCAGAGAAGTTGAAAAGCCAACTGAATGACCTGGTGCGATACTCCAGAGACCTTGGCTCTCAGTCAGAACGGGTCACTGCGCTTATAAAACAGCACAACAGGTGAGAAAAGTCTTTATGATTCAGTGAGCAGTAAGTGGCGGAAAAAATACCTGTGCTTGTGTTCCCAGAAATGGGAAATGATACACAGATATATTAGATGGAACTTAACCAAATACAGCTATTGAAGTATTCCTTCTTATAGACTTGCAATGGATAGGATTACATTATGTTTTACCATTCTTTTTATTTATGTTTTCTTTATTAATAATTCAGCCTGCTCATAATTTTCATCTACACTTTGAAGCATGACCTTCCATAGCGTCAGCAGGGGAAGATACATCTTGCTATGGATAAGCAATTGTGATTCGGATGCTGATACAATGATTTTTCTCTCCTAGTCTAACTTTTTAGCCGTCTTTGCTGTAAATCATGTTGTCAGTGTTGTTTTCTATTGATGTTCTTGGATGGGAATCCTGCTTTTAGTTGAGCTCAGGAACAGTTTGCAGAAAATTGGTCGAAACAACTTAACAAGAAAGCCTAATTTTTTTTCTTTTTGGTGGTTGTTCTGTGAAGCAAACTGGTGAGTGTTAAAAGGCTTTGTAGAAATTCTACAGATATCCAGAGTGACTGCAACAGGCTTCTGTCAGTCAGGCATCTGTATTCCAAGTATATTATGTAAAACCTACAGCATAAAACAAGAAAGATCCCTTAACAGATTTTACATAAAACAGCATTTCTTAAAAAGGTCTATTCAACATTCATGACGCCAAATCAATGCCGGTAGTTATTGCTTTATTTCTTTAGTGTGGTATTCAGCCAGGCCTTTTTGAGTGGTCTTGCCATCACACAAACAAATCCTCTATGCCTCGTTAGAAGAGTAACAGCAGATAAAGCACACACCACATGTTAATGTCCATTTCTTTACCAGCTCCTTTGTCTTAGAGGAGCGTACGTGTGCATATGGCCATCACACATTAGTGTGATGTGTGTCAGCCAGATGAAGGTGAAAGGTGAACGGGAGCAGCAGAACCACTAGTTGCTAAGCGACATTTAACCACGTTCCCTCACCTTTACTTATTCTCTGTGTTTTTGTCCTTCTGAGATACTTTTGTACAGAGCTGTGTGTAACCTTCAGGTAAATTAGTTACAATTTGGGGGGGTTATTTTCCACAGTGCACTGCTTGTTTTAGTCCAGTCACCAAGCTCTGATTGTGTGTTTTGAATACATATGACAGTGTGTTAAAAGAACATCAGAGCATTAAAAAAGAGATTTTAGACACAACCATGGTCACTTCAGATTTGAAAAATCATGATTCAAAGGGATTACCGCGTTTTGAGAGAAAAGCCCTCTGGAAATGCTTTGGCACTTTGCTGGCTTAAGCCACACCCTTTCGTCTTCACTTGGCTTTTCACGCTGTCATAGATATGGCCTGTGCACTCTTTGCACCTGTCCTGCATTAAATGCTGCAGGAAGAGTAAAAAGAGAGAAAAAATAAAGACACTGGAGACCCCCCTCCATTCATAGCACATGCCAGAATTTGTCTGTCACAGCAAAAAAAAAGAAAGAAAAAAAGTACTCCTACAGCCACGCCATTCCTGCTGCATTATCCTTATCACACCGATAAAACTCAAGGATGTTTGCGTGCACGTCTGTTTCTCCATCTAAATCAGTGTTCTTTTCAGGAGGGGGGTTGTGTGTTTGGATTGCTGTTTTTCTTCAAAAATAGCCAGGAGTATGTTTCTTTCATCCAACGAATCTGTCAGCATCATGATTTCAAGAATCTCTCCTGATTAACCTTGACTAAAGCAGCAACCAGTACTTCCCAATGCTTTTAAAATAAGCCACTTTCTATAACCCCCCTGTAAAGCTTGTGTTTAAAAAGAGACAACATTTCTCAAAAGGACAGAAATGAAAGAAGTTTGATTACTCATTCAACTTTGAAACCCTAGTTAAATATTATGCCATTGGAGTATAATGAGCTTCTTGTCTCATCAGTGAGTTATTTATGCATTTTACGCTTTCGTGCATTTCTAACATTTCTAACATTTCTAACATTTGTCTTGTGTTCACTTCTAAAAACTTATAGCTGTCAAAAGAGCATGACCTCTAACCATTTGGGTTATTTAGATTGCATGAGTACCACTCTCCTTTAAGATCCATAAATGTAAAGTGCACCTTACCTCTTCAAAGTGAAGTGGTAGGACCTGGTGGTGAAATCTCGATTTATTCATATACATATTGGAATAATTGTGATTTTGAATTTGTATTTTTCACGTTCCACTCTATGTCAAAAGTGGAACATGTTAGATCTATTTAATTAAAAAAAGTCAAAACTCTTTACTTAATTTATTTAATTCAACACCTTTTCTTATTGTGAAAAGTGTTTTCTTATCTCTGCACTGTTTGGACAACAGTCCAAAGTCGCATCTTATGGTGAAATCTTATACAAAACTCAAAATGTTAGTCTCTTTATTTTTATTACTCTTCGGGTAATGTGGACCATCCACACTCCTTTTTTTATTGTTGCAAGCTGTCATGCCTCGTTCTCTCCATCATGTCACCCCCGTGAACTCTTGCCCCAATCATATGTTGCCCCTCAACCCCCTCTTACTCACACACTGCCCCCTTACCACCATCCCCCACTCTCCCTGTTTTCCCCAGAACTCATTCCTTCCACTTCACCCGCTTTGCCATTTCTGATCACTGAAAGGCATCTTTTCCTCCTTGACATCAGGACTGTCTGAGTATGCCTTCTTTGTTATGATGACCACATGTGAAGTTACAGAAAACATTTCCTGCTTTGTGTTTTTCCCTTGTTTCTCCTTTGTGAATTTAGCCTTTGAAAAGCAACTTAAGTCTCTTTTCTTTCCTCTTTCCTCGCAGTCTTAGTCTCCGCGCGTCCAGGGAGTGTCAAAATAAGGAGCGTTTATTGGAGCAGAGGTTCCGTGCAGCTCTGAGGGACTTCCAGCAGTGGCTGGTCAATGCCAAAATCAGTACCGCCAAATGCTTTGATGTACCACAGACTGTCTCTGAGGCTTCCACAGCTCTGCTGAGAATCCAAGTAAGAGATACCTCCTTTTATGTACTGGAGTCATCAGGGAAAATCACATCATTTTTTTTTATTTAGTCATATATGACTATGTTCCTCATCTGCTGATGACCATCCGTCATTTAAAAAGGACTTTTTCGTTCAGATAGATTTGCTTTTATTGCTCCTACTCAGGTTGGATTCATAGTTTTCATCTATAATATAAAAAATGAGCACATCCTTGTCAACAGAGGAGTTGTCCCTGTGCACACCAGACACAGAAAAAGCAATAAAAACAGATTAAATCATATTTTGTTCAAATTCTTCTGAGACATGCAGTAGTCGTTTGCTGAAATAATCAAGATTATTATCATAACATTTTGCCCTAACATTTTTGTGCACAGAATTTGTGTGAGTTAATGATTGTGTTTTTTTCTTTTATGACTAATTACTGAAAAAGGCTATCTTATTTCTTATTTCAATTGGCTCTTAAGCAGCTCCCCTGTTCCAACAATTGTTTTACTTAGAATATGCTAATAGAAGAGTTGAAAGGGTTTTCTTATGGGTATTGAATCAACAAGCTTCAAGTGATTTTGTTTGCTCCTTGAGACTCAAAATCCTCTCGAGTTAACTTTGGATCCACTGCTGCTAATTTCAAACGAGAGCTTGCTTTTACTCTCATTGCCTCGAGTTGGCAAGCTCAGTAAAGAGTGCCATTATGAAGAGAAGTGAAATGATGTAATAGTTGTATAATCAATCCATTTTCAATGGGAGATTGCTGAAGGGGATGACCACTCTTGAGTGTCCTCTGCTTGTTGGAGTGGAGGACTTTGCAATAGGCGGGATGAGATGGAAATGGCAAAGAGCCAACAGGGATATGAGAAAGCTCAGCTGTGGAGTTTGTCTGTAATTCTCTTCAAAATATATCTTTGAAAAGGAAATCTTTGTGTGTTCCTGTGAGAATCTGGCTGGTCTGTCAGCTTCTAAAGAGCCCACCAGGGTCCTGTCTAAAAGTCAGGTGCTTGTCTTTGAAGGCAGACATCCACACATCTCTGCACTAGGCAGTTAATTACCCTGCAGACACATGGCCACCACCACCACTACCGCATTTCCATCGAGGAGCTCTGGCTATGGCAGCTGAGATCTTGTTCTAAGAGGTCTATGATGTGATATTCTATTGCAGTCACATGGTCACAGGACAAACTCTGTTCAGACTATCAATAGAATAATATATTTTTTTCTAATGAAGTGCTGTGCAGGTTGTGTGTACTTCTGAAGATTTTGAAGTATCGTTGTGGACGAAATGACATTTTTCATGTACAGGATGGACAGAGCAATATGGAGGCAATGATGTTTTATTTATTATTGACTTGGTGAGGAATGTGGAACAATGTTTCCACATGAATGGCCTCCAGGAGGGTTGGTGTGGGAGGGGTGATGGCGTCCATTGTGCCATGCTTAATTGGTGTTATGCAGTTACACTGGCAGGATGAGATTAGTAGTAAGCGTGAAAAAGAAACAGTGAATGAACACAAAACAGAGGGGAATAGATGGAAAGATAAAGAGAAACTGAGCAAGAGATTCAGATTTTCCGCATTTGTGTGTGAGGAGGCTGAAGATGTAGTGATGTGCTGACTGCACAGATGGTGTAGCGGTCCCTGCTGCGTTACTGTCATCAGCTCGGCTTCGAGGGAGGGTATGTGTGTCGTCTGCGTATGCGATCTGTGTCTTTGTATGTGTGTACATTGTCAGTGGGTGGGTACGGAGGAGCCACACAGAAACCAACACATTTCAGGTTCACTGATAGCAACCCTGTGTCAGGCACCTCCTCCTGCTTATGTATATAGAATTACTAATGACTTCGTCTACTGTAATTAATGCTTCTCACTGTGTAAAGTCAGCTCAGTGGACACAAAAGAAGCTGAGGTCAGGGTTTTACATTGAGTCCATTTTTCTTTTCTTTAACTTTCCCACCCTTTTCCTTTATGTGCGTTTATTAAATAGTCACTGCTCTTTTGTCTTTGTCTGTGTATCCCCTCAGGAGTTCTTGAGTGACAGGGAGAATGGCCAGGCCAGGCTGAGTACAGTAGGAGCCAGTGGGGAGCTGCTGATGGCTGTCGTATCCAAAGACAGAGTGGAGGGAATCAACGCCAAGGTGGTAAACGCCAGGGAGGACTGGAAGACCCTGATGAATAACCTGCAAATGAGAGAAGATGCACTCAAAGTTGGTTTTGCTTGGTTGCTGTTTTCTTTGCTGAACATGTGGTCAAATTTAAGTTAACTGTATGGTTTGTCAGCACCACTAGTATAAAGCTTTAAATATGATAACCAATGATCATGTATTTTTTTAGTTATGCTATGCATGTTTATTTTTTTATATGTGTATATGTTTATATATTTTTTATTTAACAGAAATATTATATATATATATATATTAGTGAAATAAAGAAACTGCATAAATGACCAGTATCTATCTACACATTGTTAGATTTCCCCATCAATTTACGTTATTTCTGATTTAATGCAATCTCAGACTGAGTGGTCCGAATTTTCTTGATCAAGTGCAACATTTTCCTTTAGATCGGACTGTTGAACTTGTTAAAACTTGCATGCGCAAACTCAGTCGTTTTTGTTACATCAACAGAGTCTGCAGTCCCAAATGACAGAGTTTGAGGCCAGTGCTGAGCCTCTACAGGACTGGCTCAATACCACGGAGGTCAGAGTTCAGGAGAGCAGCATTCGTCTACATGACCTTCCAGCCAAGAAACAGGAGCTGAGTAAATTACAGGTATTTTGGTGCCCTATTACATTGTGACTGCTTACTGTTAATATGTTTCAAAATTCCTTTATTTTGTTTAATTACTGTGATTATTCTGGAGATGGTCTGTTAGGTTTTACACCTTCTCATGACCACTCCAACAGCTAATCAGTGTGGACAACATCAGGGCATTTGAATTCTTACTTTGAAATCTATTTATCACAATACATGACCAAAGGAAAGCCTTTTACATTTCTCTTCACAGCTGCTGATGCTAATGTTCTCTCATTTCCTCCTTTCACTTAAGTAAACCTTGTCATTGCATTGCAAATTAAATATTAAGTAGGATCCTTAATAGTTGCCTCTACATCAGATATGGATCCCTAAAGTACTATTTCAATTCACTGGGGAAAAGAGAGAGACCTAATTACATTTGTTGAGCACCACTGGATCAAAATGGAGCCGCATCTTGACACAATAGTCAGAGGAGAAGTCCAGAAATCTAATTAATTCTGCTTCTGTCACAGCTGAAGCGCTGCTTGGCTAAAAGGCCTTTTTTCTGGATGTGATAACAGCTTCTGCCGTGTCTGGCAGACACAAGAAAGGAATAGAAGCACGAAGCGTTAGAAAGATAAAACTGACAACAGAGGAAAAAAGATATCAAGTCCATCTCAAAGCTCTGTCCTTATCATTGTGGCTATTTTTGTGTTTATTCTGTCGTGCTTCCCGTCGTTGTCTTTTGTCTGGCCCTGCAGGTAATTATATTTCTACCCTCCAGCACCTGAAGTACAATACAATACTTGCAGGCGATAGTGTTTAAACCTGTGTTGGCAAAATCCTCTATACTCATATCTGTACCCCCCACCTCCACAGCCTTCAATGGGTTCCTTGCTTGGCTCTGTGGTGTCCGACTGAATAACAGCATTTCTGTTTCAAACTGAACATCAAGAGAAATACTGCTGATGCTTGTATTATGATGTTCTATTCTGCGGTTTTTATCCATGTATGCATGATGTGCTCTTGTTCCACTGTGTACCTACTTGTGACATGTTGACACTACCCTGCATCCCTCTTCTGTGCCTTTCATGGTTCCTGTCGAATGAAAAACTCCATTTTTTATTTCTTTGTCATTTCATTTCCCCCTTTTTAACGGTACTTGCACACAACCATCCTTTACAATCTGTCACTGTCCAACATCACATTGCTCCGTCTCTATTTTTACCCTTCCTCCTCCTCCTCCTGCTTTGTGCTGGTCCAGTCTGTACTGAAGGAGATGGCCATTCGAGAGGTAGAGCTGGGCAGGCTGAGGGAAAGAGCTCATCGTCTCTGGGAGGGTCAAGCAGCCGGAAAGGGTTTCGTCCACAGAGTATCTCAGCTGTCAGCACAGTTCTTAGCCCTCAGCAACTTAACCAAGGTAACCCAGCTCGCACCAGTAACCCTGCAGCCCCCTGTCCCCTAACTGAATGTGTGTTTCTGTCACAGAAATGCTGCAGCATGTTTTGCTTGATTCATGTCCCTCTGGTATAAACTGTCTAACTGTTTCCTGTTGTTCTGCATTATTATGGATTATTACCTTTTGCAAAGGTTGCTCTGATCAGCTCTCCATTGATAAAATGATTGCCCCCAAGTATCTTTGGATGTACAGCATAATTTACTTGAACTCGCCCATCTACTCCATCCTCAAAAGGTCCTTATAGTTGCAGCCATATCAGCATAAAAAGGGCAAAGCTGTATACCTTTCCTCCATCCACGAAAAGCACTTCTAAAATGCCAAAGCTGAAATGTGTCAGCAGTCTTGAAGCTGACCTTTTGAAGCTCTCATTAGATCGGTCACCCACTTATGATTAATTTGATGTATTGTAGAGCAAAACATCACACTGAACACAAAGCCCTGCTCTCTTTACCTCAGGACAATGAAAGCACCCAGTGATGATGAACGGGGTTTATTTACTTTGCTGCTTATACCAGTGTGCTATTTTTAGGTCTTCTACTCTGCTAGACGTGGAAACAGGAATTCAATCATTTAAAACTGCCACAAGTCATCAGAGCTTTTACATTCTTCACTCCTTCGTTTCTTAGATGTTGGATGATATATGATTAAAGAAAGCAAACGTGTGCCTGTCCAGAAATGTGGGGATGGTAGAGTCTCTGGAGACATGTGTGTGAGGGAAAACAGGGCTCCTTTCAAACACAACATGAAGACACTGTCGTCAGTTTTATTATTTTTAGTTTGCACAGAACAAGTTTATATCTTGAAGAGTGTGTTTACATTGATTTACTCTCATATCTATAGGACAAGGCTTCAAGGATTGAGCGGATTGTCGGGGAACACAGACTCTTCTCTCAAGGACTTAAAGAGCTTCAAGACTGGGTGTGTGAGGCACAGAGGATCATCAACACCTGCACCTCCACCACCACAGACAAAGGCGTGTTGGAGGATCGCATGTTACAGCTGGAAGTAAGAAGGAACTTAGTGGGTGTGGGATCACCCACAGGGACAAAGCACAATTTTTAGAGGTTTTTCTGTACAGAGATATATTTCCCCAGTTGTCTTTTGCCCCCACTGATTCAAGGAAATTGGTTTCAGGTTTTGGATACATTGTCAAGTCTCAGTGCTCATTCTATGAGCACAACAAATAAGAGTTTCTGCCTTATTATACTGGGATATTTGCGTACCAATTCCAGTCTTGCAGATTTCTGCAAGTTTTGCCAAATAATATCCTAGAAACCCAATTGGTGTACTTTTCATGGTGTTGTGCACATATTTGATTAACACTGTAATTAAAATTGCAGTTCTTAATATTTTTTAAACTTAGAATATGTGTTTTATTTCTGCCTGCTCACTCCTGCCTGTAGGCTTTGCTGGCTGCCCGTCAGGAGAGGGAGATCCAGCTTAAAATGCTGCTGACCCGAGGAGAGGCAGTTCAGAGGAATACCTCAGCTGAAGGGGTCCCAGTGATCCGCAAACAGATTCAAGACCTCAAAGACTCTTGGGACTCATTGCTCTCTGCTTCAATCCAGTGTAAAAGGTGACCACTACCAGAAGATCTTTGATTAAAGATCCTCAAAACTTGAATTGATGGAGAGGACTAAGTGACATTACATTTTTTTTGTTGACTACAGTCAGTTAGAAGGTGCCCTGTCGCAGTGGACCAGCTATCAGGAGGACGTGGGGCAGTTTGTACAGTGGATGGACCATGTTGAAGAATCACTCAGCTGCTCAGAGAGACAGTACTCTGAGATGAGAGACAAGACTGCTAACCTGGGCAAGACGAAGGTATCAACAGCAGATTTTGTAAACTTATTTTTTCTGCTTTGAGATTTAACTGAAAAAAAAGATATATTTCCTCCTCTCTTTCATCTACATTGATGTATACTATGGCTCCTCCCAATAATTTGAATGAACCGCAGTAAAGAATGTGTGTTTCATTTCAGCTTCTCTATGAGGAAGTCTTAAGCCACAGCAGCCCTCTGGAGACCATTGCCACGAAGGGTTCCAACATGGCTGAACACTGCGCAACCCAGCAGGAGGTGCAGCAGCTGCAGTGTAGATATAACTCCCTCAAAGAAAAAGCAAAGGTACCCTCAAACAGCACCCACCATCATCACTTATTTCAAGAAGTGATTGATTTGAGAGTATAGCATTTTTGAAAGCCCCTTTGATATTCAATCAGTGCAATCCTTTGATCCAACAACATTTCCAACCTCTTGTTTTACAGAATGCAGTTAGTAAGGCAAAGGAGCTGGTTTTGGTTCATCAGGAGTATCAAAGAGGGCTACATGTGTTTGAAGACTGGCTGGAGCAGGAACAGGCGTCTCTGGCATTGTTGTCTCATCCAGAAGGAAACGTGGACACCCTTGAAAAAACACTGCAGCAGCTACAGGTAGCCATATTGTGCAGTTTAGTTAGCAATTTTGTCCATACTGTGCAGTTGTGTACGAAATGGGAAAGTTTCCTACATTTTTAGACAACGCAGCCAATTCACTGTAAGTCTCAACCTAAATCAGTTCAAGATATCAAACAAAACTGCCCTTTTTCTCGTTAATAGTGCCTGCAAGAACACTGCTCAGATGGGCAGTCATTGCTGGCTTCAGTGCTGGCCAGCAGAGAAAGGGTAATTCCTTGGGGTATACCTCAGATTGAGGATCGAGCCCTGGACACTGCTCAGCGAGAATGGGCGGCCCACCAGAGTCGCCTGGAGGAGACTCAGGCTCAGCTGCATTCCACTCTGACCCGCCTGAGGCAGATGGGTCACAGGTTCCTGAAGCTGGCTCAGTGGTTGGAGGACATGGAGAAAGTTGTTAACATCAGAAATAATCGGCGGTCAGACAGAAGCACCAAGCAGACCCAGCTGAAGAAACTCCAGGTCAGGAAGACTGTAAACATTGCATCTGCTTATTGTTTTTCCAAAGTAAACCCTGCAGACCTAGGAGGACAACAGCACTCTAATTATTAGAGCAATAGTTTGTTTGAGAAAATAGCCTGTTTACCGAGTCCACTAATTGGAAAGTATCTGTTGCCAAGCAACTGGCAGAAATTTCTGAACTAAGAATTAACTCAGTATACACCAAATTATGTTCTCACTCTGCACTTTTACCATGAAGATCCATATCAATCAATTCTAAAAGGCAACGATTAGTTGGTTAAATTTGAGGACTTATGCCAGAGGACTATATTTCCCTGATTGGCAAATGTTTTCACATTTAGATTTTAAATGCGTTTAAAGTAAATATGCTATTTCATACATTCAACTCTGTCACCTGTGATCAGGGAGATCTGGAGGCAGTGCTCGCTCGGCAGGGAGAAGTAGATGGCCTCTCATCTTTGGCTCAGCAGGTTCTAGAGGAAACCTACATCAGCAGTCGTGTCAGTGTTACTGCCACCCAGCTGACTGCTCGCTACCATTCACTGCTGCTCAATATACAGGTTTGGCACTCAGATAACTGGATTTCACAAGTACATATGTAAAATATCTATATTATACATAGATATATTTGTAAAACAGAACTTTTTTTAAGTTATAGTGAGAGTGAACTTTCCTTCTGTGCATACCACTTTGATAGCCATTTGTACAGACCATTAACTCCATTTTAGTAACAACAATTGTTATGCAGGGCTTAATTTTTCCTTTCTGCTTCATCACTTATACACACAAATGTATTATTTCTGGATAGTATATTGATTATGTTATGTACAGAATACATTCACTGACTTGTCAGAATGAACCCTTCTGGAAAAATCTGTTTCTGACGGTCAGGAAACCTGTTAATTTACAATCTATGATTAGATTTTCTATAGTAAATTAAACATGCTGATCAGCTGGATGTAGGTTGAAATATAATTATCTTATTGTTTGAATGAAATAAACAGAAAAATTAATTTTCATGAGCTGTGGCTAGTGTTATGTCCTCTTGACATGGCATTTTCTGGAGAGTAGAATTCTGTTTTTGCCACACGGTACTTTGGGAGTTACCTGTGAGTCTGTATTGTTTTGATCTGTACAGTCACATCCAGCCTCTCTATTAGTCTGTTCTTCTGGGGGGGCTAAAGGAAAATCAATGTGGCTCTCTTGGTCAGGGGCTAAAACGGTAATTAAACGCTACACACTGCAATCTCACACTCTGCAAAAGGAGTGAAAAGGATTTTCCAGCGCTGCATTGATTTCCCCCCCCCCCCGTTCTTTCACACCTTCAGAGGCACAACTGACTGAGCATGCACCTCTATGCCTGCCTTAACTCCTTCAGTTAATTTTTTTTCTCTGTACGCCCTTCTTTCTCTGCCTAATTTGACTTAGCTTGCATATACTTAGGATCAGGCACACTGTGGATCCCTGTAATTACACTGCAGAGTGTGGGGGCCATATGGGCTTGAGGTGGGAAGCTGCTACCTCTGTCTTGTCAGAAAAGGTGTGCACTCAGCGCTATCAGTTAATTGGAGCTTCTCACCACAGGATTTGCAAGTTGAGTGAATAATGTGTCAAACGTGCACCAAACCTTTTCCATCCTTGTGGTGCTATTGACTCAAAGTGTGTCAAGTGGATGCTGCATCAGAAACATAAAAACCCATGCCACTTTGTAGTGAAGGTATTGACATTGAGTAGATGAAAGGTAAGGGGGGGAAGCTCATATTTTCTGTTTTGATGGCTGATCAGAGATATTTTGGCCCTCAGTGGCCAATGTTTTGCTACTAGACACACCTTAAAAGAGAAAAATAGACTACTTGTTTCCTGAATTCCCCCCCTACTGAACAGTCGAGCTTTAAAGATTCAACAAAAATCCCAACCTTAGCACAATAGAACAAAGCTGCCTTTGTATTGAATGTCATCTTTTTAATGTTAATGATATTGATATTTGTAGAACCTTTCCTTTAAATGCAAATCCCGTGTATCCAATGTATTTTTAGGACACCATCAAGCAGCTGCAGGAGGAGCTGAGGAGCATTGATGAGGCAGAAAACCTTTGCATGTCATTCACCGAGTGGCTCAGCTCAACTCAGAAAAGCTTCACAACTTTAATTGACCATTCGGAATCTCTGGACCGTGTTGCCATGGAGAGGAAGATGAAGAAACTTGAGGTATTGATCTATTAGGATAAAAATGGGGCTACATTTACAGATTTGGTTGGATGGTAAAGCAATTTGATACTGTTCTGCAGGACATCAGCAGAGATGTAATGCACCCAAGAATCATAAAGATTTCTCTGGTTCTGACATTGTGTTTTGCCCCATAAAATGTGAAATGGGACAGTGTAAAATAAAAAAGCACTCGACTTGTACAGAAGGCTACTCCAGGGGCCTAATAGTAATGGTATTTCTCAGCTCAAACACAGACAGAATGTAACAAAAAGAAAATCCAAACCAATATTTGCTCTGTGGGGTTTGTGTCGAGCGAGTAGAGGACTAGATGAGTATGTGTGTATCGATTTGCTCTTTATGAAGACAAAGCTGCTGCAGCTTTAGAGGCAGTGTGATATCAGGGAGAGACCTCCTACAGTGTAGAAGAGGATGAAGAAGCGTCGTTGTCAGGTACCCGCTGGCCTAACGCTGTAATTGATGGAGTGCCCTTACCGCTTCGCATCACACACATACACATGCATAGTTTGTATCCTCTAACACTTGTCTCACATCACAAGACCAACTATAAGTATCAACTAACAAGCTCCAGAAAAGTCCTAAATGTGGGAGTCTTCAGTGATTTCACACCCTACCCACACTTAAGGTCTCCTTGTCTTCCTCACACATGTTCCAAAAACACAGACACAAAGATGTATACAATACATCATCTGGTGTGGTCTTTGCAGTAATCTGTGTCTGGGATCAATGCTCTGTCTCTGTGTGGGGACTAAAGAGATGCTGCCACCACACGAGCCCTTCCAAAACTGAAGATAACACAAAAGAGTGCTCCATCATTTAGTCATCGCCTGTTGTGAGAGAGACTAGGTTGTTCAGTAAGCTGGGACCATTATGCATTGACACAGACTCATAGTCAATAGCTGTGTTAAAGGCTGTTTGTTGGTTTCTGATGCTCTGAAAGTGTGCATCATGCAGCAGAAATGGGTCGGTAAGGAACTGATGTAGTTCCATAGTATATATTTTTATTCCCATCAACTGCTTCTGTACTTTTAATTGTTTACAATTTTCAGATTTTCTGCAACTTAGCATATTTACAGAATAAGTCATTTAGTAAATGTGTTAGTCAGTAATAATATATACTTCTGCTTTTGGTAGTTTATGTCATTGTCAAGAAGCATATAGGACATTTGGCTCTTCATCATGCTAACAGCATAACCAGCCATGCAAATGACAAAATATTATATATGTGTGATCTACTTAAACGTCTGTTTCTTTAATGAAATCAGAGGGAGAATTTGTTTACAGGTTAACTATGGAAATGTCCCTTCTCTGTTAGTAGGAAATGATGAACACGGTTGTCGATGCCATAGTGGGTATATTACAGTTGATTAAGGAGCCTTGGAACTCATGCAGAGTTAAAATAAGAATCCCCAGTGCCCATCATTTACAGCAGAGGCACATGGAACTTGACATGGATAATTGGGGGTACTAGACTGAAACATAAAGGCCACGCAGTGCTTGGGTCCTCGTATATAATGTTCTGTATAGTGCAATGTCTAACATCTTCATAGACTATCAACGAGGATCAGTTGAGTGAATCTACTAATTTTTCATTTAGATTTGACTGATAAATTAGTTCAGAAATTAAATGTGTTTTTCACATTTCACACAATGTGTTTTTCCCTGTTATTTTCATGTGAAATTAAAATGATCCAATTTTTAGCTGAATTTAACCTCTCAAAAACTAGTACTTCAAAATGAGGTGTGAGATCACTGACCATGATTTAACATTTGGTCATTTTTTTGCTGAAAATCCTATTTATTGAAGATATTCTTGAACACAGATTTTATATCAAATTTAAATATGCCGTGGGTTGCTCGTTAAAGTCACAAGGCAGGAACACTGGCTTCACATTAAGCAGGAAACATGGACGTGTACAGACACACACACGCCTTGTTATATTACCTAGAGCGGTGGCAGGAGATCTGAGCTTGTTGGAGTGTGAGGTTAGTCTCCCTGCTCAAGCAATAATAGGCTGATGATGAAAGCTAGATGGCATCCCATCGAGTGGAGGTCAGAACATGTGTGCGTGGTGTGTTGTGGTTGCCCTGGAAACCCCTGCGGTTACTGTTGGCTGTTAAGGGTCTTTATAATTGGGTCCTCCTTTCATATTACTCACTGTGGTTTTTTCTCACCATGACCTCCCAATCTTCTTCACATTTCATCGTGGAGGTGTCAGCCTTCCTGAGGGGTTCAAAGATTCTCAAAAGCACTGCCTGTCTGGTCTTGGTCACTAAAGCAGCATTGGAAGTAAAGGATTAAAAAAATCAATTTTACTGTATGAAATGTTAACCTCAGACATTGAAAGTACTGCATGATGTAAGGGTGTTACTCCATCAAAGAGCATACGTGTCATGGTTTCTGTTCCACAACGCAGCAGTGTGATGTGACCTGGATGAAGGTCATTGAATGTAAAGTACTGAGGGTAGCAGCACCCATGCTGAATTGTATCTTTAATCTCTCTTTCAGTCTCTGCAGTCTGAGCTTCAGCATGGTCACAGTTTCCTGAAGTCTCTGAGGGAGCGTGCCGAGCAGGCAGCAGGCTTCCTGAATGAAGCTGCTGCTGAGAGTCTTGGAGGAGAGGTGGAAGCACGTCTTTCCCAGCTGGAGGAGCTTGCTGGGGGGCTTAGGCAAGAACGCAGCTTCCTGGAGCGTGCCTTACTGCTTGCTAGGGAGTTCCAGGACCGGTACAAGGCCCAAGCTCAATGGCTTGTTGAGACCAAAGCATTGCTCAGCACTCCAGTCGAGCTCAAAGCTGATCTGTACCAACGCAGAGCACAGCTGGCCAAATATAAGGTATGAAAAAGAACAAGCACTCTTCTTGGTTTTCATGGTCAGTAATAGCACATTAGTAACAGACAGCATGTGGTTGCTGTATATGATCTTAATGGGTGAACTTTTCACTTTTTTTCCATTTTTTAAATATATATACTAAAATAACTGCTGAAGAGTTCCATATTATACCAATGATTTTTCGATATATAATATTCTAATATGTATTAGAGAAAATACTAAAGAAATATGTCTGTGTGTCTCCAGGCTATTCTGCAGATGATTCAGTCCCATGATGGATCAATTAGATCTGTGATGGAGAAGGGAGATGCTCTGCTTGCTTCTATCCACTATCCCTCAATGAGAGACAAAATGCACATACTACAAAAGGACTACTCAGGCCTCTGTAATACTGCAGTGGTGAGAACCAGCTCAATAGCTATGATGGATGGAAAACAAAAAAGGACGTTCTTTTAGTGGAGGAGGAAAACCTAGGAATAAACAATGCATAGTTTAACAAAATTCTGAAAAGATTGGTTTGTGTTTTCCAGGCTCACGTTGAGAATCTGGAAGGCCAAGTGAAGGAACAGGAAGCTTACCACAATGAACTCCAGGAAGTGGAGCGCTGGCTGCTGCAGATGTCCAGCAGGATGGTTACTCCTGATCCAAGCGTGAGCGGTAGCCTGGAGGCAGCAACTCAACAGCTGGCTAGGCACAAGGTGGCCAGTCACATTAGATCATATGACACTGCTTGAGTAATGAGCCCTAATTAGGAAACAATTTTCCTTTTTCTGTACTTTCCAGGTCTAAATATTCAGCTCTGTAGTGTTTGTTGAGCTTCTTGTTGGTGTGGTTGTCCCCTATTCCCCTATGAGTTCTTTAAAGTTAATTAAATTAGGCCTATTTTGATATGTCCTTGTTGTATTTTGTATACCTCTCAATTGGAGTTTCTCCCTATCAAGACTCTCTTTGATTACCCTCTGAAGGCTATCATGGAGGAAATTGCGGGCTTTGAAGAGCGTTTAGCAGCCCTGAAAGAACAAGGAGACCACCTGGTACAAGGCTGCAGCGACCGCGTGCAGAGCAGGCTCAGACAGCAGGTCCAGGCACACCAGCAAGGCACCAGAGACAGCTACTCTGCCATCTGTAGCACAGCGCAGAGGGTGAGTGTGAAGACAATGGGAAGAGTTGGGAAAGAACTTAGAGGGCGAAAGAAGGAGGGAGAGGTGGAAATCTGAGAAAAGCATATAATGCAAAGACTATATAGTAATGAAAATATTTCTACACATACAAATCCAGGCAAATGAAATGCAGTGGGGCATGCATGAAAAGACTAAGGGATGATGATATTTCAACAAGCAAGGTATCCACTTAATCCTGACCCATTCTGACACTTAAACCCATCTCTTAAGAGAGCCCCTCAGTGCAGCTTTGGAGGGCCCAACCAATTAAGTCTGCCAAAGTGAGCCTCAATAGCAGTCACACTCAGGCAAACCTCACAAGCCAACATCACTAACTCAATCTCCCCATATTAATCTCTGCATATCCCCTGTCAACCTCACTTTTTCATGCTTCAGCCAAAAATGATCACACACCACCATTCAGTAGATCTGGCTAGTCCTATAATCCAGCCTCACTCTGTCATTTTGGCAGCCTCTACTCTGTCATCATAACTCACCTCCCAAGATACCTCCTCCACCACCATGCACACATGCAATCTGGCATTGTGTGATCCAGCCACTTTTTACCACTACACTGCTGGCTTCTCTACAACTGCACCTCCAGTGTTACAGTGGCTGCCAACTGTGTCCCAGTGCAGCACAGCTCTAATATCCTGCCTTCTACTTGCTACCATGCCAGCCTTCTAGGTTTTGCCAAATAAACTGGGCACTTTGCCAACTCTTGTCCCCCCTTACTCTTCCCTTTCAGGCTCTCAAATTAACACTGTCAATCAGACCGTGCTGTTTCGCCCTCCCCTGGAGGGCGCGGACGCCTCCACATTCAACACCTGTGAAATACAATGCTGCATTTTTGTGGGGCGGTTGTCATTTAATGCGTTTTGGTGTTTGGCCTTGACATGGCAGCTTCAAATCTATTCGGCATTATGCCCTCTACCATCACGATCATTTATTGTTATTTCCACTCATTGTGTTTTCCTGTGAACGTCTATTGTCTTGATTCTGGCTAAGAACAGATCAGTGTGTTTTCCTCTGTGAGATTCAGAGTAATGTGTCTCATGAGACCTAACATATTATGAATGTTTACATTTTGTTATTGCTTTACAGGTGTATCAGAGTCTTGACCACGAGTTGCAGAGACATGTGAGTCTGCACGACACTCTGCAGCAGTGCCAGACCTGGCTGAAATCTGTTTCAGATGAGCCAGAGCCTCAAACACATCCTTCTATGAGCCTTGAAGAAGCTCTGCATAAGGTCAGTAAGCTTTATCCTGCTCCTTTGCAACAAGTTTAGTATTTTCCAAGATCATTATGTTTGATAGGTTACATATATACAAATTTAAATAATTGCTAACAAATTAATTAGCTATTTCACTCTGTGTTTTTGGGATGTCCATGGAAAAAATTGTTCATAGTGAGCTGCTTTTCAGCCTTTCACATCTGAGAGATTGCCCATGAAAAGAATAAATGTGTTAAAAATAGATAATGATCATTTATATGAACAAACAGGTAAAGCAGGAGCGAGCTCTCCAGGAGCAGGCCAGCACCTACCTCCAGCTTGTGTGTTCAGCTTATGACTTGTCAGAGCCGAGGGTCAGAGAGACTGCAGCCGCTATCCAGCAGGTCAAACTACAGGTCAGTCTCCTGAAAAAAAATCTTCATTGTAAGACTAATTATTTCAATCTATTCTAATTCTTGAAATTGAAAACTGAGGTTTCTTGATACCTCGACACTTTTTATATTCACCTCTTTGTGTGTTTGTTACTAGATTGAGGAGCGAATGCTTCTTTGTGAGGAGGTGGCTGACAGCTGGAGAGACATTGAAGAGCAGAAGGCAGATTTGGAGACTCAGCTGAGGGAAACAGAACAGCAGCTTCAGAACCTGACCAGAAGACCTGCAGAGTTGGAGCCCAAGATTGCACAGAACCAGCTGGACAAGGCTCAGGTCTTGCTCAATTATTTTTGTTCACAGGCCTTTTGTTTTTAAAAAAAAACCCTGAAAACTACAAACAAAAAAGATTCCAATTGATTTTTCTTTTCCTGCAGGAATTTCTCCAACAAATTAGGGAGAGGCAAACTGAAGCAAGTCGTTTGACTGAAGCCATCAGCAGGTTGACAGATGGACAGGTCTCTCCTGCCCTGGACGAGGCAAGAAGACTGAAAAGAGGCTGGATAGACCTGGGCCAGCGGGCTGAAGAACTGGAAGCTCAGCGAGGGGAGGACATGCAAAGAAGTGGAGAATACCAGGAGAGCGTAGTTGCTGTGGAAGAGCTCTTCCACCAAGTATCCAGGGAATGGGACTACCTTGCCAGGTATATAGTTTCAATGTTTTAGCTCTTATTGAATCACTCTATCATGTAAACATTTCAAAGGTGTCACTTTATGGACTAGCGAGCCTAAAACATGCATGTGTGTACACAGAGCTGACACAGAGAGTACAAGTGAGCATTTAGAGGCTCTGAGAAAGCTTGCCAGTGATCTGGAGGAGCAGAAGGAAACTCTAGAAGACCTCAGGGACCAGAGACAAGCCATCCTGTCCAGACTTAGTCTGTTAGACAAGGAGCTGGTCAAACAACAGGTGTGCACAACAAATTTTTTGCAGAAAATGGAGCTAATACGCTTGGTGATTTAAACTCATGTAAAGGGATTTGTATCTCTCCATTTCTGTTTTGTATCTCTCCAGGTGGGTCACCTGGAGCAGCGATGGGCCCAACTAGAATCTCTTATTGTGCAAAAAATCCAGGACTCTGCTCAGACACTTGAGGATCTCTCCCGGGTTGAGAGACAGCTGAGGGATGCCAGAGAATGGGTGGAGGAACAACGGCCAGCTCTCACCTCTGCACTGAAAACCAGCCCGCCCCCAGATCTGGCCCAGAGTTTTCTGTTTGACCACCTGACTGTATGCGTGGAGCTAGAGGCCCGTCAGCAGCTGCTCGGTCAGGCTGTGAGTGAGGCTCAGGGGGTGGCCTCCAGGCTGGGGCTGAGTGAGAAAAGATGTTTACAGGAGCTTGTTGAACAAGCCCAGATGGAAGTGGAGGCTCTGGGGGCTCGCGTGGCTCAAAGGAGAAAATACCTCAGCAAGGTAAACAGCTGGAATTTTGAATTAGATGCAAGTAAAATCTTAATTATTCTCCCAAGTTTTTTCAACTTCTCTCTAACGAAAACTTCACACTGTGAAAACATCTGGGGCAGGGTCCTTTAACAATTTTTTTCTGATTTTTAATTCTCTCTATAGGCCTTCACAGAGCGGACACAGTTTCTGCAAGGCCTGGGGAGAGCTTTGTCATGGGTGCAGCAGCAGGAGAGGAAGGCCTTGATAGATGACCGCATAGCGCTCCTTCCGGAGGACCTGGCCAAACAGGTCGTTGCATGTCGTGGTGTCCAGAGCAGCTTACGAGCTTACCAGAGGGAGTTGGCCTCCCTCTGGGTGCAAGGGCGAGAGTTGGAGCGAGACGCCACAGACAAGGAGCGAGCGGAAACGCTGGCAAGACTCGAGGAGCTGCAGACGGCCTTTGAGACTGCCCTCCAGAGGACCACCCAGCGTCTCACAGCTTTAGAGAAAGCACTGACCTCCAGGAAGTACTTCCAGGTTGACCTGGACAAGACTTGCCACTGGTTGAGACAAGCAGATGCTCTAACATTCCCTGAAATTGATTTCAGTGGTGTTGACGAGTGCTCAGATCTGCAAACACAACTTTCCAACTTTCAAAGTGTGTTAGAACAAGCCTCAGAATATGAGAACCTCCTTCTTATTGTTCAAAGAATAGGCCAGGAGATTCTCCCCACTCTGAACGAAATCGACCATTGCTACCTAGATGAGCGCCTCAATGCCCTGCCTCAGCAGTACAATACCATCTTAGCTCTTGCCAAAGAGAAAAAAGACAGAGTTCAACAGATTATCTCAGAGAGAAAGGAGTTTGGCACTTTCTTTGATATTACTCGCAATGCACTGGAAGAGCTTAAAGAGCAATTTGACAATCTAGAGAAGCAGACTATCAGTATAAGAGAGGAAGAAATTGTGAGTTTGATAAGTGAATGCAGAAGTATAGAGGAAAGTTTGATTCACATCAGTCCGGCTGTTAGAGAACTTCATGGGAAAAGTGAAGGGTTTCTCAGCAGAGGTCAACAATACAGAGCTGAGGAGACACAGCAGCTGGTTAGTCTCCACAACACGCTGAAGACGAGAAATACTCAGAGGATTAAACACCTAAACAGCTGCCTGAAAACACTAGGTGAACATAACAGGGTGTTATCCATTGTAGATTTAGAGTTAAAGTCTGCAAAGGATATGCTGCTTAGACTTGACCGGACAGACGAAAATGCTTTTGATAAAGTCACAAGTCTGTATTCAATGCTGGAAAGTCTCGGTGGAGCAAAATCTCAGGTTGAAGAATGCGAGCGGCAGACTAAAAACCTTGGTCTAAAGTTTGATGCCGCTGCCTTTCAGGAAACTACACAGGGGCTTCAGTCACTGCAGTCTCTGCAGAGTGACATCAGGTCGTGTGTTGAGCAGAGTGAAACAGCAGTTACAGGGGATGAAGATTTTACAAGAGAGACGGAGAGGATGTTGCACTGGTTGATTGACATGAAGGACAAATTGAAAGAACCCTCAAACTTTTCCGAGGTGAAACCTGAGCGGATACATGAAGAGATGCGGAAAATAAAAATCTTGGAAGAGGAGGTGAAAAGTAAATTGAAGGTGATTGATGTCATATGTATCAGAGAGAAGCAAAAGTATGAAAATTGCAAAGAAGGAATTCCTGCAAAAATAGAAGAAAAACTACAAAAGTTATTAAAGCTGGGAGCTGAAGTTCAGGAAGAAATTAGTGCAAAACAGGTATGTCTTATTCTGTGTTATTTCTCTTTTCATGAATTGATGCCTGAGAGTTTTGTATGACTGCATTCATTTCAGTGATCATCATTTCAGTCACTATCTGAATTATCATTCATTATTCAGACCTGTTATATATTTTTTTCCATTTGATGTCCCACGATCTTTCCTTGGATTGTTTATAGTGTTAGATAATCATTAGCCATGATTTTTATTTCCTTGTAACATGTCAAAAACAGCTCTATGTTTTTGGGGAGAAGTGGGAAAACAAAGTTGAATTTACCACCTTTCCTACATTCTAGCTGGCTGTGGATAAAGCTCTTTCCCTGGTCCAGAGCTACCACTTATCTCTACAGTCCATGCAGAAATGGCTGGACTCTGCTGCGGCTTTGCTCCACGGGGCCACCTCGGGGGTGGAGCTCGACAACTGCACAAGCTGTTTGCAAGATATAGAAGAAACTGCAGCCCAGGAGAGTAACTTTACAGCTGGTGTAGAGGAGCTGAGGACTTTGGATCTTCTGTTGATGGATTTTGTGGAGCAAAGAGTGATGAATGGGCTCCGAGAAAAAGTTCAGGCAATGCAGCTGAGGAAGATGGAGGTCAAACAGCAAGTGGAAGCATACAGAGAGGTGCTGCAGAGGTGTGTTCTATTAACTATTGCATCTGAACCCAAAAGCGTACAAGCGACTTTGGTCTATCCATCTGCATCCACCCTGCTCCTATCTGTATGGCATGTTACTCGACAGTGGTTAGTAAAATATGTGCTTTTCCCAGGTGTGGTGCTCTGTGGAGCTCCTTTCAATATGAGAAAGAGATGCTGATTGAACAGATGAATGATTCAGAGAGCACGATGGCCATGTTTACCACAGCGAAAGCCATCAGTTTCCACAAAGCTGAGGACAAGTGTCAGAGACACAAGGTGAGTTACTGTATAATGCACAAGGTTTGGTCGCACATGTTCACCAGTGATTTTTAGAAATTACAAAGCGTTCATAGGGAAGTTTTGGCTTTCAGGAGACTGTAAATCTGAAAGAGCATGTGTGTATTTGTTGTTATCTTTTGGTTTCAGTCTCTGGTGGCTCACATTGACATGCTGGAGCTGCCTCTGAATGCCTTGAAAGAGAATGTAACAGAGTTGGAGGGAATCATCTCTGAATCAGGCAAAGCTGTCACCAGTCATGCCGTGTCGTCGCTGTGGCAACGCTGGAACAGACTCCGCAGCGTAGCCCGAGCCCAGGAGAGGGCACTGGAAGACACTGCCAGGGAGTGGAGGAACTTTATTGAGAAGGTAAGAAAATCAGTGGGTGTCCATGGGAAATGAATCTATTAGTCTGTGAGGCTTTTGTGGAATTGTTTTTTTTTTTTTGTGTAAAAAGAGTCCAATGGTTTGCCTCTCCCTTGGTTTTTAAAACTTGGCATGTTTGCTCTCTTATTAATGGAAATGCAGTGCCAAAATTGTGTTAGTTTAACCATAGCTTAAATCAAGTAACATCTGTGATTGTTTGGATTATAAAGCTTATTTATGTTATCAACGGGGGCAGATATTGCATAAAGGTACTTTAAAAAAAGAAATTCAAAGTCAGACTCTTCGTTTTCCACTTTGGCCAATGCAAAGAAGTATCTGCTTCCAGATATTACAGGAATGTCAGTGTTTCCTGAAGCATAACTTAATATGCAAATGACAACATCCATCCATCCATCCATTATCAATACCGCTTATTCCCTGTTGGGGTTCGCCTGGGGAATTGGAGCCTATCCCAGTGGTCCAAATGACAACAACATCTGTTAAATAGGACAGTTCAGCAAAAACAAAATGTAGAAGCTGTCCTGTTACTCAGGACATTCCACATCTGCAAACGTGATCTGCAGGGTTATGTACAGATTGAGTTAACAAATAATAATTTCTGGAAAATATAACCATTTGAGAAAGATGTCACTAACAGTTCTGTTGCATTAATGTACACTTATGCTTTACTGTTTTTAGAGAAAAGATTTAGAGAGCATTTCATGAGCTCTTATTTGTGTGAGCACATACTGCACAAGAGTGCTAATGCTCGAACAAATGATTTTGGTGTTCAGTCAGAATGAAATGTTTTCACGTGTTTTAAAAGATGGCGTTTTGTATTTATTTCTCTCTAGTACTACTCTTTTGTAGGATATATGCTATTTATCTCCCTACTATTACGTACTTAATTCTTACTTTTTTACTTACCTATATATGATCAAATTGGTTTGGAAGTTTCTTTTACTCATAAATACTGGGTTAAATCCAGCAGAAACTATGCTATTTTCTAATATTCTACATGTTTCCTGTGCACTAGTACCATTTAATTTTTTATTGTAAATGCACGCCTATATTTAGTTTGAACATTAATCATCAAAGAAGCATGCAATAAGGGCAACTACAGCCGAGTACGTCACAAGTCTATCAAACAACTGAACACCAGTTGGTGTGCTGTGATGTAACTCCAGGCTTCAGGCCAGTTGTGTCCCCCTGCCAAAACATTGTGTCATGAAGCCTTTTCCCGCCTTTTGACCTAATTTGTGTTTGGAGCCTGCTAGCTCCCAAGAATACCCACAAAGCACTGTTTCGAAAAGGGAAATGAAGTCAGGCTGTGGGAACTGCCACTTCCTCATATGTGGCACGTTACCGTTGTCCCCAGTCTTCTGTAGCTCCTTTGTGTAACTGGCTATGATGTCATCTTCTGCAATCTGTGCTCTGTTTTTCACTAAACTTTCACACACAAAGTCAGAAGAGCTTGAGAGAGAATCTTGAAAAATAATTTGCCTGAATAAGTGAGAAAATTACACCTATGATTCACCTTTTTATGACCCAGTTTAAAGTGTCAAATTTTCCACTTGAAAGAACTAAATTAAATTGTGAGTGATAAAAATGAACAAAACATTGCTGGAGGATAACTGAATATTTAGTTACTAAATGTGTACCATTACACAGAAATACATCAGAAAAACTGCACTGAAATTTCTGTCCTTTAGATGGAGAAGGTGCGCTCTGTGTCCAAAGACCTCCACAGTCGTGTCCCAGACAGCACAGTGGAGAAAGCAGCCACCAGGGCGGCACTACAGTGCCTCCTGGAGTATCATGACTCCTTCAGCCAGGAGGTGGAGCGGGAGCAGTCCATACTGGCCCTCCTGGGGCATCAAACTCACAGTCTCAGAGGGAAGGACAAGAGGGAAGAGGTAATGGAGAACAAAACAGAGAATGGACACGAGGAGACGGCATGCCTTCAAGAGATCAGAGGCATGCAGGAGCAATATGAGAGGTTAGTGAAAGGATGACCATCAAAAAAGATTTAAGGGAAAAACAGGTGTTTTTGTTACTTGACCTGTAATGATGAAATTCCATTTCCCTGTTTTTGGTTTAGCTTGTTGTTGCAGGTGAGGGCCAGCAGGGCTCAAGTACATCAGGAGCTAAGGGAGAGAGAGGAGGTTGAGAAGGAGTTGGGTCTAGTCAAAGGCTGGATTCAAGACACTCGTGGCTTACTGTTGAGTCCAACTACAGACCTGGATTCACTGCTGCAGGAGCTAGAGGTTAGGTCACTTTTTGAGCAGACACACCTGATACAAAAGTAGAAAAAAAACGCACGCCATCATCAGCCAAGCACAGATAATTTACCTCTACAGAGGCCCTTCTTGTTTGAACGTTGATATATTTCATGTCAATATCACAGAGAGCACTAACATAGATGTTCTGTCCTGGATGTGATCTTGCTGCACAGACTGCCCACGGTGAGGTCATCAGCAGGCGGCAGAGTGTGGAGCGCATGACAGAGCTGCAGCAGTCCAAGTATCAGGATCTTCAAGCAGGTCTGCCCTCTGAGCTCAGCATGCAGTTAGCTGAGGTGACTCTGGCTTTGGGCTCCGCTGAAGATCAGGTAACATTTTTATGTTGCTCAAAAGGTTGAAATGAAATGTTAACATTTCAAACTGTAAGTGCCATGGTCATGATTTGATTTCATGTTTCCTATACCATCAGCACTAGAAAAAGACCAATGTGTATATTTGGGCCGTCTACTTTAGGTGCAGGCGCGGGAACGGGAAGTGCAACAGACCAGAGATGTGAAAGAGGACTTCAGCTCCAGACTTCAGGACATCGAGGCCAAGCTGAAGACCATCGCTGTGAAATTGGAAGAGAAGGGGTCCGACCTGCAGAAGGCCAAAGAAGAGACCAAAGTAATCAAACAGACAGATTGTCTAATTAGCCAACAATTAACCCCCATTAAATTGGCTATTTATTCTGCAGGTGTTGAGGTTAATGAGGGCGTGAGTTGGAATGGTTCGAAGTGAATTCTGACCTCAACAGGGACCCACTTTTTAAAGAAACAGTCCACACGGGCGTTTTAGCCCCTTGCCTCTTGCTCTTTGCAGTGTCTCCCCAAGATTAGTCATTTTTTTACGGTGCTGTTTATCTTTTGACCCAAATGTCTGGAGTTTCAGTGCAGTTTAAAGAACACTTTTCAATTTGCCAGACTTTACGCACATACAAATCTACTAATTAATCACTGGAGTGAAATAGCGTGGCTTGGAACCTCTCATTAAACCGCAACCTGTCATATTTGCAATTTGGTACTTCTAATATACGAAGCCTTTATAACTAATGGCTGTAACCGTTGTAAGAGCTGAATTGACTGATTTCGTTCCCATTTTTTATATTTCCTCTTTTCTCCAGGGTCTTTGTGAGGAGTGTGAAGCTTGTGGCGGCTCTCTGGTGGAGCTGGCAGTAGCTGTGCAGGAGTTTGGAGAGCAAAACCCACTGCTGTGTAAACAGCTGGGGGATGCTGTCGCTAAACTGATGGAGGTGCAGCGCCACACCACACAGCAGACTCAGGACAAAGTAAACAGACTAAAGAAGGTATGTAGTTTGTCACAATTTTTTAACCCTATCTTGACGTTAGTACATTTCTCAAATGTGTGAAATAGTTGAAAATATATCATTATTTACATCTATGTACTCTAATTTGCTCTTTTATTACCTGTGAGCAGGCAGAGAGACAAGTTGAAGAGTATCAAAGTATGAAGGCATTCATTTTGGGCTGGATAGAAAGAGCGGAGGCTCTGATCACTGGTAGTATCATCTGGAACTCTGCGTCCCAGCTACAGGAGCAAATTCGAGCACACCAGGTAAGTCTTAAAGAGTGACCAAATCTGGCTGTGTGAACAGTTCAAAGATAACGTAGAGCTCCATTTCTAATCTTAACAGTGCATTTAGACAACATAAATACCGCTATCTTCTACATCAACCTATTAACTCTGAAGCTACCCTGAACATTTTGGAGCTAATCAGATTCATACACTTGTTTGATTTCCAATGGAATGCTTCACTGTAACTGTGTTGGCTGACTTTAATTAGTATAATTGCCCGACAAAAAATGTTCCTGCCGTTGACTGGTAATTTATGATTTTATGGTGACAGGCATTGCTGCGGGAGAGCAGAGGTCTCCATGGTGACTTGGAGGCCATGGGAGAGAGGGAGAGGCAACTTGCAGATGTGTTGCAGGCAGAAGGATGGAGCCAGCAGGTCAAACACCTCAGCAGACTAACAGAAGAGCTGCAGCAGTCTGCCAAGACTCGCTTTCAGAGTCTTCAGGATGCAGCTAAGGTGACTCATATTTCTAGTATTATAGAATTCTTATATTTTTTATTTAAAAAAAATTAAGGATTCTGTGAGCAACTATTGTCATTGTTGTTGAATTGTCCAAAAATATGTGGTCTGCTCCACTTCTTTTTTTTTTTAGCACTGAACAGGAGGTTCGTGTTCCAAGAGTTAGGTTCCAGACTGGCAAACCAATAGTGCCTCCTTTTGGGCATTCAAGGTGTACTACACCATCTGAAAGGAAGGCACTGTGTCAGCTCTAGCAGCAGTAATCTGCCAATAATCTATCACTAATCTGATTCACACACAAGTGATACACAGATGAGTCTACTAATTGTTGCAATTAATGTTGTGTGTTGTGGATTTATTTATAATTTCTCCAGTGAGTTTGAATTCTCATTTTAATTACAGAGCTCAGATTTAATTGGCAGGGACTCAAGATTCAGTGTTCTTTTCATCAAACTCTATTTCAGGTATCAGGTAGAATTTCAAAACACATGATTTAGATGCACAACTATAAGTTTATAGCACTAAACAAGAGGAAAGGCTTAGATATCTGAAGTAGGTGTTCTCCACACTGCTATTTGCCAGAATTCTCACTTTTTAAATTTTATTTGTTATATTGGTGTCTCTCTGTAGGACATGTTACATCTTGAGGCAGAAGTAAAGAGCCTCCATGCTGCTGTTGATCAGATCCAGGTCACGCTATCTTCCCCTGATCTGAACAAGCTCAGTCTGAGGGAGCAGCTAACACAAAGACAGGTAAACACAGCCCTTAACGCTGTTTTTGTTTGTTTCTTTAAACAGGAAAAAATTGTAAAAAGCACTTAATATGTTCATTCAGTTTCAGTATTTTTTACACCGCATCACTACACGTGCAACTGTTTTAGTCTCAGCAACACTTTCTCCTTATTAGATATTGTATAAAAGTTATTCCTACTCACTAATCTAACCCAGTAACCCATCTTTCCGCCTCTCTAAGCATCTGCTGGTGGAAATGGAGGGCTTTAAACAGCAGGTGACTGCAGTACAGCAATGTCAGAGCGCCCTCAGGCTACCAGAGGAAGTAGTGGCCAGTCTGCCGATCTGCCGCACAGCTCAGTCTCTGCAGCATGAGGCCAGCCAACTGCAGCACACCACCATACAGCAGTGCAACATTTTGCAGGTAGATGGCAGTAGTTATGCAGTTTTGCTTTTTTCATTTGGTAAGTGGATGCCCTGAGTTAGTCTCTGTTTGTCTCCACAAGTCTTCCCTGGAATGTGTGTGTTTTCCTTTAGCCCCCATTACAGTTTCTCCATGTCCCTTAGTTCTAGGTCGGTTTTTTCTCGCAAGTTTTTTGTCGTAACAATTCAAAAGATGAAACCCTTTCAGACACAGATATCTAAAGAATCTTGATCATCTCAGACAAATCATATTCTGTCTAACTATCTATCTAAATCCGGTATGTGCTCATATTGTTCTTGCTCAGGGTCATAACTGACATAGACCTCACAACTATGGACAAAGAAAAGCATGCGGTTGAACACAGTTATATGTACTATGGATCTGTAGGTGTTGCTGACCTTCCATATGATAGGTCTATAGGTGGGACTGAAACATCTATTGGTCACATTACACAGTGTGTTTTTTAGTTATTGTTTACCCAACATGTCATGTTCTTGACAGGAGGCTGTGGTGCAGTATGAACAGTATGAACAAGAAGTGAAAAACCTCCAGAGATTAATCGAAGATGCCCATCGCATCATTCAGGACCGACCTGTCTCCACCAACAACATACAGGAACTTCAGGCTCAGATACACCACCATGAGGTATGAGAAGACAGACTATACTTTGCATTTCCTATATATGAAAATGTTGACATGAAAGCATAGAGTATTTGAAAACCCCAAGCACTCTGCATAAAATTCTGTTTATAACTTAGTCTGATTGTTCTAAAATAAAATAAAAAATGAACCCTCACGCCTGCATGATGCCAGTTATCAAAGGTTTATTGGGATGGTGGACTCAATAAAGAGTCTCACAGTGATGCAACATTTTTTTGTGATTCTTCTTGGCTGCATCAAACTGGATTTCTAAGACAGATTCAATAGCAATAGTTGTAATATGAAAGTGGTAGCTTGAGCTGAAGCCTTAGAGAAATCATAATATCATTACGATAATACTGTAATAATAGAGAAATCTTAATATTCTGCATTATAGATTCTATAAAACTATGAATCTAAATTTGGACAGATGTTCTTGTGTGAGATTGGTTATTATTACCTTTTAATAACAGGACAGCATCTCTGGAATAACATGCAAAATAAGAGGGACCTCAATAATTTCTACAAAATAACTGTAGTTGGCCTTGCGATGGACTGGGGGACTGTCCAGGTTGTACCCTCGCCCAATGACTACTGGGATAGGTTCCAGTCCCCCCTGCGACCCCATTAGGGAATAAGCGGTTACAAGAATGGATGGATGAATGGATGGATGGATAACTGTAGCTAAGAGATGCTGTGTGTATAATTTAGTCCAAGGCCACAGAGATTAATTATTTAGCTGTGATTTTCTCCAGATACCTTTTTCTTATGATATTATAAATATGAGCATGCAGATGCCATAACATCAAAATAAAGAAACTCCCTGGGCTTTCTTACAGCAGAAAAAGAGAAGTTGAAGAAAATGTTCATAGCAATGAGTCAGCCCTGAGTCATTCTGCAATTGTAGTAGCTAAAGATATCATTGCTGCTGTGTTTGTTTGATGTAGACCTTCTCAGTAAGGTAAAACATTAATTAAACATTGTGTAATAGGAACAGTTGCAGCTTACAACAGATCAGGGAGAGTATTGTGTTAAACCTCTTTACACCAAACTCTTGTGCATTCCTTCTTTATCAGATGTCAGAAGTAACTGCATTCTGTTTCAGTGGATGGTACAATTTTCCCCTGAGTTATTCAAGCGTTGTGCTATTTGGTGAGGTTACACTTTGAGCATTTGATGTGTTATGGAAAAGATGATTTAGAAGGGGGAACTAGTGTAGCACAATTTCATTACACTATGTTCTTTGCCCTGCATGGCCCTAAAAATGTTTATCTACTCCCAGTGTGTGACAGGGACTATATAAATGTATGAACTGAGCTGTGTACAGTTGTGTGCATTCTGTTGCTGTAGATTTCCATGATCCTATGATTATATCTGAGTTTGATCTCTAATCTGAGCATATAGCTGCAACTCCTCTGGCCCTTTTAGTCACATGACCTGATTATCAGTGCATTGACCATCTGCGAGACAGAGGGAGTGAAGGAGGGAGGAGGAGAGAAGGAGGAGCTGGATCTGGCCGGCTGGCTGTAATTTGACACCAGCTCTGTCATTCTCCCTTCCTCGGCACTCCCCCTCTACTTTCAGCTCTCTTTTGTTAAAAAGAATCTGCACTAAGGATTGGTGGAGACGGGAAGCGGCAGCCCAAGGAAGGGGGTGGGGGAATAGGCAGTGAGATCACTTCCTGTTTTTCCCTGCCATTTGTGTATGTGATACGAAGGGGAGTGTCTGAGGGATTTTGAACTATTTCTGTGAGGTTCTCTGCCTCAACCAAACATCCTGTCTGTTAGCCTCGCCACTGATCTGAGTCACACGCCTCTGAGCTGCTGTGATTGGCTTAGAAATACAGAAGACAGATACAGAGAGGGAAAAAGAGACAGTGAGGCAGTGCTATTCTCTTTCTACACTTACACTGTGTAGCTAAAAGAGGGAGACCGGCGAGAGAGGAGAATGCGCCTGCTCCACTTACCCTCCTCTTACCGGCACCACATTCAGCGCTGAACCAGCTCAGCCACCCCTTTTCTCTCAGGATTCTATCTAACCAGGAACTATTGATCCTCTGCCGTTGACTGAGCCACACTCTCCTGATCCTGGGGGTGGTGGTGTTCTCTCTCTGGGGGGATGCTTTGACAGGAGCTGGCCCAAAAGATCCGTGGCTACCAGGAGCAGATCGCCTCACTCCACTCCAAGTGTAAGATGCTGACAGTAAAGGCCAAACACGCCACCATGCTGCTGACGGTCAGCGAGGTGGAGGGCCTATCAGATGGCATGGATGAACTAAGTGATGAGGAGCTGCCCGGTGCTATGGCAAACGCCAACTCTGCTGCCAACAAGCAACTTCCAGCACACCCATCTGTCGTCATGGTGAGTGGACAAGACTGTCTATTGCATATGCAAAATCCCACAGTGATACATAAGCTCATTGTATTTCTGTGTTCCTGTGGGTATATATTTGTTTCCAAGGTTTCCAAAGAACTGTTCATACAGTTAATTTCAAGGCAGCATCATTACTAATCCTCAAGGTATTAAAATGAAGGTATATCTGATAGTGATTGCTATTATTGCAATTGAAACTATCTTTTAAATCATCCATAATTATTGTGTTGAGTGGGATTTAGAACCCCACTTACATCCATATAATGCTATCAAAAAACTTTCAAAGTAAAGTGAAGATGTTTTTAACAATGTTCTTTAAGTAAAGTAGTATTTATTACAGCTAGTTTACCTTCAAGACAACTTGTGGACAGTGTTAACAGCTAGTTTGTTCAAAACACCTAGTTAAAACTCCTCTCTGGATTTAGGGTGTCTCAGTTCTTTCTGTCTCTTCAGGTAATCCCAGACTAACTGATCATGTTGAGATCAGTCAGTGGGGCCCATACCATCTGTTGCAAAAACTGACTGGTTCCTGTTTGATAGTTCTTTCTGGTGGAAATTATTCTGCTCAACTCTGGTACTTTAAACTCTTGCACAGTACTAAAAAGGGTTCAGAATAATTAGTTTTATCTTATCTTATGTTCCACTTCTCGTTTTCCATTCACATTGCATGGAGAGCATCAAGCATTTTTCTCCTCATTATATCTTCACCTCAAGTGTTACTATTTTGCGAGTCTGCTCTCCCTTCCCTGATATCTTGCTTAGCCAATTATCTTTGCTTCACATTGGCCTGAATTTGTCTGTCTGCTTGTGTCATGTCATCCTTTGCATGAGCATTCATTTCTGTAATGCAGTTGCTGCTTAGAGGTATGCACATGGCTTCCTTTTCTGCCTTCTTGACTGTGGAACACCACAGTTGTTTGTGGTGCATTTTGTCTCGATAGTCCAGGAAACAGGATATGACTGTATTTGCATGTGTATGTATGTAAAAAGGGTATGATGGGATCGCGTGTTTGGTTATGTGTACTTCTTCATCTCTTGCTGTAGGTACTTTATCTCATACTACTATGTTCAGTTGCCGTGAAAATGTCTTTGTAAACCCACTGAAATGCTTGGAAGCTTATTCACTCTGTTGCATTGCATTGCATCATAGAACCCGGGAAAAGTCCTTCAAATCTAACAAGGTCCTCAGTCAGTGGGCCAAGTTCTGCATCATCTGCCAAAAAGCAGCCCAGCAGGGCTTGGCTCACATTTCAGCTCTGCCTCTTTGCTAAAGCACGCAGTCTCTGACAACTGTTCTACTTTAAGGACAGCTGCTGCAGCCTTTCTTCCTCGTCTGTTTCAGCTAAGCCATGCGTCAGCTTTTTTTGGTGTTCTTGGATTTTGGGACTCCTGTTTATTTCTGTTACTAGACAGACATCAACAGACTAGAAAAAAAAAGCATAGGTCCATATTGGGTTTGTTTTTAGTTTCTTAATTTAACTTCTACATCAGTCTGTATGTGGTTTGATGGGTACAGCATGCAAATAATGTATGGACTAAAGAAGTCAACTATGAGGTGATGGGTCATGGTTTTCAACATTCACTGTGTGCACTTACTGCATGTGTCATTGTCAGCTTCTGGCAGAGGGCCATTCCTTCACCCTAATGTATTCTCAGTCATATTCATTGGCGCCTAGTATCCAGCCATTTGTTCCCACAGAGCAATATTACACTGACTTATGTCTTTTTAGTGCTGTGCTATCACAAATCGCTCAAGTGTTTGATATCCACACCAGTAACGTGATCTAATCAGCCTCCCCTCTGTGACATTTGATTACTCACTGCCTAATTTATCAGGAATGTGTGTGCTCTTTGCAATCTTCCTAACCTGCTTTCCTCCATTAATTTTTATGCCCCTCTCTTTTTCTTCCCCCGACTCCTTTTGATCTGGCTATTTGGTCCTCCACCCTTTTCCCGTCCCGCCTGCTTCTTTGATGTGTTTTGTTTTGGTGTACGGTGTGTATCTGTGATCAGATGACAGCCGGCCGCTGCCACACACTCCTCTCCCCTGTGACAGAGGAGTCAGGGGAGGAGGGCACCAACAGTGAGGTTTCCTCTCCCCCTGCCTGCCGCTCCCCCTCTCCGGGGGCTAATGCTGACACTCCTCTTAACCAGGTACTGCAAATCCCACCCCAGTAATCTCCAACCTGTCCAGGTTCCATGACTACCATCATCTGTTGAAAATCCTACATCACAAATTTTCTAAATCTTCATTTGATCATTAACCTGTACAATAAAAGGGAAAAATGTCCATTTCAACAAGTCATAAATGAAGTATTAAGTTGCCTGTATCTCATGTTTGAAATGACTAGAAAAACACCTCTTGGTGAAATTATCTTATTCTTTGAAAAATGCTACTTATTTTCTTTAAGCATTAGCATATATTAACTTATTTTTGCTGATGATTTACAAGACAAGTTATAGAGCATCCTTTACATGTACAGTAACTGACTTGTTAAAGTGGACATGTTATTTCTGCACCCCATCTTTTCTCATGCTTTCCACATTAAGCACACAATGGCTTCCATTGTCAACAGCACATGTGTTTCAGACAGTTGGAGATTTGCTGTCCTGTCCCCGCTTTCCCTCGTTATCAGCATTATGTTGCATTTCCACCTCAACCAAGAAATTTGTTTGGTGTTTTTTTTTTCTGCAGAATGGGAAACAATGCTGTCATTGTTGCTGATGTGACAGCCTTTTTTTAATCTGTGATTCACAATGATGGAGTCGCACTTTGTCATACCTTTATCTTTATTTTTTAATGACTACAGCTGTATTTTCACTCCAAAATCCAGGGAAATTTTTTGTTAAATCAATGCATATGTGTTCATTGTTTTGGATACATCATGTTGGCCCCAAATGTGACGGTTTAAATGTAGTGTTTAACAGAACTGTTGCACACTTTGACCATCAGCATACCATATCGAGATGTTACTGTTCTCACAATGTCTGTCAGATCATACTCACTGCTTCATTGTGAAACAGGGCCGAGGTACACTAAGTCGAGCACCCCTCCAGGAATTGTACGACCCATCGATGGAAACCAGTGCTGCTAATTTGGATGACCTGCAGAGATCTTGGGAGACACTAAAGAACGTGGTACGTCAGTCAACAACATTACAAGTTGTTCATGTGGCACCTCTTCATGTGCAAGGCAAATATTATAGTCAGACAACTCATAGGATAAATGTAATCTGAGAGTTTGACTTTGATTTCCTTCCTCTCCTGCCATAGATCAGTGAGAAGCAGAAGAGCCTATATGAAGCCCTGGAGCGGCAGCAGCATTATCAAGAGTCCCTCCAGTCCATTTCCACCAAGATGGAGTCCATAGAGGGGATACTTAATGAGAGCCTGGAGCCCAACAAGACCCCGGAGAGTCAGATGGCTGCACACCAGGTAAGAAAAAGCAGGGGTATTCAAAGTTTGGAGATATGTGTAAAGTATGAAAGTGATAAAGAAGCAGAATGCAGAAGAAAAAATTAGGTGAAACCAGTATTATGTACTTATGTACAGTATTTTATGAAGATGATAAAACAAATAAAACAAATAAAAGCATCTTTGTATATACAGAGCGTAATTGAGGGGGTTGATGTTACACTATGCTGTGCAATGGTTACACAGACTGCTTGGCACTGTTATCTGTTGCCATGCCAACATGACAGCTAAGACCAACACAATTCCTTTCTGTAACTATCAGGCAGTTTGAACAAATGGTCTGTCTTTGTTTTCTCACTGTCTTGTTTTCCTTCGTTCTCTTCTGTATTTCTTCATGTATTTCTCATTGCTGCCCTTACAGGCTCTGATGGATGAGATCTTGATGCTGCAGGATGAAATTGCTGAGCTACAGATGTGTTTCTCTGAGGAGCTGACAGACCATGACAGTGATGGCGAGGCTGGCGATCAGCTGGCCCTTCAGTCTACTCTCACTGTACTAGGAGAGAGGATGGCCACAATCCGCATGAAGGCATCTGGGAAACGCCAGCTACTGGAGGTAAACACAAGAAGAAATCTCCCCAGTTATGTTTTCCTCACTTTGGTTCTACTCCTTGTTTTGAATACCTCTTTCTGACCACTGCAGGAGAAACTAAGTGAGCAGCTAGAAGAGCAGCGACAGGAGCAGGCGCTGCACCGCTACCACTGTGAAGCAGAGGAGCTCGACCACTGGCTGCTGAGCACTCGTGCCACCCTCAGCTCTGCTCTTCAGCCTCAAAATGAAGACATGGACATGGAGGAGCAGCTTATAGACTGTCAGGTCAGATTCACCTTTATGCTCTCATCAAAGGCTTCAAGTGAAAGTGAAAAGGTCTGACGGTTAACAAAAAAAAAACTTGAATCTGATTTCTTACCTTTTCTCAGGCATGGAGGTCTGTTTGGTTTATTAGAGAAAAGGCTGGTTTGTGAATCTGACTGCATTACTGCTCCACAAAGAGCACCTTCTCTCTGGCTAATTATTTTATCATATTACCCATGTTCTACTTTAGCTGCACATAGGGTGCTCAGGAAATTTGAAAAGTTCTTCTGTTGGGGATAGAATTTAAAAACAGAATGAGTTACTTTGGTAGTTTTAACAACTCAGACTGTATCTCTTTTCCTTAAACTTCCTCTTTTCAGCCCAAGCATTGTTTTACCGCTCATCTATGTTTCCATGGTAACAGTGCTTTGGTGTTTGGCTGTGTCCGTTAAAATCCTCTATTTTGGTCTTTTATGTAGAAATGAATGTTCCAGTCTTACAAGAAAACTGGTGAAATGTAATAAAACGAGGAAAATATAGTTTCTGGACAATATATGGTGAGATGTGTCTCATGTGGACTCATTTCTGTGTCTGATTTTGAGTGATCGTCATCACTTTCTGCATAAATAATAAATATTAACGTTAGATTTCTATATTTAAATAAAATTAGAAAAGATTGGTCAAATACATACAAACAAGGAAAACAAAGTGATCTTCCTCTCATAGTTTACTCCACTAAGTCCTGTAAGAATTAAATCAGCAAAACATGGATTATTGAATTTGGTATTGATCCACTGCAATGGCAATGGGCTGGATGTTATGAGATGTGAATTTAAAGAAATTGAGTTTGAGGGGAAAGCAGCCGGTAGGGTTCCAATCAAGGTTGAGTTTGGTTTGACTTTTTAAAATCAACCTTTTAAGTTTCATCTCAAATTAACTGGGTCTTCAAAATCTGATATTATTAGCAAGAACATTAGTTGGTGTCCATCATTGAGTTCATTTATCATTCTTACTTATCTTTTTAATGAAATATGTAAAATATTACTTTCCGGTAGTGCTTTGCCCAAAATGCTGATAACCAGACGTAGGGGAAAGAGAAAAATTACAATTTGAAACGTGAAACAGGGAAAACGTGAGGTAGAGGTGGCTTCTGCAGAAGCAGGGGCAGGTAGTTGAGGCGGGCAGGTTCATGATGGGGTAGAAGCTGTAGATGAGGGAGGTGGAAGGTGTGGCTGGGTTGCTGGAAGGAGCTGGATCCTGGAGATAAAGAGCACAGGTAAGGTAGCCAAAGAAATGTCCAAAGTGGTAATAATCTTAGGTTGTACTCAAAAGAACACGGGCCGATCAACCAACAAAGCAGTAACCATCTGGCAGCCTGCACACTGGAGGCCAGCCTCTAAATACTGCTCCTAATGATGATAGGTCTCAGGTGTGCAGCCAGCTCCTCCCAAAGCCACACCTATCCAACCGAGCGAGCCCACCAAAACCACACCCACACTCTCACACGCCACATAAACTTAACAAGAAAATCACTATATATTTTCACAAAAAACACTGAAACATACTGTATCACTCACCAGTGCTTTACAAAATACCTTCAGTTGAAGAAAGAAATTTAGGGAAACAGATTAAGTTTAGAAAATGAAGAGTAGACATTTCATCCAGAATTATGTCATTTCAGAACATGCTGTTTGAGATCGAGCAGAAGGTGTCGTACCTGTCAGAGTTATCCGTCCACAGCGAAAGTTTGCTGTTGGAGGGTCGAGCTGAGACCAAGGAAGAGGCGGAGCAGCTCACGCTCAAACTGCACTCCCTTAAAGACAGCCTACTGGAGCTGCAGCAGATGCTGCAGGACAAACAGGTTGACATACAGGTGAGCTCTGGAATGAAGTGTGTTTTATTTCAATATAAATTCAATATAAATTCTGCTCTGTTTTCTTCTCTCTACTTCTGCACACTTATGTTGGTGCTTTGTTGCCTTACGCTGAACTGGGCTTAAGCATCAATAGTAGTATTGTGTGAGAAGTACTAAAACAATCATGCCCTTTCATAAAAGTTCACTGTTTTAGACTGTGGAACAACAGCAGCGGCCTGTGTCTCACAGTGGGCCACAGACGCCAGACAAAAGGATGCCAACTCATCACATGCAAACACTAAATGCAGTCCATCAGGTGTATTTCTGATGACACAACATGACCTTTTTGCTTTGTGCTGTATGCCAGCTGGAGAAAAATAGATTATCCATCTCCCCACATGACCAGAGCAGCTGTCCTTGCTTAAAATGTCCCTACGTTTTAATGACATTCCCGGGCCCATCACTCCCTAATGAATTAACATAGCTTTGTCATTCACTCTTTGTCTCTCAGTGCTGATCTCAATTTCTACTTTTAGTAATTTCACATATTTCAAGCATCATAGCTTTACTCTGCTATATGAGTACATTGTTCAAAGTAATCCTCCTGACAGTAAAAATGGAACTGCTAAATAGTTGTGTTTGTTACCAATTGTTACCATCACACCTATCTTTTTCCAGGGCTCACTACAGGAGCAGGAGGACAGTGATCTAGACTCAACTCTGTCTCAGAGTCCTAATCTCCAGGATTGGCTATCTCAAGCCCGTTCAACACGCACACAGAAGCACCACGACAACCAGCTTCGACAGAAGGTGAGATAGATTTGAACGTATTAAATATATCTTAAAGAATAATATTTGTGCTATTATCTCTAGGTAAATCTGATGACAATCTTTGTATTGCAATAAATCCATTGAAAATTGAATGTGAGTCCATCTATGAACAAAACTGATTACCTTTTTTTTTCCCTAGGAGCTGCAGGAGCAAGTGGCTAAACAGAGGAAGCTGCTCCGCTCTGTAGCCAGTGTTGGGGAGGAGTTATTCAGCCATAGCTCACCAAACGGGGACAGGTACTTTAGATCTATCTCTCCATTCAACATGAGCCTATGTTCATTTTCACTTAACCAAGCCAACCATTTCTGTTTACCATGTTAAGGCTGCAAGATTAACAGTCATGATGTATTTAGTTATCATGACAGCATTTTTTAAATGTTATTCTTTTGTAACAAGAATACGGCTGATCTTCCAAATCTGGCTATGACAAACCTATAACTAGTAAAGTTTTTGGGAAGAGATTTTTCAAGTGAAAATGCCTCTCCCTCCCACAGTGAGGTGTCCATCCCTGGTGGAGTGCTGCTGGAGTCTGAGACCATGTCTACTCAGGATCAATTGAGGCACAAATGGGAAAACTTAAACAAAGATCAGAACACCAAGCTGCAGCTCTCACTCACCTCTCTGGAACACGACCAGCTCAGCCCGGTATGCTTGCCCAACTGTGGAACTTGATGCAGTGTGTTGAATTTTACTTCATAAAGTGGGACATTTTTTGCATCATCCTTTTGTGTTATGTCTGACCTGCTTTAGTCAGGGGCTTTGTGTGATTGCAGCCAAACTGACTCTCATATGTCCATGTGCAGGTCCTTCACCGCTCCCGTCTGTCTAGCCCCAGTGTTGCGTTCAGGGGGGAAGCAACCAACCAGAGCCCTCACCCTCCTGGTTCACTGTTTGAAGCCTGCAGCCAGACCCTGGAAAGAATCAATGAAGAAGTAAGTTATTGCATTTCAATACCTCTTTATTTATCCTGTTGTGGGAATTTCACGCTTTCATATTGATGTTTTCAGTGCACCAACTAAATATTCTTTTGTCCTCCCTCAGACGGTGGGTAGTGACTGCAAGCTGGCAGCTTCTTTTGGAGGCACTGTCCAGCTGGACCTGTACACTGCAGTATCAGCAGCGTCCTGCTGGTTAGACACTGCTGAGAATCACCTCCTCTCTGGTCCTGTGCTGCTGTCTGAGGATGCAGAATCTCAACTCACAAAACTAGAGGTACTCTTTATAAATTCTAGGATAATTCTTTCATTAAAAAAAAAACCTGTTGCATAAGCAGACACTGCAGCACAGAGTTAGCTGACTTTTTTAATTTCCTTCAGGGTCTTAATAAACAGCTGAAGGAGATGAACAGTGAGGTGAACCAGTGCAGGGACCTGCTGGCAGGAGGAGCTGGTCGACTCTGTGGAAGAGATGAGCAAACCCTGATGGAGGATGCTCTTGAGGGTCTGCAGGAGAGGATGGGCCTTCTTGACTCTGCTCTGGAACAACACTGTGACAGCATGAAGGACCGGCTGCAGGAGCACTCAACTTTTCAGGTCTGAAAGCTTGAATCTTTACACAAATGTATGAATAGCAGAACTTTCTGAAGTGCTTAGCTAAATTATTTGCTATACTCACCAGAATGAGCTGAGGATGCTGTTCACAGCTTTGACTGAAAGTAAACATCAGTTGCTGGAGAAGATGGCTGCGATGGCAGACAGACCTGCCTCCAAACAGCTGGAGGTTTGTTTCTAACCAGCTGCAGAAGAATAAAAAAAACTCAGTTATGCTTTCTTCAATGAGCTTCTTGCTGAATGTCCTTTGTTCTATTTAGACATTATCTGAGGTCGAGGATAGCCTGAGGGAATTTGAGCAAAGAGTGACTGAACTGCGAGGCAAAGCAGAAGGGCTGCAGTCAGACCAAGCTTCCAACCAGGACTTACTCAAACTACAAGTAATCTACATATTTTCCTCTTTTGTGTCTCTGAACACTACAATACTAAAGCACTGTGGTACTTAATGGTTCAAATATTGATGGGTCTTTTCAGGACGCATATGAGGAGCTTGCTCTCATGGTGGGGTCACGACGGAGTAGCCTGAACCATGGCTTGTCTCTGAAGGCTCAGTATGAGGCTGCACTTCGAGACCTCGCTGACCTTGTGGACACTGCTCAGGACAAGATGGCAGCTGACCAAAAGATGACAGTTCCTTCTGTTATAGAGGTCCAGATGTTACTGGACAAACACAAAGTAAGAAGCGGGAATACTTTCAAACCAATGTAATGAAGTTTGGGGTTTTTTTCATTTATAATTTCTTCTTCCCAATTACAGGAGTTTTTCCAAGGCCTCGAGTGCCATATGATCCTTACACAGACATTTTACAGTAAAGTGTCTGGTCTGGTGGCGCAGAGGGAAAGTCAATTGTTGGAGGAAACCATGACATTAGCCCACAATGTGCTCAAACAAGCCCACAGGAGGGGTGTGGAGCTGGAAGGTATTCTAGAGGTAAGAAAACTAACTGAATTTCAGTAAGATCTGTTCTAAGGAGAATAGATTTTTTTTAATCTGGAAAAGCAATTAGATGACAGACAATCTTCTCTTCTGTTTGTCAGTCATGGAGCAGGTTTGTGGAGGACTATCAGGCTCTCTGTAGACAGCTAGAAGCTGTGGAGAGTAGCATCCCCACCGTCAGTTTGGTTGAGGAAACAGAGGAGAGACTTATTGAAAGGATCAGCCTCTACCAAGTAAGAGACAGAAATATCTGCATCCATAAAGCAAAGAAGGAATTTATTGTGGGTAGCTGATTATTCATTTGACATCTACCCTGCAGGGCTTGAAGGCTAGTCTGACAGAGCATCAACCACAACTCTACCAGGTTCTGGAGGAGGGTAAGAGGCTTCTTCTGTCTGTTAGCTGCTCAGACTTGGAGAACCAGCTGACACAGCTGGGGGAACACTGGCTGTCCTCCACCACTAAAGTCAACAAGGAGCTGCACCGACTTGACTCAACGCTTAAACACTGGAGCAGGTCTGCTTCTGTGACTGCTTTGATCAGTTTGTTTTTAAAAAAGGGCCTTGTTGTCTAAAAATAATCCTCTGAGTCTTTTATTTTTGTTCTGTGCATTTCTAAATCAAAGATACAAGAGTGAGTCAGCAGAGCTGAGCCACTGGTTGCAGTCTGCTCTGGATAGACTGGAGTTCTGGACAACCCAGTCAGTAACAGTGCCTCAGGAGCTGGAGACAGTCAGAGATCACCTCTATGCCTTCCTGGTCAGTTAGGTTATCACCCGAATTATACAACACACTTCTTAGTACCGATACACGTTATTCTGATGTGTGACGTAGTCTAAATCTAACTTACTGTTTCTCTTTTTTGTAGGAATTTTCCAAAGAGGTGGATGCCAAGTCATCTTTGAGATCATCTGTGCTTAGCACAGGCAACCAGCTTCTGCGCTTGAAAAGAGTGGACACAGCCGGCCTCAGGACAGCCCTTGGCCAAATTGACACTCAGTGGGCTGAACTGCTCACTCGGATCCCTGTAGTTCAAGAGAAGCTGCACCAGGTCTGTTTACGGCAAGCTTCAGTCTAATTTTTGACTTAATGCTCACATTAACATGTGGTAATTATTCTGTAGTGTTGTAACAACTCTTCTTTTTGCTCCTTAGCTGCAAATGGAGAAGCTGGCATCACGACATGCCATTACAGAGCTGATGAGCTGGATCTCTCTGATGGAGAACATCATTAAGGAAGACCAGGACAAGTTCATGGGAGCTGTTGGCTCGGAGGTGGTTCAGAATTTTTTGCAGAAGTACAAGGTAAAAAAAAACACTTTGTGTGACGCGTGTTTTCAATTATTCTGGGAGCAATTTCACACTTTCCTGGTGCCTTATCTTCATGTCACAGGGTTTCCGGATAGATCTGACCTGTAAGCAGTTAACTGTGGACTTTGTGAACCAGTCAGTGCTGCAGATCAGTAGTCAGGATGTGGAGGGAAAGAGGAGCGACAAAACAGACTTTGCGGAGAAGTTGGGAGCTATGAATAGAAGATGGCAGATATTACAGGGGCTAATTGCAGAAAAGGTACGTTGAGGTTGAAATTCTATTCTCAAAAGTACATTTGTGGCATGTGAATAATTATTATTTTTGTGCTTTAGATTCAGCTTTTGGAAGGACTTTTAGAAGGTTGGTTAGAGTATGAAAACGGAGTCCAAACATTGAAAACCTGGCTCACGCTGCAAGAGGAGAAATTAAAGAAGAGACACAGGATAGAGGATGTAGCATCAGTGCACAATGCACTTAAGGATTGTCAGGTGGGTTCACTCCACACTCATCCTTACCAAAAAGATTTGTTTTTCAAAACCTCTTCTTTAACAAAAATGTTCTTGTCACAGGAGTTGGAAGAATTAGTAAGGGAGAAAGAGAAAGATCTGGAGAAAGCAGAAGAAAGAGGAAATGCTTTAATGCGGGATAAGAAAGGAGCAGCCTGCTCTGTAGTGAAGGAGACCCTAAAGGGACTGAGCCAGTCCTGGGCACATTTGGACCACATGGTGAGCTTCCATGTCTCAGATGTAAAGATTTGTTTTCTACTGTATTTTCCCATTCACACATATTTTCCCTTCTCTTACTGCCAGATAAGTCAGATGAAGGTCAGCCTGCGGTCAATGCTGGAACAGTGGACGTTGTACCGGCGGGCTTCGGAGGAGATCAATGGTTACCTGATGGAGGGGAGGTATTCCGTCTCTAGACTACACCTCCTTAATGGGTCTTTAGAGGCAGTGCAGCAGCAGGTGGAGAGTCTTGAGGTGAGGAGCGCAGAGGCCCAACTGCTTTGCTAAAAAAAAACGGCACATCCTTGAATTTCACAGAAATTTTTCAATTTTACAATTGTGTGTCACACAGAGCCTGCAGGAGGAGATGGACAAACAGGAAAGCAGCCTAAGGAAGTTTGGCTCTGTAACTCACCAGCTGCTGACTGAGTGTCACCCCTCAGTCGCCGAGACGCTCAACAGAGCACTCCGTGATGTCAATATCAGGTAACAATGAAAAATAGATCTTTTTCCGAGTAATTTTAACAGGCTATTTGAACCTTTGTTTTAACCGTTACGTAACCACCTCCTCATTCTCTGCTTAAGGTGGAATCACCTACTTGAGCAGATCTCAGAGCAGCTGAGGAGCAGTAAGGCTTTGTTGGCACTGTGGCAGCGCTACAGGTCGCTGTACAGCCAATGTGCTGCACTAGTTCAGAAGCAGGAAGAGCGCGCCGATCACCTGCTGAGGAGCGCCACTGACAGGGAAATTACAGAGGAGGAGAGCTGCACCTGGATGAACGACTGCAGCGTGAGTGGGGATCAAACAACTCAGTGCAGCTTTTGCCTATGTAAACATCACAAATTCCTTTAGCATTTTGCTCAGTCGATTGATTCCAAAGATCCAGTCAAATGTTGGAATGCTAGAGCATGTACATATTTTCTGGCCTCCTAGGAGTTAGTTTCCTCTCCGAGGAAGAAGGTCCTAAACTCACTGCAAGGTTTGCAAAGCCTTTATCTCTGTTTCTGAATGCCAAATTACTGCCTGTCCTTCTGTGCGTTTGAATGTAAACTCACTGCGCAATCTAACAAAAGGCTTCTTAGAAGGATATTGCAATAGGGAAGAAAGGCCCCTGATTTACACTGCAGGGGGCCCCCGGTGTCATGCTGGGGGTGTCGGACAGTCATGTCTAGAGACACACAGTCTTAATAGTGTGGGCAGGCTGTTATTTTTCTCTGAGGTTCACTGATGCAAACTGATCCCAGACAAAGTGCCTGAGAATTCTGGGCCGTCTGTTTAACACTGGCCCCATCTGTGCTGCTGACCAAAACCCACCGTCTAGCTAAAAAACTGCACCCACCTTTGACAAATGGAACCTCCTCAGGACTTGCTGGAAAATGCCACAGACATCTTTAATATGAATCTTATTTTAAAAGTATACTCTTTTTTCATTGCATAATAGAGTAAAAGGTGAAACTGTGACAAATACGAGATAGGGTTTCAACTTATAGATTTTGATATAGATGAAATAAAAACTACCGTTAATTTATAAAAAGTACAAAAGTATAGCATCAAAAGTAAGAGAGGGTAAAAAGTGAGACAATATTTAAGTGATAGAGAATTTGAGAGCAGCACCTGAATTAACAAATGCACCAAAGTCTAAAGTGACCTATTATCTGAAAGCAAGGTTAACATTTTAGCAACACATTATAGAAGTTTTGCCTTCCACATGCAATTCAACAGAGTTAGATTAGGATTCATATACACACACATAAAGTGATGTTTAATCTTTGATATTATAACAGGACTGCCTCAGCAAGCAAGACTCAGTGCAGGAGTCCCTTCAACAGCTGCATGCATTAGGGGAGCAGCTGAGGAGTCAAGTCGACGCCTCCTCCTCGGCATCCCTCCAGTTCGACCACCTGTCACTCACCCATCGCCTGGCAACACTGAAGCACGGCCTTCACAGGCAGCAAGAAGTACTGCAGGTAGGACAGCCCGGGCTGTTGCAGTGTAAAAGGCATATGCCCTAATTCCATAAGAAAACATAAGTTATACATCACCTTTCTTTTCACTGTGTGTTTGTCTGTTTTTAGTGTGGATCTCAGGCCTGTGAGCGTTTCAGAGAGCAGCTGGACTCGCTGATCTGTAATGCTGAGGAGGCAGCGGAGGTGCTGAAAGAGGCTGATCCAGTGGGTTCACCAGAGCTGAGTGTGGTGCAGACACGTATGGAAAAACTCAAGGTACAAACACGGAAGCCCCAGCTTTTACATCTTTATTCACAAGTTTTATTCTCTGTGTGTCGACAGAGACTGGAATACACAGACACATAAAAGAAACGATTATTCCTCTGAAAGTTCTACCGAAAATCCTAATTAACTTTTTTAATTTTTTTCAGGTACATCTGCTAAAGCTGAGCAGTCTGTCTCCAGACCTGGAACGTGTTAATGAGCTGGTGTACAGGCTTCCAGTCAGTGACAGAGATGTTAAAAGACTCCAAAATCTCAACCGAGGCTGGGCCTCTCACACTGCTCACCTCACTGAGAGATTCAGGTGAGTCCCACACCTACAAATAAAGATACTGGAAACCACCGTTTTTAAATTCCGCAAATGTTTTTTACATGAAGAATTTTTATTTTTATAAGACACCTTAGGAGATCATTAATGAAGATCTAACTATGTTTCATTATGTCATGAATGATAGCAATTTAAAGAGTGATTAAGAATAATTCCTAATTTATAATCTATGTGCAATATGTCAGTAGGCTTGGAATAATGTGGACGAGAATGTTTCAATTGTTTGCTTTGTCTGTCTTCAGTAAACTGCAGTCAGTGTTGCTCCAGCAGCAGAGTTTCCTCCAGAAGTGTGAGTCCTGGATGGATTTCCTGTCCCAGACTGAACAGAAATTAGCTGCTGAGATCTCAGGAAACTATGAGAGTCTGCTGGAGCAACAGAGAGACCATGAGGTCAGGCCGCCATGCCATATCAAGGCATATTTTTATTATCTTTATAAAGTGGCCGTGGTTTAATCATACATGTGCACCTGCAGCTGTTCCAGGCAGAGATGTTCAGCAGGCAACAGATTCTTTACTCCATCATCACTGATGGGCATCTTTTGTTGGACCAGGGGCAAGTGGATGACAGGTTAGTACATCCACTCTCGGCTTCATGCATTTATTTTAGCAATGCATCCATTTGTGAAAAGCTAACATCCTGTTGTTACTGTTGTTGCAGTAACAGTGACGACTTTAGTGTGAATCTGGCCTTGCTGAGCAATCAGTGGCAATGTGTGGTGCGACGTGCCCAGCAGCGTAGAGGCATCATTGATAGTCTAGTCCACCAGTGGCAAAACTATCAAGAGATGTCAGAGAAACTACGTCGGTGGCTACACGAAGTGACCCGCAATCCAGATGTGCATCAGCCAGGAGAAGCAGTGGCTCTACAGCAGGCTAGAAACCTGTTAGGTCAAATACAGGTAAGCATCAGCAAAATACCAGTAAGTAGTACCAGTAAGAGAGTAAGTGACATCCCCACTTTGCCTCTGAAGTATTTATTTTATGGTATGGATTTTCTCAAAGAGCCCTAACATTTCTTTAAATCCTCAAACCCTCACCCTGTCTCCAACCTTAGAATCCCATAGTTAACCTGTGCCTACTCTGCCCTCTATCTCTGCCTCTACTCCTCCAGCTGAGGGAGCGAGTGCTTCAAAGGCAGCAAGGAGTCTACATCCTGACCGTGGAGGCCGGCAGGAGCCTGCTGCTGTCAGCTGATGCTCAGGCCGAGTCCACACTGCAGACAGAGCTGATGGAGATTCAGGAGAGGTGGAGGCACGCCCACCACCGCTTGGATCAGCAGAGGAAGGAGCTGCATGGCTTGCTGAAGGTCAGATTTGACACAGAATAACGACATAGCTTAATTCTATATATTATATGCAATACTTTTGAATCCTAGAATTCCTTTCTTTCATATTACTCTTATCATCTGAAGTCAAAATTGTATGTATTTTTCATTCAATTTGATTACTTTTTAGTCTGAAAACTTCTTAATCAATAAGGTTGCAGTGTTGGATTTCCTGCTTTGTTTGGAAAGCTTTGCCTGTGCATGGATGCTGCAGGCTAGCTGTGTATGCCACATGCCGCAGTGTAGAGGTGTTGAAGGGCATTAACCCATCTGGGCTTCTAATGTGCCTACCTGATTGTACGAGTAAGACAGCGAAGACAGGTTCTCGCATTAATTATGCAGATGATGCACCTGGAGTGCTGAAAGGAAGGGAATGAAGGGGATTGTGTACTTTTCATTCCTTGTTTGCAGGTCAATGCAGTTCTCCACACACACTTAGAGGAAGTAGTGCATTTGCTCAAAGCTAACATGATGTCAGCCAAGGACACATACTGTTATTGCACACTGCAGTAGATGATAGATTTAAACCCCGCAAGCTGTCATAGTGCTCTATTTGGTCACACTAAAAGATGCTGTCAGAAAGATTAATTCAGGATTTTGGGAGGAACTCCAAAAAAAGCTGTAATCCACTCCACTTGGAACAGAAGCTCCTCCTTCTGGTTGAACACTCTTAGTTCTCTCTTTTTTGTTACTGGATTTATGCTGTGTCACTCTTTCTTAATCTGTATTTTTATACGTGATGTGCTCCTAGTTGCCTTGTATTGATTGTTGCTTTTATGTGCATGTAGGTGCCTCAGTTTATGATTGCATATTCTGCTGACTCCACCGCTGCAGCAATAATTAATAGCATCTCCTCTTTGAACAAGTAGGTCTGCTGTTTATGTGCAAGTGTGTTTGTCAGCTCAATTTTTTTTCTTTGTGTTTTTATGTAGAATTGGGAGAAATGCGAGAAGGGCATAGATGTGTCACTGGAGAAGCTGAGGACCTTTAAGAGAAAGCTGTCTGTGCTGCTGCCTGACCACCACGAGGAGCTACACACAGAGCAAATTAGATGCAAGGTGAGAAGAATTTACCAAACATACACACAGAAATTGAACATTAATTTTTGCATCCTCACAATTTTCCAGACTCTGGTTTGTCTCTGTACTTCTGTCTTTACATTCATATACAAAACGAACATTCAGAGACTCAGGCTTGTCATCTTTAATCACTCTGTGACAAACAAACAGACAAACGGAGAAATCCTCCAAAGAAGCAAAACAAAAGGGCTTTTTATCCAACCTTTTGCGGTTGTCTGACTTTTGGCCTTTAATATCATCCCATATGAATGTAACAGATATTTATTTTGAGATGATTCTTGGTATCAGTGGATGCACATATTCTCATTGTTTTTTACCTGTGTGAAGAGGCTAAATTAAGATGAGGCCCTTTTTTGTTTATTTTAATCTTGACAAATCAAACGTGTGCAAAGATATATATTACTCCCTATGCAGCCCTGGACAATTTAAAATGTAGTTGTGTTACACGCAGGGCACGTCCTCAGATCCTCAGGGGAGGAGGATAAGGGAGAGGAGGAGGAGTGTGTAGCTGCTCACAGCATCAGCTGAGAAAGGAGAGGGGGTTGGGAGGGAGAAAGAGAGATTGCGTGCGCATGAGAAAGAGAGCCAGCATCCCTTTTTTGGCGAGGGGGTGTATTTGTGCGTGTGAGCATCTGTGTTCTTCCTTTCGTGTGCGTTGCATAATGGAGACACTCTCTGGGTCCACAAATGATCACACCACAGTGCAATCGTCACAGTGACAAGCGAAGGCGAGATACAAGGTTAGATGGCTCTTTTGCCTCGTGCTGCATTTAGCCTTGAATGCAGTGGGGGTTTTGTCATTTTTTGTGTGCTTATTGTTATGTCAGAACACCAGCATCTAATTCCTACAGAAATTTATCTTTTTGCATCCTGTGGTGCTCTGACATTTTCGGTTTGTCTTTTTGTCACCGTTTATGAATGAACGGCACAGCAGCTGAGCTTCAGTTGCTCCATGGGTTTCTTGATTTCTCTGACTGTGGCTGCTGGTCATTAGGAAATGAACCCTTTCTATGGTTCAAGCAGTATGTTGCCTGTTTTTTTTAAATCACTATTTGCTGTGGATGCAGGAGCTGGAGAGCAGTGTGGAAAGCTGGACTGATGACCTCACTTCCTTGTTCCTGCTGAGGGATTCCTTGGAGGGTGTGGTCAGTGCAGATGACATCACAGTTCTACAGGAGCGACTCCAGCTGCTCCAGCGCCAGTGGGAGGAGATTTGCCATCAGGTAGATACCCACAGGTCTGACCAATCAGAGAATTGATAAGAGTAGACTGAACATTAGTAGGAGCATTTGAAACCTAAATCTGGAAGAGATGATACAAGATTTTACAATAAGAGAAAAAAATGAATTTTTAAAAAGCAAAGCATGTAAAACAATAAGATCTTTAAATAATCTTTGTCTGTACCTTTGGAGAACAGGACATTTCTGGAGGGGAAAAATACACACAGCTGAAGGGTATTCGAGTGAAAGTTCAGCTGTGCGAACTTTCCATTGTCATGGTTAACGCAGATGGCGTCACAGGACAGTGATGTTATTGTGAGCTATGTGTCTGTCAGGGTGTTAAGGAGAGGACTTAGATGAATTAATGAGGCTTTGATGCATAGCATTGGTTACATGGGAAGTTTTTTTTTTGTAGTTTTTTTTTTAGATAGGCTTAGCATACATTGTGCCTTCTTCAAACAGATGTATTTTTTTTCCAAACAGCTCTCTTTCTTTCTCTTTATGTCCTTGTCACTCTTCTATTTTTTCTGTGTATTCTGTCCAAGAATCATAATAAATAAGTCTTCCCTTTTATCCTCTCAGCTTTCCCTACGAAGGCAGCAGGTTAGTGAGAAGTTGAATGAGTGGGCTGTTTTCAATGAGAAGAACAAGGAGCTATGCGAGTGGCTCACGCAGATGGAGAGCAAAGTCTCCCAGAATGGGGACATCAGTATTGAAGAGATGATTGAAAAGTTACGCAAGGTAATTTTAGAAAGCCGGTCCTTACAGAAATGCATCTGAAATATACTACAAGTATAGTATACCTCTATAACAGATCTGTGAAAAATGTCAAATTCAGTGCATAACATCTCACTGCATATTCCTGCTCCTTTTTTTATCCTCCAGGACTACCAAGAGGAGATCGGTGTCGCTCAGGAGAACAAGCAGCAGCTGCAGGTGATGGGTGAGCGACTGGCAAGGGCCAGCCAGGACAGCAAGGCGGCCGAGATCCAGCACAAACTCAATAAAGTCAGCGAGCGCTGGCAACACCTGCTTGACCTCATTGCAGCAAGGTGGGTGCACGAGACTCTTCAGATTGCACACAGAGTGGCTTGAGAACAGAGCTTGTTCTATCTCTCTGAAAATAGATGGAACTTAAAAGCAAGCTGATAGCAGAAAGATATCGACCCGGAAAATGTGCTCTAAGCCATCTGACAGCGAGTGTGGGGTTTTCAGATGTTTTGGAAAATACAGCAGACAGCTAACATGGCAACTGTTGATGGCTTCACTGTTTGGCATAGCAGAACAAAAGTTCTACTTTTAATTCTCTGTGTGCTTGATTCTCCACACTCCAGTAATAACCAGGCCCACGTAGCAGAATGTTTGTGTCATGAATTGAAAGTTGAAGTTTGAAGTTTAAAAACTGTGAATTTTCCCACCATGTTGGGGAGGCGTTTTCTGCTAGCCTCACACCAAGTTGAGGCAGATCATATTTCTCTTCTTTCTCTCCTTGTTTGCCATTTTGTTGTTGATATCCACTAGAGTTGAAGTCTTCAGCACAAAGACAGTTTTTCTCCAAAATATGCTTGATTTAAGTTTAAGTCTTTGTGGTATTCTGTACATTTGTTATTTTTTTAATGTGGAAAGTTTCAAAAATAATCTTCTGTGAACTGACTTCTCCCAAACTGACTTTCCCATCGGCCGTCCTGGACTGTTTTCTGGCTTTTGCCCTCTGGGATTTTATTGGAGGAGTAAAGGAGGGAAGGACTTTTTCTGACCTCAGAAGCTGTAGTCTCTTTGTCATTTTTCTCCTCCCTTTGCTAAAGACACAAAAAGGCGAGCATTTGTTGAATGAGCAGAGCACCTTGAGATTTTTTATTTTGTTTTCCGTGTTTCTTTCGAACTGATCATTTCTGGAATTAGCATTTTGTCTATGGATACAAATGCCCCTGTGTAAGCATTTTTTAAATTGTAAAACACTACAACTTGTGCAGCATCCATCAAAAAGCTGAAACATGCATGGAGCGGGCAGCATTTGCTAGGTTCACACTCCCTCTGTGTGTATTTGGTGTCTGCTATGCCGACCAGCTCTTCAGCACATGCCTCTGACTGTAAGTCTTTTTTTTAGAAACAGCCACACTTGTCACTCTCGGGCACACACACACACACACATACTAATGCAGACACACAGGCCTGTTTGGGGTTCTCTTTTTTTAAACCTTTGAGAGCAACTGTTGATAAGTCACAGTTGTGTCGCCCCGCCACTACCTGCTGACCCTCCCTCTCTGTGCACAGAGAGTTTAGAAGGAGTCCCATGTGGAGCACACACAGGAAAGCGAGGAGCAGTGGGATTGACACATATGTGGATATCGTCTTTAGGAATTCTGCACCCACATGGTTTTGGAAATAGGGAAGGATAATATGGCTGGATGTCCGATCAAAGAGGATCTGCCAGAATGCGATTGCGATGTCAACAGGCAGGATGATTTTTTTAAATTATGCTCAAGTTCTTTAAGATTATGTTAAAAAATAATGATCTTTTAAAAATTTAATAAGGCACCTAAACTTTGTTCATGTAGGCCTAGTTTTTCCTCTATCTTATTTATTATGCTGTGGAGAAAATAAATTAAACTGTTTTAGCTTAAAGCAGTTTAAGGTTTCTTTATGCAGTTGATAGCCTCCTCGTGAGAGCAGATATGGCTTTGTTCATGTTCATCAATGCCAATCTTTACCATCTTTTTGTTTACCATTTTATATTTTTCCATCACACTGCTAAAAATGCTAAACAGTTTGGGTAAAAGCAGATGGACTTTTGTTGATGCGAGGAGGTCATTGCTGGACTCCCCTCATATCTGACGAGCTGAAAAATGTTTGAATCGCTTGCAGGTTGGCGCTCAATCTGACGGCATGTGCATATTTTCCTGTAATGCAAACTGTCAAGTTGCTGTGTCATGCTGTGTGTTGCACTGAGAGAGTTCACAGTAGGTGCAGGAATGTTGAGATGTAATGCAGAATGAACTGAAGGAAGGAATGAACACTCTTTCCTTGGAAAAGGAGATTTTGAGCTTTGGCTTCTTTTTGCAAAATTTGATTCCTTTGATTCTTGCAAAATATTCTTGTTGAGATGGTGAAAGTTACATTGCTTTGCAGGGTGGAACACAGAATGTTAAAAAGGGAACACACTGTTGTAAGACACTGCGGTTGGTAATATGGTTTGCATGTTATCATTGACTGAAGATGTCTGGCACTTGAAGCCCCAAAATGATCACCAGTTGTTCCAACAAAAATATCTGGTTGGATGTGAAACCAAGCTCCTGCAGAGTTATATTTATTCCATGTTCTTTCATGTTAAAAATATGAATGAATTCTGAGAATTTTTTGGGGCTTATACTTTTTTTCTTTCTTTGGTGTTTCAATTAAATGGAATTAAGGTTTAGCTTTACTTTTTGAAAAAATGTTCAGTCCCTTTAACACCAATTTAAAGTATGCTTTATTCACCTTGACTTGACTCATCAATTTTATTTTTAGTGTGTTTTCGTATGGTTTCTCGATCATATGACATCTTTTCTTCCTTGCTGCTTATTCTGTTACTGTCCCATGAGTTGACACCACCTTCCCCTCTCATTTTGTTCCTGCACCAGGGTGAAGAAATTGCGGGAGACGCTGGTGGCTGTGCAGCAGTTAGACAAAAACATGAGCGTTCTGCGTTCTTGGCTCTCTCACATCGAGGCTGAGCTCTCCAGGCCCATTGTTTACGATGCCTGTGATGACCAGGAGATTCAGAGGAAACTCAACCAACAACAGGCAGGGAGCCACACGCACACACCGACTGCGTTGTATGTGTTTTTATGTGAGGGCGAGGTTATGGACCTTGTGACACGAACAACAGTGTGGAAAATGAGTAACGCTGAAGCACACGAGGAAGTCAAATCATGACTCATGCACTCATCTTCAGCTTTGTTCTTTGTAAGCTCACTGTAAGTGTAATAGTTGCTGCCAAGATGCCACTCTAAATCTGGACTATATCTAGACCTCATTGACCTCCTTCATCTCCAGAGCAGAGGAGTCATCTTACATGAGGATTTACTGTAGTCTGACATTGTGCGCACTCATTTCCTGGATTGATTTATGAAGAACTTGCGTTCTGTCGCAAAAAAAAGTAATATATTGGGAGGAAAAAAGTGAGGAAATGCAAAATTCTGTCATCATACAACTTTTTGCTAAATTCTGCAAAATTCCTCATTGTGTTTGCAGGAGCTGCAGCGGGACATAGAGAAACACAGCACAGGTGTGGCTTCGGTGTTGAACCTGTGTGAAGTCCTACTACATGACTGCGATGCCTGTTCTACAGAAACAGAGTGCGACTCAATCCAGCAGGCCACCAGAGGGCTGGACAGACGCTGGAGAAACATTTGTGCCATGTCCATGGAAAGGAGGCTCAAGTGAGTTCTTCCTAGATGTGCATTACAGAAATTGTACAACAGACAATTAGATATCCATCAAGATATTTTCGAAAAACATATGTTTGATTTAGCTTTTAAAGCATGTGAAGCTGTAATTGATAACAATAACATATGATTGCATGCACGTGGTAAACTTGCCTTTCAGAAACAGAAATAATACTTCCTTTTTCTTTGACTTTGTTCTGTGCAGGATTGAAGAGACTTGGAGGTTGTGGCAGAAGTTTCTGGATGATTACTCCAGGTTCGAGGATTGGCTGAAGACCTCAGAAAAAACAGCCGCTCTACCCAACTCCTCTGGAGTTCTTTATACAGTCGCTAAAGAGGAGCTCAAGAAGTTTGAGGTGTGTCCTTTTGCATGAAGAGGAGCTACTTTTGCATGTATACATATCTGCTTTACTGGGCAAAAATTTGGATCTAAGCTTGATATTTATATTTAAACAGAAACAACAACAAAAAATAACTGAGAAAGTTAACAGAAACTCTAGACAGGCGGTTACTACAGCATAGGTGTCATGTTACTGAAACTTGTTTGCACTGGTCTGCTCAGCTGCTGCTGTCCATCTGTGTGCACGTGCACATTCTTGCCAGCTACATTTCTGGCCTACACCATGACCATCTGTTTTGCTGTGTCTGACCAGGAACTGAATTCAAGTTAAATGTGAAATTACTGTTAATGTTTATCTTAACAGGACAAACCTTCATGTTTTTCTTTTTGCTGATGAATTTATTGTAGGATAAAGTATTTGCTTTCTTATTTGATCTCTTTGTGAGTACAAATTAAATATTGAGAGAAAACATTAACTGCATGAAATGCTGAAATGTGAGTGAACGTGTCTGTTTTGTCATAGGCCTTCCAGCGTCAGGTGCAGGAATGCCTGACCCAGTTGGAGCTCATCAACAAGCAGTACCGTCGTCTGGCCCGGGAGAACCGCACTGACTCCTCTTGTCGTCTCAGAGAGATGGTGCATAATGGGAACAGGCGGTGGGATAACCTGCAGAAGAGGGTAGCTGCCATCCTGCGCAGACTCAAGGTAGCATAAACTGACGTGACTGAGGTTTAGAGGTTGTGGATGTCATTATCAAACTATCTAATCGTTTTTTTTATCATTCTTGCCAACTAGACATCTTATTTTTGCCATGACCATCTGCTTTTTTTCAAAAGCTTGAAGAAAAAAATAAACCAGAATTGTTTATCTTCATATCTTTATGCAGCATTTCATTGGCCAGAGGGAGGAATTTGAAACGGCACGAGACAGCATCCTGGTGTGGCTCACTGAGATGGACCTTCAGTTGACCAACATAGAGCACTTCTCTGAGTGTGATGTACAGGCAAAAATTAAACAACTCCGGGTATGAAAGATTTTTGCTCATTGTGCTACTTAGAATTGAAAGTTGAGCCCACCTAACTCTTACTTGAATGGCTACATAATTCCAGAACCACCGTCTTGTAATCATAAAAATCTGTGTTGAATGCAGGCTTTCCAGCAGGAGATCTACCTAAACACAGCAAAGATTGAGCTGGTGTTTAGGCAAGGCGAAGCTCTGATTGAAAAGAGCGAACCTCTGGACGCTGCTGTGATCGAGGAAGAGCTCGAGGAGCTGCAACGATACTGCCAGGAGGTGTTTGGACGAGTGGACAGATATTACAAGAAGCTCACACGACTGCCTGTGAGTGAAGATGCCAACGCCCAGATTAATCTCTAAAAATATTAAAAAAGATCTATCATCTGGAAATGTCAAAATGTGCCCCAAGTCATTTTTCCATTCTTTATGCTCTCCTGTTTCTCTTCATCCCTCCCAGCTGGTGGATGATGAGCTGGATGGCTCGGATAGAGAGCTAGACATGGAAGAAGGTGGAGAGCTCTCTGAGCTGCAGTGGAGTGACTCCTCTGTGCCACGGACGTCCAGCCGTCCTGCCTCAGGTGCCGCTGCCCTCATCCGAGCCGACCGCTCAGGCCGAGATACTCCAGCCAGCGTGGACTCCATCCCCTTGGAGTGGGACCACGACTATGACCTGAGCCGAGGCCTGGATAGCCCTGGAGGACGAGGCAGTGGGGAGAGGAGCAGAGGACAAGAACAGGAAGATGAGTATCTGAGGACGGCTACCACAGTGCTGTCAGGTTGGTCTGACTTTTAGTTCCCAAGTAGAAACCTTATTAACTTTCTGGTGAATTCAACTTCTACTCCAAAGTAAATAAGTCTCTAACACCTTCAGGAGATCATTTGGTTTTAAGAACCGTGAAAAAAAGCACACAAAAGAAGCTAAATTCAGGAACATAGCAGACAGAATAAGGTATCTGAGGTAGACATATAACACATTTTAAATAGTGTATGTTGTGTCTTTTTTCCCAGATGTAGTTATCCCAGAGAGCCCAGAGGCCTATATAAAACTGACTGAGAACACACTGAAAACATCCTCTGGTATGAAACAGCATGAGTTCAGGAAGCATGCAACTAAAAATACTGGATCTTTTCAAACAGGTTTTTACGTGGAGACATTCTTCATGCCTGCTTAATTAACATCCAGAAAAATAACCACAGCTGCATGAGACACCATCACAAAGTGCTGCATCATTTAATCATTTTTGTTTTCTCATTCATAATAATGTCTGTGCCTAAAGTCCTGATTTCGTTCTCAATGTCTGCGATGTCTCACCATGCATGTCAAACTAACACATACCATTTCAGCGTTATTTTTACCTCAACCGGAGGCTCACCAAAACTTCACCGCTGAAAACTTTAACCATGTAAAACTTTTTGTGGTTTCTGTTTAGGAGAGCCAGGTCAGCTGGAGGCCAGTCTTCGACAGCTGGACCAGGCTTTGGATGCAGGACGCTACCACCTCCAGCAGAGAGAGGCTTCCATCAGCCCAGACATAGACTCCACATACATGGGCTACGTAAGTCTTCCTTGCTCGTTTCTGCATCTTATGTCTCAAATAACACCTCAGTCTTGCACAAAAAAATCTAAATCACCATGAAAATGACCATATGCAGGAACACACAATATATGTATGATTGATTGTTGACCATGTTTCTGTCATACTTGCCACCTTTATCTTGAGAAAATTCTAAAAACTGCCATGACCTCATGGAACCTGCGTGATACTCACAGATGCGTCTGATGGGAGAGTGTCGCGGCAGCATAAACGCTGTGAAGAAGGCAGAGGAAGAGCTGACCGAGGACGAAGATGAAATTCCAGGACTGACCAACCCCACCAGCACGGATGCGCAGAGTGCTGGTTAGTCCTACACACGTCGTACAGCTCCCTATTCGCTGCGGACACAAATCATTGATTTGTATTTTTCCCTATCTGTTTTAGGGGTGATAGAGCGCTGGGAGCTGATCCAAGCTCAGTCTCTTAGCGAGAAGCACAGACACAAGCAGAACTTGCAGCAGTGGCAGCAGCTGATCTCAGATCTGCAGAATATGAGGTCCTGGCTGGGTCAGTCGGAGGCTGAACTCGGACAGCTGCGAGGGCTTAATCTCAGCACGGACATACACACCATCCAGCAGAGAATCAAGAAGCTTAAGGTTGGTGTTTGTTAATCTGCTGCGGCCGCTGCATCACAGCCTTAGAATTTGGATGTGAAATAACATGACCTGGATGAATGAGAATCTTCACAGATATGTGAAATAATGCTGAAACAACAAGCAACCATGAAACATAACTGTTTAAAAACAAATGCACTTCGGTCCAAATGTGATTGGAGGTCTGCAATAGCTTTTACTTCTGGCGTTGGGAAGAAATCTTGGATTCCAATAAAACTTTTCCTTTGCAAACATCAGATTTGCACCGCCTCTGCTCATTGCTCATCCTGTCTGTCTGTCCTGGTACAAGCCTCATCAGGAGCTGTACATACAGTACAGCTAATCATGACTAATTTGACCTTACCTTCCACTACTCCAGAACAAGGTCCAAATAGTGTCTTCTGTCTACACCGCTAAATGCACTGTGCAGTGTGTATTTCAGTCTTTCCTGCTGTTAAAGCACAAAGTCAGTTTCGAGTTATCACTGTTCTATAAATACACCCATCGGGGGCCAAATAACCTACATTTACTCTGTCCCAACCACCTCACAAGGATCTTGTCTGTTCTCACCTCGTCTGCTTTCAGCTTCTGTTATCTAGTAACACCTAAAAGACTGGACTGGGTCGTGGCTCAGTCCTGCTATTAATAAACTTTTGTCACACATGCATACGTTTTGATCACAAATAATTGAAGTTCTTTTTTTTCTCTTCCCTTCAGGAGCTGCAGAGGGGGGTGGACGCACACAAGTCAGAGGTTTTGTCCATCAACCTGAGCAGTGCAGACCTTCTCCAGTCAGAGCCTGACTCTGAGGAGGCGTGGGAGCTGCGGGACCGGCTGAAGGAGATGAACTTGTGCTGGGATCGCCTCTGTGCCTCACTGGAGGACTGGAGGGAGGAGCTGCAGAGGGCACTGATGCAGTGCCAGGTACTTAGACATGGTGCTCTGAAACGGGCCGTATCACGATGAGCGTGATATGCCTGTGGTTTCTAATTTTATAAAAAGCACCTCTGCAACAGAAACACTTTCTATATTTCTATGTTAGATTTACAGGGCGCATTATTATAATGACATCAGAAGAATTTTACAGGACATACTGAACAAAATTTTAAAGGTTGCATATCAAAGATAAAACATGTGCTATGCCCATGTCGGTAAAAGCTTAGCATGAATAAAACCTAAAGGATTTTTTGTCTCCCTTCAGGAGTTTCATGAGATGAGCCATGGTCTGCTGCTGTGGCTGGAGAACATCGACCGGAGGAGGAACGAAGTAGTGCCCATCCCCCTCAAAGCTGATCTGGAAACTTTAAGAGCTCATCACAGGACGCTGACGGTACGCCAGGTCTTCATTGCTCGTGTACCGCTGTCTTGGACTGATCTTCACATGGCAAAACATCATAATGACTCCTTCATATTCCACAGCAAATCAAACGTGAGCTGGTGGACTCGCAGCAGAAAGTGTCGTCCCTTCAGGAGCTTTCAACTCAGCTGCTGGTCGACACTAAATCTCAGACTGTGCCACTGCAGTCACAGACCTCAGAGAAGACCCAGCCTCGAGGCAGCGAGTGTCTGGAGGCACAGGAGAAGGTTCATGTCATCTGGAACCGGATGAGATTGCTTCAGAGGGAGGTCACTTTAGATCTGGAGGCGCTGGAGAAGAGACTGGAGGCCATGACCTCCAAGCAGGTAAGATGACCGTCTCTACTACAGGATGCGTTACTTATTAGTTTAATTTTAATCTGGTTCTGAAATTCCCTGCTGTTTTCGTTTATTTTCAGGTTTGTTTACCTGCCCCACTAAGCAGATCAGAGGTGCATGGATCCTCTGGATCTGGACTAGGAGTGAACCCCCCAAAACGCAAAAGACTGGTAATGTTTTTCCTCATATTATCTCATAGGGAGCTGTAGCCTTGTGCTTGATTGAAAACAGCTTCCTGATACCACATCATTCTTTTCTCGAAATAGACATTTCATAGATATTCTTACCCCTTTTATTCTTACATTACAAATATTTTTCACCTTTGCAAATGCTCTGCTAACATGTACATGAAAAATATTGTAGTTGACCCCTCTCACACCCGCTCTTTATGAGATGGTTTTGCCTTCCCACCTCATGTTGATCTGCCAACGAGAACAAGAAAACCTGGCTTTTCATTTTGATGTGAAAACTGTTTTGAATTTTTGGACAACTTGCATGAAAACTAACATTTAACTAACAGTTAAATGTTGTATTTCATTAGTTTATTTTTGGCTAAATTGAGTCTTGAGAAGCCAGATTTCTTGGTTAAAAAAGTCAATCACCGTCACATATTATGTTGCTGCTCTTTGGTTACTGATGATTCTTTCTCTAGCAATGTTATGGCTCTCTTTATGTTGTTATTAGTTTTTCTCTCATCTGAGGCTTTGCCTTTATTTGCCCTGGACTGAAACATTCTTTTCTTTCTTTTACCCCTCCCTGCTCATTACGTGGTACAGCCCAGAGGCAAAAGTAGTCAGGCCCACCCGGGACCCCCTGAAAGCAGCCCGCGCCACAGGTACCTTTCTCCTGGACTCTAGAAACACGGGTGGATGATGGAACCAAAGCTGGACCTTTTCAGAAACTTGATTTTTTAAAAGACTAATTCCTAATCAAATCAGCTAAATGCAATTATCCATGATTTGTTGGCTATGAATAATTTGGATGATTTTGATTCAAAGTATCTACTGTTTAATTATAGCATCTTCCTTCTAGGCCTTTATGCAGTGTTCCATGATCCTCCCTCATTTTAGAGACCTTGTTGACAGCTCTTAAATGAGCAGGGAATCGCCTACATCAGGCTGCTCCCTTTCTCCTTTAAATGTTTTATTTCACTGCTTCTCTTTGCCCTGCTGCTTTTCGAATGGCATCATGAAATATTGTCCTGTCATACTTTTTGCTTCCCCATTTTGAATGACATTGCAGTGCCCATATACCACACTAGATGGCACTATCCCAGTCTGAATGAACATTATTAGGTCCTGAGACTTTAGATTTGTTTTTCTTTCTTATGTTTCCTTCCTGTTTCATTCTCTTCATAGTGTTGCAGCAGGATATGATGCTCTAACTCCTGCCGGGTTTCCTGCTACGTTAACTCCCCCTCTCTCCTCTTTCCTCTCCAGATCTTTTAACTCAACCACCTCTGGGTCTCTTTATTATTTCAAACTCAATTTTCATAACTTTCGCAGACTCACAGACTCTGGGCGGACTCAGACTAAACTGGTCTTGTGTTTTAGAAAAAAAATAGTTTTTCCATGTTAGAATCATATATGTGGAAAGCAGGGAATAGTGTATAGTAAGCAAAGCAGGAAGTGAAGTTTGGCCTTTAAACATGATGTGCGCATGCTGCCTCACAGCTGCAGTATAATAGCAAGGCTAAATGACTGTGACTGTAGAGTCGATAGATAAAGGGATGGGAGCACATTTGACCCTCCTTTGGCCTCATCGAGGATGAGTCGCAGTAAGAACATAACGTTCCTCCCCTTTAAACTTGGCCTCAACTGTGGAAATCTCCAGAGAGCCTTTTGGCATTTCTCCTTCTTCTGTTTGGAATGATACATGGCATTGAACTCTCACATAGTCGGCTCTAAAGTCATATTGTCCCCCTTCTCCCCCTGAAATCACAGCCCACTATCTACAAATGTGTGTGTTCTGATATCTGTTGTACATCATGGTTTTTGAGTTTGCTCATGTCTGTTTGTGCATCTCTGAGACTCTTTTGATCTCTCCCCTTGCTAAATTTTGGTCTGTTTGCTCAGTTAACATATTTTTGCTTTCCTTCTTGTTCAGAATACACTTGTTTGCCTAATAGGGGGAAATAACGTTTACAATAATCATGTCTACTAAAATGTATTAAAAACATCACCATTTTTTTCTATTTAAACCCATTTGTTTTTGCAATTTCTTAAATTGTTAATGTGAAGGTTTTTCTGTAGGCAATGCTTAAAAGATTATTAAGAACAACAAATCATCACAAAGCAAAACATTTTGGCAAACAGGAGATTATAAAAACTCACCTAATCCTAAATCCAAAACCCTCTAAACAATAAAATTGTCCTTTTTCTTTAGTTATGTTCATACGTGGTTTAACAGAAGTCATATGCAAACATTTGAGTACTCAGGCCTGCTCTCTTCTGTGTTTCACTTTTGTCCGTCTTCCTGCAGCCGGAGCAGATCAGGCGCCGCTGGATGCGGTTCCTCCCGTTCTGACCTTCCGGTCGGTGTCTCCCCCTCCCCCAACTCCTCCTCCTCCTCCTCCTCCTCCTCAAAGGACCAGTCCTTCCTGCTTCGGGTCTTTAGGGCTGCACTCCCCGTCCAATTGTTCCTGCTCTTCCTCATTGGCCTGGCCTGCCTGGTGCCCATGACGGAGGAGGACTACAGCTGCCACCACGCCAACAATTTTGCCCGCTCCTTCCACCCAATGCTGCGCTACACCAATGGGCCTCCGCCCATATGAGGAGCTTGGCAGTTCTGACCTATTTTCACTGCTTTGCCAAGGACACCACTGACTCCTGTGAATGTTTCCTCTTCACCCTGTGCCCTAAAGCAACTAAATCTTCCCCTGCTGGAGGGTCCCTTGCATATGAAGTAACGGAGAGATTAGCTGAAGACCTCTCACCCAGCACACCCACTCCTGAAATCACCTCAGCCCTTTAAAGACGTTCCAGAATAGACGGACCTTCACCATGAGAGCCATTCTCCTCAGTCCAAATGTTTGTGGTTTTAACTTAAATGCATATATTATTTTTTAGGTTTCCATGGAAGCCTTTGAAATCAATGAAAAACAAAACACTATTTATATACTGTATGTTGGGAGCCAAAGTCAGCTGTGCTTTTTGTCTATGATATCCAGTGCTGCTGCTATTTTATTTAGAGTTCAATCAGCTAATGGCTTGTTAGCACTGATGAAGCTAAACCACAGCCATGGCTGTGGGATATTGTACCTGTAAATAGTAGAGTAGGTTTGCAGTTTGAGTAGCAATCATTCACAGACTTAGGTGTGAAAAGTTTCATTCCAAAATGACACATTTGAAGATCTGCTCAGACAGAATGACTGAAAGAGCACAGAAAACCATCAGTCGGATGAGGTGTAGCTTAGTTTATTAGATTTTTTTTCTTCTTGTTTTAAAAAAATCCTGCCTGTGTTAGGAAATGAAGTCTTTACAAATAGCTAAAGCTAAAAGCTAAACTCAAAGCACTGTCAAAGGTACTGCACTGAAGCCCTCCAGTCGAGATGGCAAACTTCTTACCCTAAAGGCCAGCGCTTGTGTTCCTGTTTTTGATTTCAGTGTTAAATTTGGGGGAGGACTATGAAAATGCTCTCTCCAGATTTAAAAACAAAAAGCTGCTTTGTGTATTATTGTTCGAAATGCCTTTGAATACAAGCAGTAATTTTTCTCTTTGTTTTTGAGCATGCGCTTTTTAAGAAAGCCAAACAATCACTGGTAGTGTAGAAGACTTCTGTGACAAGAGACAGTATGCTCTGTAATAACTGCGATAATTATTCTGTGCTGATCCGAATCACGGCATTGTTAGAACAGAATCTGTAAAAAAATTAATATGAAAATGGTTATTTATGTATGTACAGTTTGCTAATTCATGAAGATTACTCTTTGCAAATAATAAAACATTAAGTATTTAATTGTCTTTATTCTTTGGTGTTTTTGTTTTTTATCCTCAAAAAAGAAACTACTGAAGAACCAAATTTTCCCAACATATGCTTTTATTGACATGCACAGTTAACAAATGACAATCATTTGTGTTTTGGTTGAATTTACACAAAAAAATCTTTGCCCGGCTCCAATCTGGATTTGTTCATTAAAACCTTATTTGAATTCATCTGTATATAATTCAAATTAATTTGATAAATTAACATGTAGGAAAATACATTGAACTATCAGCTGTCAGATTGGGTAAATGTCCAGTTTTGATTAATACACGTACGGTACATATTATTTTAACGTCCAAGTCAAAATTCAATTCAAGCCTTAAAATGAAATACTTGATATCTGCAAAGAGAATCTGACAGCTGTTTTTTTCTTTTTCTTTTTGCTTCAAATACAGTTTTTTGACACAGAAATCTCTCATAAATGAGCACAATTTCTCATCTGAAAAATATGCAAATAAAAGTTAAGCCCCAGCCTCCCAGTTATGTCACACAGGGAATGAATACGAACAGAGAAGAATAGTTGAACGTTTCCAAGAGTGACCACTTCCTTTATGTCTCTTCATATAAACATAAAGAGAAGGAGGAGCCTGTCTGTCTGATGTTTTTCAGCAACAGAAACATTTTTCATTTATATTAAACTGATGACTAGATAGAGGGCAAATCATAATCCATACCTGTCTTAGTGAATATGGATTCTGGTCTGATTTTTCCAGTGTGTAAATCTGACATTGAAAAATCTTAATTTGCTGTCCTAACACTTGAGAAAGTTGTACTTTGGTTCACTGTAGCTAATTTTACAGTTTAAAAACAGTAGATCCTTTATGTATAATGCAGACACTAATACCTAGTTTATAGCAAGTAACAAAGAAAATATCAGATCAGATTAATTTAATTTCAAAATTTGATATTTTTTATCAAACAGGATTAACATTATATGTTTATGCTACATAATACCTGATGCTCAGCCTTTCACAGTTACGTAGCATGTATCATCGCTTATATGCAAAAGTGAAAATAATGCCCATTAGTCCCTTAGGTCCAAGAAGAAGTGCACTTTGGTCAAAACGAAAAGTTACACAGAAAAGTTAGCTGCTCATCACTTATAAATCACTGTGACCAACGGTGTACTAAATTGTGACCCAACACCTGCTGTTTGGAAAACAAAAAGCGGTACTTGAAGGCTGCAAAGGATTAAAGTCTGAACCACAGATTTAATTAAAGGCAGAAATAAAATGAACCACAATTAAACTCAGATTAGTCTGAGCCAGTTCACAGGAGGACCTTCGTCCTAATAATTATAAAATGATTTTATCTCATTTATAAATAATTCTCCAATGATACGAATTCGAATAAAACTTTCTCTGCTCCTAAGCTGCACAAATGTGAGTTTGGATGTCGCTTGTGCTCCATCTCATAGTGGATGTTTGAAGTCAGAGCGGGCCCCGCCGTAATGCAGGACACTTGGAGCTGAGGGGGCTCTGCAGGGGCCCTCGTGGTTGCTGCGAGGTCCCGAGCTGGAACCTGCTGTGAAGGAGCCACCGAAGCCGCCGCTGCTGCTGCTGCTGCTGCTGCTGCTGGTGCTGGACAGTGGGTCTGCGTCATCTTGGGATAAGGACTGACCTTCAGTGAATGGGCGGTGGAGGCGATGAGCATCGAGCATCTCCAGCAGCAGGTCGTACAGAGGCACTTTGTTCTTGCACTTCATACTGTAGAGGTGCTCCATGCCTTTGTTGCTGCAAACAAGAAGAAAATGAGATTTGAAAATGACTTCAGACAAACACTGAGCTGAAATGTCAGACAGGCTTTCAATAGCTCTGGGGAGACAACGATCCTCATAATCAGTCTGCACTTCTTTATTAGGTAATGTTCATTTTCTATTTGAGATCATTTGCAGTCAGGAAAAAATACACTTTTGACACGAAACCTTGAAGGTAACCTTTTGAGTTTTCTTGTAAACAAATGAATAGTCTAGTATTCTGATGATATTCTACTATAACTATATGCAAATCCATGTGTTGGCATGTTGGTACGCAGAGAACATTTGCTAGCAGATTCTGATTCTACTGACTTCTGGTCTTGGAATAGAACCTGACAATTTTTTTTTTTTTTAAATGCGTTTTAAAAAAGCATCTGACATCAATTTGAAAAACATACAAAAAACAGAGAAAAGGAAATGATCTGCCCTGCTGATGACAATACAACCAAACCTAAAAGTAAACCACCTAACTGTAACCCTAAACTTTGGAAAGAATCTCTGTCTAAAAAAAAAAACATTTCACCCATGTTCCACGTCCTTCCATCTGTTTTATTCTACTTTTCTTTTCTACTTTGGCTTTACCTCATGTGCCTGATGTGGGAGAGCAGTAGGAGCAGCTGGGCCTGTCTTCTTGCCTGCTGCTGAGCCGAGTACCCTGATTGGCTGATGTGGTGTATGAGCGCGTCGGTGATGTTGTCCAGCATGTTCTGAACTGCCGCGCTGTCGTGGAGGGGCTCCATTGTGCCAGTGCAGAAAGAAAAGGCCCCTGATAAATCAGACCTATTAGTGCACCGCATGTTGTACTATTTCTCAGACAAAGGGGGGGGATTAGCTTGCGTGTGCTAATTTAATTAGCTGCAATGATATAAAAATCACTCAAGAGATTACTGTCAAAACAAAACACTAAACAGCGAGAGGTGACTCATGCATGCATGCAAATGAAAACGTTCATTTAGTCTCATCAAAACTTTGTCCTGCTCCCACAGCTGAGCACCTTGTGTCATTCCGAAGGCTTTTCCAGGCTTGCAAATTTCCCCTATAGAATATCTCAATCTCCAGGGCAAACGACCCATGTCTCATGTTGTCATGGAGACGTTTATTGGACATATTGATGCTACAGGCCTTTCCAGAACACTCTGTTCACCTAATGTGCCTGAGCCACTCTCAGAGCTACACCTCTGTGGGTGTAGTCTGACACTGTTCAATATTTACTCTCCAGAGCGCGGATGGAAACCTGTGGCGTTAAGAATGAAAGGCTCCGACACTACGGCTTATGTTTCGGTGTCCAAGTGTGCATCCTGTCAGCGTTCTGAGGCATCACAGAAAGGCAACACAGACTGACAATAAGACACTGTCCTTAAGTATGCCGCCTTACCAGAATTGAGCAAGATGATAGCTTTTAGGCAGACAAATTCCTCAGGTTTGAGTTTGAGCATGCGGAAGCGTGAAGCAGTGGCCAGCAGCATGTCAAAGATCTCAGTCATGCCCTCAACACAGTCTCCTTCATTCCTGAAAAAACAAAATGTAACACAAAAAAACAAGGCTATAATAATTAAAACAGAATATCTCTGAGGTATAAGCGCACTCACGCAGGGCGCCATCGGAGGAAGAGGAATCTGACTTTGGCTGCCATGAAAATAACCAGAGCGGCCAGACAAACTGAACTAATGGTCCAAATAGCTGCAATGCTCCATTTGTCAGAACAGTTGAAGAGTGAGTGAAAGATGGATAATATCCAGCAGCAGAAGATCAGCTCAAACAGGACAGAGGCAAGGCAATGTGTCCACCCTGACCCTCAGCATTTTAGTCATCACGTCCAATTGGTGAGGACACTCATATAGGGACCAGGTTTTAGAGATAATACTCAGTAATACACCTTTGAATCAGAGTGGACCATCAGAGGGTAAAAGCTCTGTCTGTCTGCATGTCTCCATCATTCCCTTCTCAGCTTTCTCCATCTATGTGAGATAGATAGTGGGGTTTAACCAGCCCGTTTACTCTGAACATGGGGAAGACGGAGTGAACAACCTGTGCCTGCAAAGAAGAAAACAGCCGTGTCTCCCAGCATCTTTATTTTCTGGACAGCTCTTTTCATGACTTTCTCCCTCTTGCCGCTTTACCTATCAACTCTCCCTCTACTGTTCTCCCTTTTCCATCATCCTTTGCATCAAGGAGTTGATTAAATCTCAGTTCTGTTGCCATCTCAGCGCTGTAATGACAAGGGGGGTATTTTAAGGCAGAGAGAGGCTGCTCTCCTCTCCATGGGAAACAGGTAATTAGTCTTTCACTCTGTGACAGATGTGTTGGGATGGCACAATGACTGTCAATGTGTGAAATGAGAAATCTACTCTACTGATGCATCACCCTGAACATCGGACTGAAATAGGGCAGTAAGGAGAAATGTGGGACAAAGCAGGGACAAAGACTTATTTTAGAAAAAAGAACAGAAATGTCCTCGTCGCTGTAGAAGTCGGGCAAGATTCCTCTCTACCTGTCCAGTATGAGGTCCTGAGCAAAGATGAGCTTGCCAGGGCAATGAATGGATCTCCAGATGAGTCCAATCATTAGTACTTCGAGCCATGAGCTCTCCAACAGTAGAACCTGATCATGAAGGGACAGCTGTAGAAAACCTGAGGAATAAAAACACACACGTGTAATTTCAGTGTTTTAGCTGTCATAAGAAGCCTTATCGCTGGCTCTCAGCTGTCTAAATTCATATGTAGTTACAGCCGATTTGCTTCCATTGTCGCCCACCAGCGCCCTGTTTGGGACCTCTTGCAATTAAAATTGTGTGTCTGGGCTTTTAGTGACGCACAAGGTTATAATGCCTGAAATAAGGATTTACTCTCCCTGTCAAATGTACGTGTGGATCTGTTTGTTTGAGGGGGGCACACCTCATGCTGCAGTTGGGCTCAATGGGGGGCCTGCAGATTGACCAAACAATCCTCTCAAAGGAGATGACTGTAATTACCATCACCTTAATGACTGCATTTGTGCATAGGCCCATGTGTGCTTATCCTCTAAAGGGTTTCCAAGGCCTTGATGTTCCCTAACAAGTCAACATGAAGCCACAAACATCTGAACATGAATGTTTAAGGGGCAATGATTCCATGTTTCTGAAAATGTCTCCAAAATTAGAACCAACACACATTGTAGGTCATGCTGCACCAGCAGAGCCACCTTTTGACTTTCACTTTCCTACAACTATTAACCATGAAATTATGTTTAACTTCAAGTAAATTTCAATGCAGCCCTCCTTCTGACATTAAAATCTGCTAACATGTATAAATTGTGAGGAAAAATCCTTAAGGTGAAATGCTCAGGCCTGAGTGGAGCCCCCTGCACGGTATCTGTAAGTTTATAGGGAAGGGGCTTAAATGTTGAATATTTATAATTTTACATTTGATTTCTATACACACGTTTGACATTATAGCATGGGAAGAGTTCTTGGTTCAATTTAGAAAGCAATAGAAAGGGCATTGTCAGTGCAGCAACCATGTATTATCTCATTCTAAACAGTACATGTTTGATGTTTAAGTTAATGGTGGGTGTTCTTAAAAAAATACTTTTGATTTAAAACAAAGTTTGGCTGGCAAAAAGGTGAAGGAGCGTGAATAGGTATTCATCGTGTCTCTTCTGCAGTGGGCCTTTTTAAAGCAAACCTGGAAGCTTCTTGGCCCAGGCAATCATGTGGACCAGCTCCTTGTCGGCCATGCTGGTCAGCAGGGTCATCATGGTGACCTCAGTGTAGGGACGGCTCAGCTTCTGTCGGGAGCAAAGAATTGGGGGTTCAGCACCCTGGAGCAGGAGAAGAACCTGGAGACACAGAATGTATAGATAGATCAGGTCAATACAAGTTGTGAAAAGATATATGAACTCCCTGAGAAAATTATGCCCAATATTTAAAAAAAACAAAAACACTTTCAACTTTATCCCGAGATCCCAACATTTGATTGAACCATAGAAACTACTCAACAAACTTAACACCTCCACACGTATCAGCACCTGTTCGGGAGGCGTGCTGGCTGCAGAGGATCTCCCTCCTCCTCCACTCTCGCTGTGTTTGCGGCCATCGCAGTGGGATGCCGTTTGGTGCTCCAGGCCTTTTACAACTTTTTCTCGGACACGGATGCCGGTCCGTCTCTTGTCGCGACGCAAAACACGACCGCGGTCCTTGCGCACACCTTGAGGAGACAGAGGTCTAGCTATGACATCAGAGGCATGTGACTTCTCAGACTTGTTATATTCTGTTCCTACCACAAAGTCTAAAGGGAAGATAATATGAATGACTAAGTGATTTAAGAGGTATGAAAACAAAATGTGGGTGTGCTATGTTCAGCAGTCGCAGTCCTTAAGAGGAAATCTCTTCAAGGTTATGTTAAAGTTCAGGCTGATCTGTATCCACCAGCACTTTCATATCTCTGCCAGTGTTCTCTACTACAACCGAGGGCTGATCAATCACTAATTTCGTTGTTGATATTTGGATATGAAACAATTTTCTGGAAATGGGATGAAAACTATTGAAAAGAAAAAGTAAATGTTGAAAAAAATCCCTTTTCGGCTGGTGTTTCCGCTCACCTCCTTTCATCATACCAACTTCATAACACTTCCTAAGACGGCAAGCTTGGCAGCTCTTCCTGCGGTTCCTGTCAATAGTACACTGATTGGTCGCTGGGCACATATAGTCATTGTGACCTGAAATGAAAGAAATTACTTTCAGCCTTTAAGTCCAATGTTCAGAACAGATTTAGGTTATTTCGTAGCGAGGAACACTCTATTCTCCATTTCCCAATGAGATGGAGAAAATTAAAAAATGGCATCTCAGCTTTGTCATTGCCATGGAGACTATTGATTTCTTTATAACCGGTTTTTCCTTCTAAGAATTTGTAGCAATATGCCAGGGCATCATGATATCACCAACCAGCCATCAATCAGACAAAGCTTTTCTGTGTGGCAAACATGTCAAAACTCTGAGGCTGGAAAAACACTGATGGTTTCTAAGCAAAAACAATAGCTAAAAAAACAGATCTAATGTGAAATAAATAAATGTGTGCACTTTTTTTCAGACATCGCCCCTATTTGCCACATGCATCCTCCTCTTTATGGGTGAAGTAACACTGATCTAACTCCAGTTTGACTGCTTATTTTCTCTCAGTGTTACAGGTAATTCACATCGCTGTAATAAGCCCACTAAACCAGTGACTTGGTAATTCACATCCCATTTTCATCTTCTTTTTAGGGGCGTTTTCCCAGATGTCTTATTGAGACGCAGTCATTTCTTTTGGCTGACAGATACTATTTTTTAAATGTCAGCTTTCATGGGGAAAGTATTTCTAAAGTTAAATACCAGGTTGTAATGCGTTGCTTCATGTGTTTATTCTCCATTACACATCAAATCAAAACAATTCATTTATGCATGTGAGTGTCTCAGCAAACTGGCTTCCTACCTTGGATGCTTCTCTTGAAGAAGGCCTTGCAGCCTTCACAGGACCACACCCCATAGTGGTACCCAGAGGCATAGTCACTGCACACGGCACAGAAACGTGTCTCTTTGGCCATCTCAAACTCCCCAGTCCCGGCTTCGACTCCTAACTCCCCCACACCGTATGCCTCATCACGGGAGCCACACTGCTCCTCTCCAGGGGCTGTCTGGTGACTGGATCTGCAACAGGCCATGAATTTTAATTTGATCATCTTGTGTTCTCATAAACTGTGATACTAATAAAACTAAATAGACAACAGTGTTTGTATCAAATTAAAAACACTTTCTAAATGTCTGGACAATTTTGAAAAAAAGTTTAAAGTATTTCAAAGTTTTAAATCCCAGATGATCTGTTACAGACAAAATCAAACCACAATATCTTGACATTAATATGACTATGGCTAACCACAAGAGCAGACTCCTGTTTTCCACCTGAATGGGAAAACAGTCTGCATGTGTACTTTTGTTGTTCTTACGTATTGTTCCCCTTTCAAGGCCCTTGACAAAGTCCTTAATCTCTGGAATTAGAAACCAGGACAAAGCTTCATCCTTTATATACAGATAATGGTAATGTTTAACAAAATGTTTGAAATTGGAAAACTAATGTTATCATATAAAACTATGTTTTGTTTTTATTGTGTTTGGAGGACTAATTTAAAATACCATTTTCATTACTCACAAATAGTAAATCTAATCATGCAGCATTGTTTTACACAAAATTGCATTACAAACAGCATTGTTTTTACTGGACTTTTCATTAAAAACAGACATTCTAGCATTCATTTTCTATCATCTTAACTGTATATGTGTCTTTACTGAAAACACTATGCCAACAGTTCATTGAGCAACTTTTTTTTTTTATCAGTCCCACAATTAAACTCCTGCACAAACACTTCCCGAACAATCATGAACTACTGCCATCAAATAAAAACCTCAGGAGATTCCCTTTTAAATTAGAAAAGGGGGGGGGGGAACCAAATCCTCTTTCCTTCTAGTGACTCATGCATACCCTGAGCGTATTTGCTTACCTGTAGACGGGTGTTGAGGTGGTCTCCAAATAGTGGTGACTGGGCGCGTGCATAAATGGACTGAGCCTCGGGCTGGAGGGAACAAACACAAGAGGACTGGTCGGCCCACTGCCCAGAGACTGGAGACTGCCATCAGAGGGGGGTCCGTGGGCATCCAGAGGAGCAGAGTAGTAGCCGGTGGCAGAGTGGCTGTAAACAGGAGTCGGGGCAGGGGTGGGAGCGGCATAGTCGTACGTCCCTTCCAGGAAGTCCACAGCCGCAACCCCTCCAGATCCCCGGCTCTCTTCAGGGTACATGTCACTGAGGGGGGCACGGGGTGAGGGTGAGAGACGTGGTGGGGAGAGGGTCTCCAGCTCTGAGGAGGCTGGGCCAGTCCTGGGTCTGGGCACTGGTCCGAACGGCTGCCTGCTCTGCACCGGGCTCTGCCTGAGCAACATCACAGCACAACAGCAGTGATAAGCAACATGATTTAGACGTGCTCGCCCATTTGCTGGGAGGAGGTGTGGAGTGGTGCTCTGCCTCTCTCGCTACTCTTTCCTTTCTCTCTCGTCTTCCCAATGCCTGTCAGACAAGTTGGAGGGACCACCAAGTCCCCCTATCCTGTCCGATTTGAGCTTCAGTTCACCAGGTTCCAAAAGAAGAGGAAAACATATCCAAAAAAACTCTTTCCTAACCTCCCTCAGATTTTTTTCTGACCAGTGTTTCCTTCTATTCCTATTATACATCTATTTTGAAGTGTGGGAGTCAGGGAAAACTAGTGGGAGAGAGGAAAAGAAAAAATTACAGAAATAGTAATTCCCAAACAACTTCCCTGTCTCTTCTCCCCCACACAGCTATTCCCACTTCACCTTTGTCTTACGAAAAAGAAGTCTTTATTGGTTGCTGTTGGATTCCAGTAAGAGAGGATAACGGAAAAGTAACATTAGCTGAACATTAATCCTTTATTTAGCTGATACCGAGCAAGCTGTGACTCAGATGCATGGTCATTCTATTTATGGACAAACCATTAAATACACCTGAGAGCCTACAGTCAAACGAAGGAAAAAAACAAATATGCTAACAAATCCACCATGAAACACCGCTCACCTCTTACACATGAATCGTCCTCAGATCTGCTGCGCAACACGGGCTGTCTCATTCCTCTCTCTTCCTCTCCGCTTGCCTTACAGGCATCTAGGCGGACTCATTTAACTCAATGGGAACAGTGGAGAGGTTCAAAAAAGGATAAACAAATTAAAGATGCTGCCAAATCAATAACCATGGTGTGTTTAAGTGCCAGGTCACCATAACACAGCAAACAAAGCTAGAGGTCAAATCTCCCTCTGACAGCCAGCAATTGCACAACCAGTTCTAAAGTAGGGGAACAGATTGTTATTTCTCGTTATTTCTTACTAATTTTATGTTTGCGGTGATGCAGGTAAAGTAAGATTTTTTTTTTTTTGTTTGGCTCTTCCTGAAAGAGAAAATACGAGAAGTTAAAAAAAGGAATTCATACCAAAGTGATTGTGAACAATTAATCCCAAACTATTCAATTTCTCTCATATAATTGCATATATGAGCAAATTCCATTAAGATAAATCTGATCACATGCAACATTTGATGAACACCATTGAGCTGGAAAATAAAACAGAACCTTCTGCGCCTTTCTGTGCAAAATCTTTCTTGAGTAAACAGCCCTATTTTCAGGACATGTCAGGTCAAGTGGAAAACAAGTATCCCTGATGATGTATATCTTTTTGCATTTCCTCTGAAATAAAAAAGAAGACAGAGTAATATGAGTGAGAAACAGCCACAGTGAATCACGTAAATGGCTTGAGATGATGTTTCTTGTAATAATTGACCTAATTTTCAGGACAGACTTCATTCACAAAGCATGACAGCAGCCTCAATTATGCTGTTCGTTTTCCCAGCTCCTCCAGAATTGTAATGCACATGTTGCAGCATTTACAGCTGTTTTGTTGACTGTTTCTGAAGTCCAACCCGACCCGAGCATGGAAAATGTCAATAGCTAACAACAGCTGGGTGAAAATTAAGGCAGAATGTCACACCTTTTGCGAACACTTCAGCTGTAAAATGAATACTATTTTCATTTAAGTGTACACAGATGCATCTATTCAGTTTTAAAGTGGCTGTATCCTGTTTAAATGAATTTAACAATGTTGCTGCTCATAAATTAGACTAATAAATTGTGCAGCTTCTAACTGATAGATGAGTGATAGTGCAGTGAAGACAGCTTCGGCTTTTGTGTGAAGTATGACAGTAGAGGCAGGCACCATTCATTGTAGTGGTTTATTAAATCAAAAAGAATGAAAATTAATTTTAAGCAGCATCACTGAGAAGAACCCGTTTAACATCACTTTTGAAGTTCTGTGAGTGACCATGCATGTTTGGTAGGTACAATGTGTACAAAAAAATCCACCTTTATTAATGAAGATGGAGAGGTCTGATTTATCATTCTTAACAAAACAAGCATGCATTGTGTGCGTTAATGTTACACTGCATCAATAGCAAATTACCATCTATTTGACAGGGAAGTAGTTATAACAGTATGCTATTATATGATTCACTTCCAGTTTAGAGGTGGTTTGCTTATTTTGATGAATGCATATGTAAAAGCACAACAGCTCTGAGATGAGGGAACACAAATAACTTCTCAATCAGAATTCTGCTCCACTGTAGGTGTAGATGTGCAAAGCTCAGTTCACAACTTTAGCTCAATCCTTGTTACCCATGTGCATTTTAAGCTGTAAACGTGATGACAAGATGAGGGGATTTCATCACCTAAATTATGTGCAGTAAAAGCAAAATATGATATGTTAACTCTAAGCATGACTCTATAAAACCTGAACAATTACTGAGGACAAAACATGTTGACACATTTCAATCTAAAGAAGTTAACATTTCAAACCTAAGATATAAATGTATTCTGAAAATGATTTCTGATACTCTGCATTTCTTTATCATACTTGAAGTGGTCTGAGATAGCTCACAATTTCTATGGCTTTCAGGTTACACCTGCTTTAAGTGCAGTTTTTCGCAGCAACGTTCTTAGAAATCCACATTTCCAGTCATCTGAAACTTCTCAGACTGTGGATTGTAGAACTGAATGACTGCGTACTTGCCACTGGTCATCCAGTTTGGGTCATGGGAGGTGAGCTTCTCCCCTTGGCCCGGCTGCAGACCGACCTGAACATTGGCTTTCAGAGTCCTCAGACTACACAGTGGTGCAGGTCCAAAACCTCTGAGGGCAGAGCTGAAAGCCACTGTGTGATCCCAGTCCCTGTCCCCTGTCAGCTTCCTGTAGTTGAGATCACCTTTGAACAGCACCAGGTCGGCCTTCTGCAGGGTCCCGTAGAGGTCAGGAGCATCAGCGGCCATGTCACAGAACTCATGAGGCTGTGTCCAGAAAGGATGGTCATGATAGCACCACACACCCTTTTTCAGGTAGCTCTGCCATTGGTAGCCACTCTTGGACATCCACTTGTGATTACTCGCCATGGTCTGCCGGATGGTCCACTGAAAGTCATTAGCTGTAACATCAGAGACAAACCATGGGAGGGACTTGCCGTGAAAATGAATCTGCCGAGCAAGACCAGAGGAAACCAGGAAATCTGCTAAAACCAAGTCGGTGACTAACTCAAAGCCTGCATTATCAAGCACAATGTCCACTCTGTCTGCAGCTTTTATCCCTGATTCTCCCAGCCCCGGAGAGGAATTTAGAGTTGACCATACTAAGTTGGAGTGATCCACCAAGATGAAAGGTTGTAAACTGCTTAAAGATTCTATTGGACTGTTCTTCTGGGAGTTCTCTTGACCAGCAGAGATGGAGAGATCACACTTGTTCCCCCAGAGAGAAACCTAGAAAGTGCCACAAAGAGATACAAAAAAATACAGAATATGAGAATATCAGTCAAGCACCATATGTAATGCGATAAAATTAAAAAGGTGTCATTTTTTGGTCACATCACAAAGCTCCAATTCAGAACAAGAGTTTTAAAAGTCCACATAAGATACTGACCTGTAACACTTTGTTGAAATGCTCAAGCAGCTGATTCTTAGAGAAATTCTTCAGGTTCTTATGGATGTCTTCCAAATAAGTGCATAAAGCCATCACGGCCTGACTAGATTCTAAAAAGCTCTGAGTTTTTCCCTCATTAAAGACATCAAAATTGCTGATGGGGGGACTGAAATCAGACAAGTAAAAGAAAAACAAGTGTCAGAAAACTGAATACAGAATAAGAAACTCATCTTGTTATTTTTTCTCCAAATGCTCCACATATATATGTTAAAGAGAATAATTGAGAATAATAAATGTTAAATTGTCTTTGATATCATTAACTTAATTTTACTGTCCACAGAGAGCTCTGCTCTGGGAATTCTTCTTTCTCTCCCAGAAAAATACACAGAAAAACTAAGGTTTCACCAAGTAATGCCGAAAATATCTATTTAGACTATGCAAGTTGTACACTGCAAGAAAACTGCAGTTATCTTCTGATTTTGATTTACATGTATCAATTACTGAAAAGATTTTTCAGCTATGAAAATAATGCTTCTCACTTGAGCAACAGAGCCTCGTGAATCCTGCGGTACATGTAGCACTCGACATAAAGCCATGGAGACTTGAACCAGCTGACAGACTCTTGGTCTCCTTGTAGCCTCTGTTGTCTCTGTAGATACTGATTCCAGGACTCTACATCTTGAAAGTTGTCTGTCAATTCCAGGACTGGTTTATCGGTTTGTAGCTCATTCCTCAGCTTTGAGAGCAGGGATATTGCTTGCTTCTCTGCATTGATACCTTCCTTTTTGTAATAAAAAAAGAGCATACAAACAAAAAATATTTCCAGAGACCTGCATTGTGTAATTTTGGATGAAACACTTAAGGACAGATGAGAAGCAACAGTGCTTACCTCTCCATATTCCTCAAAAAAAATGTTTTTGTGACGATGTATTGTGTCTATAACCTTCGTCAGAATGGTTGGCAATCTATCTCTTATTGTCAAATAGGCAAAAGATCTACAGAGAAAAGACAATCAATAAAGAGACAATGAAACATTAGGACTGACAAGCGCTGTTAGCTAAATAGCACAACAACAGACACCCCTCCTATTCAACCATTTAAAACTGAAAACCATAAACTTACCGGCTGAAAGGTGTTTTCATCTACATTAAACTATATAATGTAGTTGTGTAATGTGTCTGTGTACAGACTCCTTGCTAACTTTAAAGTATCATCGTTAGCAATGAGCTAACGGTACTGAGCACGAGACTAATGGTATTATATTGTCGTTATAATGCCTCCTGTACTGTTCTACATTAATAAATACTTTAACAATATGGTTAAACTGCTGGTCAACATACCCTGTCACTCTTGCAGAGAGCGAAAGAGGAACTCCGTAGACAGTTGTATCAGCCGCCATCATTGTAACAGAGAGAGGTGGTTCAAAATAAAACTTTATTTGTAAAAATCACCAGAACAGGAAATAAATTTGCAGGCCGATTTGCAGGTTGGGTGCTATTTTTTTTCTTTTAATTTGCATGGGTTTTTATCAGGGCACCTCATATTAGTCCTCTTTTTCTGGATATATTTAATAATTTTAATACTTACTTCCTGGTTCAGGGTTATTTTATGGATACAATGCCACCATCTAACGGCTTAAATACAAACTGCACAATGGGCATGTTGCCACGGTGTCTGTAGATACTGAGTTAGTGAATCCATCTACTTTTTAGCTCCTTTGAAATAGTTGAACGCACCCACTCTACCCCTTCTGGGTCTGTCATGACCGTTGCCGCATTGCGCATGTCATTTAGCCGTTGCAGCACTCTAGAAGCACCCCAAGCATCTCTGGTTGTCTGGGGCAACAGTTGTCATGGAGATATTGATTCACCCTATTAGGGAAGGGCTGAATTTGAACCCCTGAGGCTTTTTGGCGGGAAAGGGGGAGGGGGGAGGGGGGAGGGGGGGTTGAGTAGGCTAGGATTTATGGAAATTAAAAGAAGTCTCTGGTGAGAGTTCACAAAAAGACCCTATTTAAATATTAATGCCCTCAGTATGTGGTCCTTTAATGCAAAACGTGATTTGTTAGCTGAGTTAAAGTAATGTGTTTTCTTGACACAGAATTATGCTGCTCAAATGTCGTTCACTGTTGCATATTTCCTTGGTTTATTTTAACATGTACACTATACAGGCCCAGGCGTTAGCCTAAATAAAATATTAGATTATTATTTTCATAGGCCACAGTTTTATATTTCTACGTCACCATGGGGGAAAAAAAAGCACGAATGAAAATTAACGTATGGCTTATGCCGCTCATGGTCCGTTTGGGGGTTGGAAAGTGGAACGTTTGGAAGAACATGCCCAGCTGATTGGCTACAGCCGCGTTTCCTCGGGTGGATGCGCATATAAATTCATTCAGGCGCTGTTTTTCCCCCTGCCTCAGATCTCCCGCCGTCGCCATGGGAACACGCCGGGCCGTCGTCAGGATGTGGGGTCCCAGAGAGTGGGAGTCCAGCTGCGTCCACCTCCGGTGTTCATCCACCGCGGGCCTCCCATCCCCCCACCGGGCCCCAGCCTGGCCGGATCTGTTTTTCCAAACCGAGAGAGGAGTGACTCACCACTCCGGTTTCAAAACAGGCCAAGGACGAGGGGGAGGGCAGCAGTGCACGTTACAGGCCTGTTTAAACGGGTGTTTCCAGCTAAGCACACAGGCACCACAGGGTCTGATTATGTTGTTTGCAAAGTAACTTGAAAATGTTTTGTGGCATAAAAGTTAAGTCTGTTTAGAACGACGTTTTTAAGATTTTTATTATTTTTTTATTGTGAGAAGAAAGCATGAGTGAAGTTAAGCTTGCTGAAGAAAGCTATGTGAACAGAGGTTGAGCATAACGTTTGTCTTCATGGTAGAGCCTTAAAACCACTGATTACAATGTATTGATCTTCATGACAGAACAGTAACAGTGAATCACTGATAACAGTTTGTCTCCTCATTCAATAAACCCCCTAGTGTGGGCCTTTCACCAAAGCAAACATGCTTTTGTTCTGCTGTCATTTGCTCCAACAGTGGCCTCTTTCAGTTTGTGAAACATTTTGCAGAGCCACAGACCTGTTGTTGTATTTTCATTGGGGTCCAGACAAATTTACAATGTTTTACTTTTTTAATTTTTTTATTTCCAAGATTAAAAATTTCTAGGGCCCTGCCTCATGGATATTCGTTTTAGGTCCCCTCCTGTATCTTCCATCTTAAAAGCACTCCACCCAGTCTTCTCCTGCAATGTAAGCATTTTTTAAAGCCAAACCTGACCTTCCTGTTAACTTCCTTTTCTCAGGCTATAATGCAATTTCCTAATGATAGGTCTGGGGGAAAAAAAGGTCTCGACACTTAAACATCTTCCACCAACTCGGATGACAACACCTGATGACTAAATATTGACATGTCTCCCAGTGCATTTAAGAAAAAGTCCTCCTACATTTCCTGTGCCTCCAGATCTGTGGTTTAGCTTCAGCTCTACTTAAAACTCCTTCCCCCCCTGCCAATTCCTCTTCTTGTTGAAAAATGTTTCTCTTTTGCTTTATTCATGTGTGGGTTCTATGCATGAACCTAAATTAACAGCTTTGTATTTGTTCAAAGTTTGATGCTGCTGATTGTGGAAGTTTTCAAATTTAGCTCAAAAAAAGTCTACCCTCAGGCAAACCAGTAATGTTCCAACTGGTTGAAGCCTGAATTTCAATATTATATATATGTTGTATTATACATTTTATATACTTGTGTATATATACAATTCATAATCCAAGAAGCTGTCACGTTCAATGATGAATGCAAAGAGCCCAGTATAGTTATTTTCAAATAAGCCAAATGATTTGACCTCATATGACTAAATGTTCAAACTATAAAATCTAAAAAGTCATTTAGAAAAACATGGGAAAGGAGGAAAATGAAAACATATTTGCTTCCCTGATTTATTATAAAAAAATATAATTGATCGAAAACTAAAACAGTTTAAATGAGCACCTCACCACAAAGCTATATAAATAATATGTTGCTCACTCCTTGCCTAACTGCTACTGATCTAACTCTGGCATGAATCTTAGTTGTGCACACCTGCAAAGATTTAGAATATATTTCAGACTTTGTGTTTTCCCTCCAGATCCACAGGTACTACCCTGCTAACTATTTCCAGACTACAGTTTTTGACTACAGTTCCCCACCTATAGAACACTTTGTACATTGAAGTCTGCAGCCAGCTTCTAATCCCCCTTAAATATTTTCCCTGTAAGAAAGCTCTGTCAACATCTGATGTATTCATAGCACATTTCATTTTAGTGTTCCTGTTAACAGTCCTCTATATCTGCTGATATTTTCTATGAAAACACTTTGTAACATTGTGTCATTAAATATTACTTTATTATCATTGATGCTGTTATTAATAGCCGAGGAATGGAGCACATTGCTATGTTGGTTCTTTTAACTTGAATGCTGTTCTCCATACTGCTTAAAACTTGGTTTTATGTCCTGTTTTCCTGATCTGATGAAACAAAGATTTAAGCTCATTAATTAGTAAATACAGAATAATTGAAACTTTTAGTCACATAAGAGTTTAAGCTTAATCTAATAAATATAGTAATACAACATATACTCTATTAAAAAAACTTAATGAAACATAAAATAGTTAGTGATTTTTCAGCAATAACCTAATATTTTCTATATCTGGCGTTATATAGGCTACTTGCATTATCTAATAATGATTCTATTTGAGTAGAAAATGGGCAAGAAATCGTGTTCTAATCATTTATGTGCTTTACTGATTATTTATCATTATTATTAATTACTAAAGCTACTTTGAAACAAACATACATTAATAAAAGAAAGCGTGGTTAATGTTAATTGGAGTAGTGATTCCTTCCAGTTTGAATGCAGTGCTCGGGTTGTTATTTTAACGGCAGGCGCGCGCTGATAAAGCACCAGACGGTGAGTAAAGTGACTGCCGGCTGTCGTATAAAACTGGCTCTCATGGCGGTTACTCAGTGCGGGAAATTAACGTTAACCCAACCGCCCCTTCCTCAACGGATTTTTTACAACGGCTGCTTTTTGGCTGGCTTTTACCCACAGTCATGTGATTGTAACGTAAAACCCCTAACCGGAAAACACCGACGGACGACCCTCTCCGCCGCCAACGAATGCTGCGTTTACAAGGAACACAGTTGAAGCTGCTGCGAGCGAAGAGAGGACGGACGAGTCTCCGGTAACAAACAAACAACGGCGACACGGCAAACTCCGCTCGTTTTCAGCGGAGTCCAGGTACGAGTGCTCAGCTACATACTCACTCCTTCGTTTTTTTGAGCATTATTACGTTATTGTGCCGCCGTGTGAGCTTCAGTTTGCTATAATTGTCACGGGGAAGTTAAAAGAGACGCATTCGTGACCAACCCCATCCCCCTTGCGTCTCTTGCTGTCTTCCCCTCAGTGTGTGTGTGTGTGTGTACGTGCGCCGCGCGCTTCCGCGTGCTTGCATGCATGTCCGTTTTCTCGCGCTAGTAACCGAGAGATACCCGCGGCAAGGGCAGGAGTCAGTCCATGCGACCGTTTTCCGAGGTCCCTCCAAACTCCTTCTGCGCTGTAGCTGTTATTTTCCTCTACACCCATGCTGATATTGACACATTTCGCTGCCGGGCCATGTTTACCTCCCTCGTGGGCACTTGGACGGTGTATTTCAGAGTAACAGAACCTTACTACGGAAGCGACCGTTCCACGTGTCTACATCACAGCAGGGGCGGTGCTATATTGTTGCAAACAAGTTAGTACTACTCGCAATTGTATTTAACTTTTTAAAAAATCATCGGATTCCATGTTGGTTGATTGGGGTCTATCGGTGTTCTTGCCTGATACGAGTAACGACGCATTTTAGGAGCTCCGATGTGGTCAGAAAGAGCTGCACCAGCCTGGCTGCTCATAAACGTGGTGCAGACACTCGCAATCACAACAATAAAACTCGGTGTAATATTGTTGGTACAATTACATTAACGCTATGTTTTTTGAATGAATGGAACAAAATAGTTATTTAATGCTCTTGCAAGAAACTGCATGCAATCTCCTGGTTTGGCTTATTTGGGGATATTAGCAGGTTGAAAGGTGGACTTAGGGTTGGAAAAAAACACAGTTTTTGAGAAAACAGTTGATAATATTAGTTTTTTTTTAAATCATTTTGAGAAGTTTTGTGTGTTCTCTGTCAAATGGTGCTGTGTTTCTCTCCCTGTTTCCACAAATGGCCTCCAACTAATATTTGGTGAATTTGGGGTGGAAATGATCCTTAACTACTTTTCACATGTGCACTATTTGGCTGCTGGATCACTCATTTGAATTATTAGCCTGGGGAAAGTACATAAAAATGGACTAGACAAAGATGGCGGAGACCTGCCATGGGATCAGAACTGTTTTTATGTTAATAGTTACACCAACTGTATTTGCATGTATCAACAATATCAAAATGAGTGTGGAAGGCAACATACAAACAAGTGGAATAAAGTACAAAAGACACATCAGCACACACATGGGCTCAATCAAACATCACCCAACTTGCAGTACTGGTTAACACTCTGATATTGGTACGATGTTGATGATTGCTCTTACCAAATATTTCCACTTTGGCCTTGTTTGTCCAAAGGACATTGCTCTTGAAGGCATGTGCTTCTTTCAGATGTAACAGAAACTTTCGGCCCACAGTCCTTCCAGAGACCTCCTGGCAGCTCTTCTAAAGAAGGCAGTCTTTTTCTAATTTGAACAACCCCATTTAACATGCTAACTGGCTCCTGTACAGTGTGACATGTAGTTCAGGGTTTTATTGTCCTGCAGTTTCTTTGAGCATTGCACAGTCTAATCTTGGGGAGATGTTGTTGTGCCATTGACCCCTGAGGATTGAAATCTGCCTCAAATGCTTTCCTCTTATAGCTCCCCTTTTCCCTGCGGAACGATGGACTCCAGCTTGTTAGGAAATGGCCGCATAGCCCTTTCTAGAAAGATGAGCAGCTATACTGTATTGATTTGTGTAACTACTCCTTGGTGTTGTCTTAACGCACACCTGAATACTCCACAACAGGAAACACTCAGTTGTTGCATGTTCATAAAATTTATCCCTGACATTTCACATGTCAATGAAGCAGTGAGGACAATTACACAGTTATGATCACAATCATCTCAGCCAATTGTTAAGCCACTGTTGATGAGAACTTCATCTACACAATCTAATCTACACTGCACCAAGTTAAAAGCCAAATCAAAGTCCACAAAGTTTCAGAAATGACTAAGAAGTTGACCATACTGTCTATCTTCACCTAAAACTCAGCTGTTTAAGCGAGATTAAAGTTGTTATTAAAGAGTTATAGAGTAAGATGGAGTAACATGGTATAGCATTAAAAACCAACTGAGTGTGAATTGAATCTGTGTGATTTTGGCATGATTCGTCGTTAGTGTCTGCTGTTTTTGCGGAAACCCAGCAAGTTCCTGCACTGCTGTTCCAGAACCTTTGCTCTGTGTGCGGATGAAAAACTTGTATGGAGGATTTTTTGAGTGTGTGTGTTGAGCTACAGAGATCTCATCTGTGAGAGAGTGAAAGTGAATCAGGCGTCCGTTATTGTCCATCTCCAGATACTTCTCTGCCTGTTTTATGTAGGGAAAGGGCCTGAGAAAGGAGTCCCCCTTCCCACAGGCTGTTTTCATACTTCACTTGAAGGGGGTTGAACAAGCTCTGCTGCGGAATGTGTGTCTACACCCATAACCCTGATCATGTGATGACCCGGAGCCCTCTCAGTCCTTCAGTGACCTTTAGGGTCGGCACATCTTATCCCATTGGTCAACAGAATGTGCACTCCTCTGAAATGACTTTTGAGAGAAGCTTTGCAAAACTGTTCCTTCTCCACAGCCAACACTTTTTTTTTTTTAATATCCCGACATCTGCACGGATGATACTTTAATTTTTTATGCAGGCGCTTATTTTCAGGTTCTGGTTTTTCAGTAACACTAATTCTGGGCTAGGTTTGAAATGCATCCTGGTGTTACAGCCCTAACCAGCTCACTGACAGTGTCATACTGCTAGTAGAGTTAAATTAGAGTTGGTTTAAGAGAATATTAAAGCTGCTGGGTAACTTGTTGTAATTGCTTTAAAAGCATTTGTTTTGTAAAGTTTACTTACAATAATTATTTTTCAGCTTCCATTTCTGCTCCTCTTAAAGAGATATGAACCCATATATGTATTGTTTTGGAAGGCCAGACCAGTAGTCGGCTGACTTCTCTGTGGCATTAGTGGTTGACAAATAGTCTGCTGTTTCTGAGAAGGATTCTTCTATGTGGGGTTAAGTTAGCCTTTGCGAGATTGTTAGATCATTACTGACATTCTGACTCTTTGTGGTCACAATAAACTCCAAACAGGAAACTCATTTCTGCTTGTGTGTGTGTGTGTGTGTGTATCTTTGTGCAGGTTGAAGAATGGAGTTGGCCAACCATGGTCTTATCCTGCTGCAACAGCTTAACGCTCAGAGGGAGTTTGGTTTCCTGTGCGACTGCACCGTGGCTATAGGAGATGTCTTTTTCAAAGCCCACAAAGCCGTCCTTGCTGCCTTCTCCAACTACTTCAGAATGCTCTTTATTCATCAGGACAGGTACAGAGACATGCTTTAATTACAGTATCTGCTCGGGCTAAGTATTCACATTAACGATTACAGCCGATTGCTTCTAAGTCGTGCCTCACCAGTTGACCTAATTTCTATCAATCAGCCTTCTTAATTTATTACGGCGGCATGATATTTTATTTTTTGCTTTAAACGTGAAGCCTTAAGTGATCAAAACCTTTTCCGCTGCGTAACTGTCTAATGTTTGTGTTTCAGTGACTGTGTGCGTCTGAAGGCTGCTGACATACAGCCAGACATCTTCAGCTACCTCCTCAACCTGATGTACACTGGCAAGCTGGCACCCCAGCTGATCGACCCCGCCCGACTGGAGCAGGGGGTCAGATTCCTGCATGCTTATCCCCTCCTGCAGGAGGCCAGCCAGTCGGTGTATTCCCACCCCGAGCAGAGCATCAATCTCTCCACGTCCCTTTATGGGATTCAGATTTCTGACCAACAGGGGGCGCTGTCGGCCAGCGTTCCCGCTCAGCAGCAGCTCTCCTCTCCGTTTGACACAGACCAGACCAGTTCTGAGGGAAAGCGCCCATCCACACCAGCTGCCTCCTCATTTGCAAATTCCTTGCAGCCCAAGGAAGCTCCCTCCGCTCCCGAAGAGGAGGCCTCAACAAGCGGCACAAAACCCTCCGTTGAGGACGGGGTAATGGACTATTTAGCTGCCGATGGTTCCCAAGCCAGCGCTATCCTCCACGTGAAGCCCAGCATAATGAAGAGGAACTCCTCCTTTAGGAAGCATTACTCGTGCCACCTTTGCAGGAGCAGATTCACTCAGAGAAGCCTGCTCCGGGAGCACCTCCTGCTGCACACCCAGGCCCTGCAGCAGGCTGCCGCCGAGCCCAGCAAGGCGCCGTCACCCGTTGTGGTTGGAGAGCACAACTTGATGGCCGATGCGGTTGCCAAGGCAAGCCAGGCCGCGTCCGGCGCATTGGCCGGAGCCACGGCAGTGGAGATCATCAGCGACAGCGAGCAAACTCCCGTGTCAGCGGCCAATTCGGACTCTCCCCAGGGGGAGGTGTCCACCTCCACCTGGGGCGTGGGAGGGCTGAATTCCCAGGCAGACACACCGCCACCCTCCGATATCGCCGACATCGACAACCTGGAGAATGCTGACCTGGACCGGGAGGTGAAGCGGCGGAAGTACGAGTGCTCCACCTGCGGGCGCAAGTTCATCCAGAAGAGCCACTGGCGCGAGCACATGTACATCCACACGGGGAAGCCCTTCAAGTGCAGCGCCTGCGGGAAGAGCTTTTGCCGGGCCAACCAGGCCGCGCGCCACGTGTGCCTGAACCAGGGCGCCGACTCTTACACCATGGTGGACCGGCAGAGCATGGAGCTGTGCGCGGCGGGGGACGACAGCAACCAGATGGATTCCTTGTTCATGGGCTCCTCGAAGCCTTACAAGTGTAACATTTGCGCGACCACCTTCTCAAGCCCCAGTGAGGTGATCAAACACCTGTGCTTCGCCCAAGGGGGACTGGTAGGGCTGCAAGGAAACGCGGGGGCAGGCATGCTGCTCCAGCGTGAAGAAATTTCCAAAGATGAAGGCTCCGATTTGTCCAACTCTGGCAACCCACTAGAACCAATAAAGACTGAAGAGATCCTTGTAGAATAGAGCCAAAACCGTTTTATTTTTGTTTTGTTTTGTTTTCCCTCTTTTAATGTGTGTTTTTATGTAATTATGGTTATTAGTTTAGCTAAAGCTGAAATTAGTCAGGGTATACTTGTTAGGTCAGCTCAGCTCACTGAAAATCTATTTTATGATACAGTGTTTTGAATATTTTAGCCCTGGGAGTGATAGTTTGAAAGCATATGACTCTCTCTTTTCATTCATATGAAAAATAAATCCCAGATTCACAAGTGAAGGTCATAAGTCAATCATTTAAATGTCCATGAACATTGGCACTGCGCTGTGTCCTGTTGGGTTGAATCAGACTGTGGTGCAGCTGTGTGCAGTCTTAGCATGAGAGGAAGAGGAAGCTCAGGCAGTTCCGGAGGAGACACATTCTGTGAGGCCAGTTGGCTGTGTTTAGATCTGTGAAGCAAAAGGGTTGCAGAGAACTCCTCTTTCCCCGGGAACGGTAGTGCACAGTTGTTTCCACAGGGGCTATAAATGAGAGGCAGATTCTCCTCAAGAGGTACAGAAACGCCTTTGCAGTCAGCAAAAAGCACACAGAACCGAGACAATCCCAGTCAATTCTCCATATGCATCAACGTACGCTCATGTTCCGCTCGTGCCCTGTTTGTGATTTCGGCTCCACAGAATGAATCCCTCAACATGTAATGGAATGACTATTATATCTATCTAAGCTGAAACGTAGTCTTTATCTGTGTTTTGTGGAGTGTGATCACGGTTCCCGTCCCCTTCCTGTAACAGCATATCACAGCACAGCTTTTTAGCCTCTGGAAGTTGGTCACAAGGAACCGAAGTGAGCATTGTCTGCAGTTGTGCCACTGTGATGCTTCTTTTTTTTCATAATTGTTGCTTGTTGAGCATGTTCTGTATTTCCATATATATATATATATCTATCGATTTATATACATGTGAATAGATAGATATATATGTAACTCTTTGATTGCTCATGTTCTATCGAGAAAACCCAAACTATTATGAGAGGCTGTATTTTAGAAAATGATAAATCATGTCTTTTTTGTTTTTTTAGGAATTCTTTTAATTCGTTCTTAAACCCCATAAAGTTTGTTTGACATGCTTTTCTAATTTTATACACAGTGCTATATTAATAAAAAAAAAACATTATATTTCAAAGATGTAAGTATATTAGAGGATGAATAGCTTTCGAAATAGGCATTAATTTGATCTAGCTACTATAAATGTTTTAGGGATGTGAATTTTAAGCATATCTTGAATTTAACCAGGTCATAGGCTAATATGAATCAGTGGTATTTTTAGGTCCCTTTCCTGGCCAGATAAGTGCTGACTGAACGCTGACACATTCATTTTGTGCCGAGAGACTCTGATATTTGGATGATATTAGGCTGTCTAAGCACTCCTTCGGTCTGCCCTTATCAGATGAAGCGAATGGGGAACGCAGCAGTTGTAGTTCAGAGACACCCGGCAGGCAGACTGAGCATTTCTCCCCTCGTCACTGTGGATGTGGCCAGCTGACGGCGCGCCACAGCAGGCGTTGGTAATAACAAACATTGAAGGTAATAAATGTGTTTGATAGGGATGTAAAGGTGCTGCACGTTTTCCCTGACATGTTTATTAATGTGGGATGAGAGAAGGATCTCTGCTGTATGTACTACTGATGACTGGAACTCATGAGACATCTTTACGTACATGTCGAATAAATGTGAAGCTGGGAAAGTGCTTACCTTTCACATGATTTGTCACGTGGAAATGAAATCATTTTGAGGGTAAGAATACTGTAGAGCTGAAGGAAAATATATTCCTTTAAGTGGAAAATGAGCTTGTTTTGTACATTTTTACTTGTTAGAGAGTCACCCCTTTTATCCCCTTTAAAAATTAAACTGTCACACAGTTTGTAAAGCAGCATGTTGCTCCTGCTCCTCTTTATCATGAAAGTTCTTTGAGGAAAGTTTTATCTGCTCATCATTATTACGATTACTTTTGGAATAAGCAATATCACCTGTACCAATGCACAGCCGTAAACTTAAAGCATTGATGTGCATCTTCAGGCAAATTTTAAACCATTTGTCAGTTTTATTGACCTGCTTTACTAAAAAAAAAAAAAAGATCAAAGGCAAAAAGGGTCCGTTTCTAGTGCATTTTTTAAAACATATTCTTTTTGTTTTAATATTTTGACATGAGAACACATGACATTTTTATGAGAACCTTGTGATGCAATTGTTAAAATCTTCATTGACCCATTTTTGTCTTGATGCAGTTTGTCCGGTTTTCCAATAGATGGAGCTGTTTCTGTTTTCTCAAAGCTAGAGGAGGCAGGAACCCAGGCAACATTGGTTACCAGTTACACTGACAGACGTCTAAGAAAATCCATTTTCAGATCGGGTTGACATTCTTTCTTCGCCCTCATCTTGTAATTTATTGCCAAGTATCTCAGGAAAATGAGAATTCTGACAATTACTGTCCATTTTCATTGGACATCAACATATGAATTTAAATTTTACCCTCTTTCTTTCCCAGTGCCAATCTGACATCTACTGTGACTGATCTGTGTTCTCAGGAAAGTGGTAAAGGGTTTTTTTTTCTGTAAAAAGATTTTTTTCTTGGTGGTGAAAAAAGAATAAAACCATGTTTTTGAATAAACAAATGATTTTATCTTTTTCTTACCCAAGATGCAACATGAGCGACTCTTCATTTAAACTGTAATACTTAAATTTTACTTTATGTATGTGAGGACACATACATGGTATATAAAAATGCATTTTAGGCAATTTCTTGATTAATATTAGTTGCCTATATTTCTATAGGATTTACAGATGCGTAGTTAATGATAGAGAATGTGGAAATCAGATTCAAGTAGAACACATACATTTTCTCTAACTTTATTGAATGAAATATAGACAAGTTTCCGATTGCTTACTATTAACAGCTTGAGAAATATAAAAACAAGTACGACCATGCTACATGAATGTTATGCTAAATGGTTGCAGGTTAATAGTTAATATTACAACAATATTATTTAGGTACATACAGTAGGTAAACAATCTGTACAAATGTTAACAGGTTCACAGTTATGTGTTACAAAAAGCAGGGAGGACTGAAAGTGAGCAGGTGTCTCTAGATGTTTTACATTTTGTGACCAAAACCAAGTTAATTTGATTATGCTTTCTTCTATTCACTAGTATTACATATAGCAAATGTAATGGATGTGCCTCTACAGCGTCACAGAAACATCCTAAGGTTAGGGAGCAAATGTCCTTTATTATTTGGTTATGAAGCTGCAGAGAACTGCTGGTATCAGCCATCAGATCAGATTGTTTCAAGATAGTCACATTGTTGAAACAATTGGGCTTTCCAAGTTGATTGGTAATGAATGACTACCAGTGTTAACTTATCACGTTTACTTTGGTGGTTGAAATAAGTAGCTAGACTGTTCCTACAAACATTTTCCCAGTGCAAATAAATTTGCTAAAGAGACCCAAATCATGAAAGCAATACTTGATACTTGAGTGGAAGCAGCTCTTTGGAAATCTAATTTGAAATAACTGATGGCTTGTCGTGTGATCGATGGAAAGGACATGGCTCCCTGATTAATCCTAACTCAATTCAGCTTTTAAATCAGGAGTAAAATGAACTTTTGTATTTATTCTGGTACCATGAAGTTCCCAATTGTGCCTATTCAAATGATCAACCACTGTACCCACTGTATGAAACAACAACCCTTTAATACTTTAACCGTTTTAAAACTTTTAATTAAACTGACCCCTTGAAAGGACTAAAGAGTGCCCAGCTTTTTGTCTGCACAGAGGGTTAAAATTCATTTAAATAGCAAACGCAATGATAGAGTACTAAGGAACATGTTGAACTGCTTTATGTCTGTGATACACATTTAATTCGGAAAACATTCAGTGAACATTGTTAGATGCTTTGTAAGTGTTTCTAAAATGCAGGTCTATCAAGTGTTAGAACTGGTGTCTCTATTTTTTGTGAAAACAAAAAGCATTTAGCAGATACTTTTATCACATTTTCAACTGTAGCTTTTTATTATCACATGAAACAATGTGTTGCAATATATTTTCACAGTAGGTCAGGCAGTGATTGTTTGACTTATCTACATGAATCTTGTGACTTATTTTGTATGAGTGTGGAAAGAACTAAACCGTGTGGAAAAAGAATGTGTCAAAAAACAAACGTGTGGTGCACACATTCTCTGTCTTCTTGTTGCTTCCTCTACCTCTGGAATCACACTTGTACCATGGCTTTATTAGAAAAAATCCTTTAAAATGAACCTGTTTGTCAGTTATGGAGCTGAAACACTGAGCACTTTCAAACACATTGTTTTTGAGAAACTTTTAAGAGGTTTCCCTGCATCAGATTTCACACCGAGTATCAGATATCACTGTAATGTACCAGCCGCATCACAGTAATATGTGGATTTTTCAGAAACAGGCAGCAGTGGCCATACAACAAAAAATAAGGAGAAAATAGAAATAAGGACTTAGATTTGAATGACTGAATACTCGAGATATAAATACAATATACAAGATAATAATCCTCCAACTCTACACTTTCCTGCAGCCATCTCACCCTTCCCATACATGAAACACACACTCTTACAAACACACACAAGCATCCACTCTAAACCAGACTGCAGACTTTCAAGGGCAATGGAAAGTCAGTGAGACATCAGTGATGGCAAGCCAGATGGGCTGCTTCTGAGGCACAGGACATGCGTGAGTGTGCTAGAGTGAAGGTACAACAGTGGATTGTCACCATGACGTGACACAGCTGTGGGAGGGGGGTGGGGGGTGGGGGGGGGGTTGCAGAGCTGCGGCTCAGTCTATCGCGGGATAGGTGGGGCCCAAACAGTGTTTTATCACTGAGCATCTCTCTTTCTCTCTCTCTCCGCTCACTTCCTGGTCCGGTAAGCGCATCCCCTCAGGCATCAGTTTTCAGCTGTGGTGAGACACAAAAACAGACACCACAGTCAAAACATGGTATTGCGTGTTTCCTTTTGTCTCGATGAATGCTGCTTATATGTTTTAGAGTTGAAGAACGACTTTTGAACCTTCCAAGCACTGCTACATCTCCTATTCCCTTTTCTTCTCAAGACTCTCACAGCTGGATAAAAGCAACTGCTGTTCATGATTGCTAAATATATATGAAAGGAAACAATGCCCAATTTCAGTGGTCATATAGCAAGTATATCTAAATTTTGCCCATGTAAAGTTAAAATCCTATATCTCTATTAAATACCTAACTATTGGAAATGTTCAAAAACTTATGTTCTTTAAAGTTCTGTCATCAAAAATCTACTCACAATGTATTTGGCTGCATAGTGAGCCCATGATTGAAGAAAAACATGAGCAGGGAGCACAGGAATCGTAATCAGCCTTTCAGCACAAGTTCATCTGCCCCTCACACACCGCTTCCCTTTAAGTTACCGGCCTACACAGACAGGGTCAATGGCGGCATTCCTCCTTTGATATCAAAGGTCCCCTGGTTACTCAAAACAAAAGCTTTTTCATTTGGCCAGTGTGCAAATCCTTTTCCCTACTCCCTTAATTAAAGTAAGGGCCATTGATGTTTTAAAAAAGGCCTTGAGAAGATTGTTTGATAGGTTAGCAAAGGAACTTTGATGGTAACAAAGTTTTTTCCATCATCATATACTCACAACAATGAGATTGCTGAAAAGTTTAAGACTAAAAGATTTCGGAACTCTATACCATTGTTGAAAGATGTGTCTTACCGGCTCATGATGCTGCTGTGAGCTCTGTGGACAGAGGCTCAATCTCCTTCACAGCCTCCTCAATCACCTCGATCACTTGCGCCATCACTTTCGCACAATTTGCTGATGCTTTTTTCCCGGTCTCTGATTGGCCCGCTGCTGCGTCTGTGTCTTTGCCGGCGCCAGCAGCTGTCTCTTGAGGTTCCTCTGACAGAACGGAGAGCTTGTTTTGTTTTGCAGGACTCGCGGCGGTTGCACTGCCGTTGCCATACCCTGCCAGGGTTTCCACCTCCACTGGTGGTTCCTCTATCACCTCTGCGGCCCGAAGGACCACCTGGACCGGTATGTGGATCTGGATCTCTTTCTCTGCTCCCTGGCCTTCACTCTCTGCCACTGATTGTGTTCCGTTCTCCAAACCCTCACTTTCTTCTTCCTCATCCTCCTCTTCCTCATCATCTTCCACAGTCTCTGTGACCTCGATTGGGACTGAGTCAATGACCTCCATGGCAACACAGAGTACCTGAGGGGCCTTTTTTTGTGGTTTTTCACAGGTAACAGGAACGGGAGTGTCAGTGATAACCAGCTGATCGTTTTCAGTGTCAATCTCTTTCTCCGTTGTTTCTTTTGCCTTGGCTGGTTTTGGAAAAGGGGCTATTTGCTTGGAAGACTTTTTGGATTTTGGCACATCTTCTGATACTTTATCTACAGCATCTTTGATGACCGTTTGGGCAATGGCCACGCTTTGACTCTCAATTTCACTTACACTGTTGACCCCTTTGGGCGAGCCCTTCTTAGATTTCTTTTTCTGTTTTTTTTCAGCACCAACTGGTTCTGACACTGAAGCATCTTTCTTCTTCCCACTCTGTGATGTTTCCTTTTGGACACCATCAGGAGCAAGAAGAACCACTGCTTCTGTGATAACAGCGACTTCCTCACTTGGCACAACCGCAGGAGTAGCTTTCTCAGTCTTCTTTGCGCTGGTTGTCTTTTTAGTCTTACATATGCTGACAGGCAAAGGCTCCTCCTCAGTTACAGCATGCTGCTCTATGCTCACTTGCATTTCCTTGGTCTGTACAGTCACCTCAGACACCTCTACAGTCTGGGTAGAGACAGCTGTCTCAAGAGTCGGTTCAATTGGATCGACTATTACAGCTTTAGGTGAGTTCTCCTTCACTGTGGTGGGCTGAATAACCTCAGAGTGTTCGGTGCTGACAACTCCAACCTTCTCCACCTCGGGCTCATAGTTTTCACTGGCAGTCTGAATATCTATAACCTCACACACAATATTTGTGGTAAAGGGCTCAAGCTCAAGGGCTTGGATCTCGTGCACATGAGCCTTGAGCACGGGGTCTTCACTAACACTTGCCTCCTCTGGAATCATTGGCTTCTCCTCCACAGCAAGTTCTGTGATCAGACTATCAGTGACTACAGTCATATTCTCCACGACTGGCTCAACAGGCTCCTCCGAAGCAACTTTGGCTATCTCCTTGGTGCCCAGGCCAGTACAGAAAGCCATGGCCTCGCCACATACATGCGGCTCCAGAATAATATTTTTGATGATATCTGCATTCTCAGTTTGGATTTCATCTTCAGTATTTTGAGTCACTGCAAGTATTTGCACGTCCTCTAGAGTCGCACACGTCTGGGGTGGGATTTCACTTATCTGGGCCTCAATTCTGCCTATAACTTGTTTGGCAGTTTCAACAGTGGGCTCCTGAGGAACAGGGCATGTGGCAGCCGGTGGAGTCGGGGTGATGGGCTTGACCTCCGCGGTGGACAGTCTGCGCCCTGTGCGTCTTGGTGGTGGCTGCTCTTCATCCTCAATAATATCGGTGTCGACGGACTTTGGCGTGGCTGCATTTTCCGCCTCCTCTGGGATATCACTCAGCTGGTCCTGTTTATCCTCGATGATGGCTGGGATCCATGATGGGGATCTATCCTCAGCAGATACTTTGATCTCAACTGCGGCTTGCTCCACTGGTGTTTCCTGACCTGCTTCAGGTTGGTCTTCGTACTCTGAGAGAGGAACCACAGCCGGGGTGTCAGAGTCCTCCTCTGCTCCCTGGTCAATAGAAGCTTGTTTTTCAACCACCTTCTTTCTGCGTCCTGGGAAAAACTTTCTCAAAGAGAACGCTGATTCATCTTTTGGTGCTTCTGTGTCTGGCTGGACCTGGTTAGCAGACCCCTCTGGCTTTTCCTCAATTTTTGCCTTATTTTTTGACATAACTAAACGTTTCAGTGTACTCCAGGGAGAATCTCTCACAGGGGGGGCACTCACTGGCTCAGGTGCAGGTGCAGGAGTAGGTGCAGGCTCAGGTGAAGATTCAAGTTCTACTACTCCCTCACTCTCAGGATTATGGGAAGTGGCACCGGCAGTCTCATCTTTGGCCACTTGTTCAACTTCTGCTGCTGCGGCTGCTGCTGCTGCTGGCACCTCCTCTTCAACCTTTGTTTCCTCATCATCAGAGTCAGAGGTCCTCCTTGTCCTTTTTTTGGGTCCACCCATACACATAAGAGCCTCCCAGGAAACAGAGGTGTCCATTTTCTTCTTGGTCTCCTCTGTGCTGCTGGTGAGTTTCTCTGTGTTTTCAATCTTTGGCTCTTCCTCAGAGGGCTTTTCCTCCTTAGTCTCCTCTTCCTCAACGCTCTTATCGGCTAAGGGAGCACTCTCCGAAGATGAGAGTGTGGCAGACTTTGCAGGTTTGTCACTTGTGCCCTCATCTTCACTATCGGAAGATCTTTTAGCATGCCTCTTAGGAGTTACAAGTTTCCTAAAGGATGCAATTACACCATCCTTCTTTCTTTCACCATCAGAAACAACTTCACCCTCGGGTTCTTGGTTGGACCCATTCTGGTTTTCCTCCACAGACTGAACATGTTCTCCTGATGCTTCGGGAGATGAGGGCCCACTGTCAGCTTTAGGAGCCTCTTCTGACTCGGTGGAGGACTGAAGTTGCTCAGCTGCATGCTCCCCAGAATCGGTGAGCTTTGACTCAGAATCCCTCTTGTTTTTCTGTCTCTTTGTAGAGAGCTTCTTTAGGCCAGCTCCAGTGAAGAGCTTTTTAAGGGGGCTTCCATGAGGCTTTGTTTTCTCCTGTGAAGATAGCAGCTCAGTCTCAGAGGTCACCTCCACTGGGGCCTTTTCTTCTGTCTTAGCTTCTGCCTTTTGGTCCTCTTGTTTGGTTTCATCAGCTTTGCTGTCTGTGGGAGCAGCAGTGTCAACAGTGACATCTGGGGAAAGCCCTGATTTTGCTTCCTCTGCTGTGGTGGGTGACTGCTCTTTTGGCTCAGATTTTTCCTCCTGAGTACTGACTGATGTTGCCTCCTTGGTGTCTTGATCAGTTGCAGTTTTGTCTTCCTTTTTCTCCTCATAGGGCAGAGCCTTTGTTTCCTGCGCTGACACATCTTTCTCCTCTTTGGTTTCCTTCTCTGTCACATCTTTCTCCTCTTTGGTTTCCTTCTCTGTGACATCTTTCTCCTCCTCTGTTTCGTTCTCTACCACATCTTCGTCTTCTGTTTCCTTTTCTGAAACATCTTTATCCTCCATTGTTTCTTTCTCTGCCACATCTTTTTCCTCCTCTTCTTCTGTAGCAGTTTCCTCTGCCTTAGTTGTCTCCTCCTTTAATGCCTTCTCCTTTTCCTCCTCTTCCTTTAATGCCTTCTCCTTTTCCTCCTCCTCCTTTAATGCCTTCTCCTTTTCCTCCTCCTCTTTTGTCCGCTTCATGCTGGCTTTCTTTCGCAGGTTTGAAAAGAGTCCAACAAAAAAGAGTTTTCTGAATGGAGACATACTTGTCTCCTTTGGAATAGGAGCAGCTTCTTTTTCCTTCTCAGCTCCTTCCTCAGTGACTCCATCACTGGAGGCTTTGGCAGAACTTTCAGAGGAGGCTTCAGCAGTTTCAACTTTGTCTGTTTCTTTAGTGACTTCTGTTTCACTGGCAGAGGCTTCTGTGTCAGGGTCCTTTTCTTCAGTGGTGTTCTCTCCAGCACTCTCAGCCTCCTCGCTCTTTGCTGGTTCATCGGTATCAGTGGCCTCTTCTCCATCCTTATCTTTGACTGTCAGTAGCTTCACTGGATCCATTTCCTCACTTTTGTCCTTCTTCAGCGTGAATTTCAAGCCCACAATGGTGAAAATCTTCTTGAAGCCAACTTCATTTGCATCGTCAGGCTTTTCATCGGTTACCTTTTCTTCAGATGTGGATATATCTATAGCATCAGATGACTCTTTATCAACTTTTTCTCCATTTACTTGCGGAGTCGCTTCGTCCTGGATAGTGTCTGTGGTCTCAGGAGCCTCCTCCTTCTGAGCCACAGATACACCATCTGGTTGGCCAACTGAAACGACACGAAAATAGCATTGCTCTGTAAGATGTTGATCAAATTTCTCAATTCATTTTAGTATTAAACTCTGCAGCCCCATTTTTCAGTAATAACATCCCCATGATGTTCATATCCAGTCATGATTTGCAACATCAAATTTAACAAATTTAAGCAATGACGTGAAAATCTAATCATAGAGGGAGACAACATAAATCAGTGCAGCTTTCATATAAGTTTCCATGAATGTTTTGTAACACTGGTAAATGTTCCATCCACAAAGATCAGATTTTAAACTTGTTGCTGTTGTAGTTGAATTGTTCGATTCATTTCCATTTTTCAGACAGTATGGTCTGTTTCTGGTTGTTTTATCATATCCACACTCAAGCACTAAAACTCAATTGTAGACAGTTCATTTTGCTTAAAAATATGTAAGACATGCATTAAGACATGCTGAGATAACAGCCATAAACGACTCATACAATATTCTTGTAGGCTGCGTTGTTCTGTGCTTTGACAGGCGAAGGCGTGGGGGGCAAATTACTTGCCAAAGCCTCCTGAGATGTCCCTACAGTCTGGGAAACCTCATGTGAGACTCCCGGACTCCCCAGAAATATTTCCAGAACGCTTAATGCCTGAGTGTCAGATTACAGGATTACACAGAATGACATATGCCCTATCTTTAAAGTATGCACACAGAAAGGTTGACATGAAAATATCACCAACACTGAAAAAATAAAACAATAGATTTGTGTTAAACTTAAATATGTGCGATAATATAAACTGGAATGTACCTCATCCAAAAAATTGGATTCATTTGGCAGATATATCATTTTAAACAATAAAAGGAAGCCTGCCTTAGGGTCACAGATATATGTACAGCTGCCTCCATCCATGTCCTAACTTATAGCCATCAAGATTTCTCAAGAAGCACAGGGATTTAGGCACCAAGATATTTAAGCGTTCAGGTGTAAAACTGAAACTTTATACACTAAGACAGTTCGCAAGGACACACCCGCATCTTTAGCATAGATTTGACTGGGCATAATCTAAACTATGCATTTCACGCCATCTGAAAATCACTCCAGTATTTTCTAAAAGTAGTAAGAATTCAAATGACCAAAGACTTAAAGATTTTTTTTTTGTTAATCTTGCTCTTGTCCCTACCCGTGTAGTATTTAAATCAAACAATGCAGGGCTCCCCACCACCCCTCCTTTAAATATGTCCCAAACCCCTTGACCCAAATTCCACCACAGCAGGATGGATGGGGACCCACCCCCTTCCCAAGGCGCAAAAATGCATACAAACACAATAGCCTTCTAGCCCTCTGTGGCCTCTGAAAATAAAAGGAAGGGGGCTGGTCAACCTTCCCATAATAAAGAAGAGCAGCAGCTTGAAGGAAGTCTGAAATTTGTAGCTTGGTAAATTCACTAAATCTGTGAATGAAAAAAGACTATGGTGCTTTATACATGACGCCAGTGTCACCAGGGAAAGGTCTTACTTAGGTTGTATATTTAAGGTGTTTGTTCAATTACACTGCTGTTTAGTCAGCCCAGAGACTACATACAGAAAACAGCAGATGCTGGTGTTCATCTCATAACATAATAAACTATACTCAGCTTTCTTTTCCAAAACAGCAAATCCCTTTCAACACGCACATTCACACTTCTTCGTCTGAGCTGCTTTCAATTAGGTTTCAGCAAGGTTAAAGTTTTGGGTGTGGAGATGTAAGTGTGTGCATGGGAGGGGTCAGACTGTAAGTAAATCAGGCCAGCCACGTCTTTATGTACCTACATGGATAATAAAACAGGACCCATGTTGATTTAACAGACTACTGGCATCTCTTCCATCTTTTTGATCCTTGCCTTCCAGACACACAACTGTTGACATCCTGATTTGAGGGGGAAGGAGCAAACACATGAAGGAGGAGATGGAAACTAATAACGTTACCAACAAGGATGTGAACACTGAGTTGGGTGGTGTGGAGACACTTAAGCAATGGAGGCACATGGGTGGGGTGGGGGGTATCCAGCCGTAGGGTTAACTCACTTCAAATGGCGTCACATACTCGTTGAAATGCTTCACTGGAGACAGGCTTTGTTTGCCTCTGTGTGTGTGTGCGTGTGCGTGAGACAGAGAGCATGTGGTAAGGCGAGGATTTCATATTACATATCATCACTGCCGCCAAAAACTGTTGTAAATCTGCTCCAGATAATGTTTCTGTTGTGGCTGTTCCAGCACCACTTTGGGTCTCCGTGCATCCGACAGGGAGGGGCCAGAGGCCAGATGGGAGGCTGAGTGGCATCTATTCTATACACTGTGTACAAACTTTAACAAATGAATGCAAATCCTTGTCATGATTACAATAGTCTGAACCAGAAACTGTAAAACAAAAGAAGTCAGTTAATAGGGGGACTGCCCTATCACCCTCCCCCGACAGACAAGAGACACAGCACCCCCGTTCTGTCTCAAAGGTGTGGTCACAGCGTCTCTGTAGCTGTGGGGAACACATCAACAGCTACAGACACCAAAACCCAGTGTTTCAACATTAGCCCCCATTTTTTCTTCTGACATTGCATCAAAACCTGTTAACCCAAAAGAGAAGAATCTCTCTCTTACAATATATGACACTTTTGGCATAAAACCCAGATGCATTTTAACCATCAGTCACAGGGAAAATCCAAGAAATATCAGTTTTGACATTTAATTAAATCCATATGCCCTTCTCCCTCTCCCCTGTGGCTAAACTCTATAAACCCCACTGGGAATTAGGAGCCCACTAATCTAATGAAGCACTTGGGATGGGATGCAGCGCACTGGCTCAGAAGGTGATGTGAGCTTGCAGGGTTTGAAAAAACTTGGCAATGATATCTTAAAACAGAAGCTGCATGGATAAAGAAGTTTGGATGTTGTCTAGATGTTTATTTTGAGTGAGGTGTATAAAGTTTAATCTGACCAGAGATTAAAAGAGAGGAAAATTCTGAATCTAGGTGATAAACACTGTTTGATCATTCCACAGTGGTCAAAGCAAAACCATCCCAACTGGAATCACTCATCCATGCAAGTATATTCACAAACCACAAAGCTAACTAACCACACCCTCAGGACAACAATGCCTTTGGTAATATACATATTTAGAAAAAACATGATTGGAATCTAAGTTAATCCTAAACAAATGACTAAAACTTCATTTTAAAGATCATTTTGCGCAAGAACAGCAGGTTTTTGGAAAATATTCAAATATCTTGAAAGTCCCAGCATCCAAAAAACGAAAGTGATAAAGTCTACTTATTGTAATATCTGCTCTTACCTGTTAAAGTAATTGTTCCAAGCATTGGGAGATGTCCAAGAATCCTTTCTTCAAGAACTTGCAAAAACCAAAATGACACAAAAAAATCTCAAGATAAGTTAAAGTTGTGTCAGTTGTGTTTTCTTTCACCTCCCTGCACATTCAGTAAAAAGAGTTGGATGTTTCTCTGTTCTTCGGTCCCGTCTTAATTACTGATCTCAGCTTGTGGGGCAGAAGCTGTGCCTTCCCTTCTCACTTCCAACACTCTTCAGTCAGTCAGCAGAATGAACAAAAAAGAGTGCTCCACGCACATTTCAACAGGCTGACACACATGTCATTTTAGGACCACCCCTGCCTCCCTCTTCCTTCCACCTCCCCTGTTCTTTCTTCAGCTGTTCTGAATGAAGAGACCCCCCCCCCCGCCTCACTTCCCCCCACCCCACCCACTCTTCCTCCCTTATCCGCTCACACTCCCTCAGACCTCCTTGTCCATCCTAAAAGAGTGAGGAGCATCACGTGATATGATCTTTCAAGGAACCCTTTGTCATCCAGCAGCTTCAAAGCAGAACCTATATTCTAACACATAAACTCCGAAAACTAGAAAGTAGACAAGAACTTCATGCACATTGTTGTTTATGCACACTTTTGCCCTTAAGTAGGTCAACTAAAATGAAAAGCTCTCGCATTGTTTTGTTTTTCTCTTGGAAACAGATGCAAAGTAACTCTTAATATATGAGCCCTCTTTCTATCCAAACCTTCGTTTTGCATTAAGCCACCGAGTTCTTCTTTGTATGCCATGGTTCTTGTCAATGATAACAATATTTTTTATTGGCAATGACTAAAAACTGGCTGTTTCGCCAATAAGAAAACAGAAAAACAGCCCAAAAGTAAAGAGTTGTACTCCCCTACCCCCCCTTGTGTGGGTGAGGCTCCCTCTCAACTGCTTCAATACCGACACATTTAATTCAGCTTTTTGTCTGTGGGGGGGTAGACCAGAAGGAATGCAGATAATTCCTCAGGTAAATACCAGCATAATCAGATCTGTCACACTTCTGCATTGTCCTGTTGGAATGTGCGAATTCCATCTACAAGGCTCCCAAATGGGTGATAACAGCAGTAATCAAGTATCGTCTGAAAGCAGACCCCATTCACACTAAAGTGTTTATGTGCTTGAGTATCTGCAGAGTGTTTATTCACAACAAGTCTGACCGTGATAATCGAGTGAGTGCTCAGGGTGTTGGATGATTGAGGAACCAGCTTCAGTAATTTTGAGATGTACATCATGTACAGTACCTTAAACAAGTTTGTCTGTCTTGGGAGATTACCGGCAAATACTTCAATAAGAGATGTGTGTATGCAAGTTGGTTTGTGGTAGAGTAACAAATCTAATCAGAGTTTATATTGGAGAGCGGGTTTCAGTGGGTAACAACATTATTGCTGATAATATGATGCATAAGACCTTCAAATTTTGCTGTCTATAGCTGAGGATTCTAATCCACTCCCAGGTTTTAGTAACTAAGTTACATGTTCTAAGGCGTAAAAATATGCCAGTCCACCTAAGCAGACATGTTCCAGCTAACCCTGGGTGAAGATCTGGAACTATAATCGTTTGTTTTTGTTAGTCAGTCACAAAGAATTTCATTCTGACACACCACCAAAGCTTACTGTCATTTCAGTGACTCATCAGATAGGCATTTCACTATCACTACCATGGTCACTAGGACAGCA